ATTTGAGAGATTGGGAATTTGAGAAATTGGGAATTTGAGAGATTGGGAATTTGAGAAATTGGGAATTTGAGAATTTGGGGATTTGGAAATTTGGGAATTTGGGAAATTGGGAATTCGAGAAATTGGGAATTCGAGAAATTGGGAATTTGGAAATTTGGGAATTTGAGAAATTGGGAATTCGAGAAATTGGAAATTCGAGAAATTGGGAATTCGAGAAATTGCAAATTTGAGAATCTCCCACTTTGAGAATCTGCAACTTTGAGAATCTCCAACTTTGAGAAATTGCAAATTTGAGAATTTCCCAAAATTCGTTAATTACCAAATATCTACCCCTATCAAATTCCCGAATCCCCAAATTTTTCAATATTTCATTCGGTCCAAAATCCACTGCAGCAATGTAGCATCCACCCAATGAAAAAAAAAACGTGTCCACCGTGCACATTTTTCATATCCACGATGTATTTATAGGTGGAGCGAGTCTAATTCGCGAGTTGTTGCCAACACATGCACCTTGCCACCTGGTGAACCCCTGAACTTTTGACCCGACCAGCCTGGCCAAGATGCATACTACAACACACTTTCGCGCGAACATATGCGCGTGATATGAAACAGGACCGAATCGAGTGTTCTCATGCGAAACCACCCGATTCCAATTATTTCTTTCGAATAAATACACGCTCGAACCTTTCGTTTGTATTTTTCTCGAGGCACAAATTGACCTGCCGTGATATTCTGATTTTGTGTATCGTTTTGTTTTGTGCGAGAACAAATTGTTTCGTACAATTGACTGTCAATCATTTTGTAGAGGAAATATCGACAGAGCGATTATGCCGATATTTTGATACCTCAAGCTTTAAATTGATTAATATTTGGTGATCGAATCATTGTAGACGTTCTGTGTCAATGGGGTTCAGTTTCAGTACGAAACTGCAGAATGTAACGATATTGTTTGTTATAATTGATTGTCAATCATTTTGTAGTGAAAATATCGACAAGGCGTTTATACAGGCATTTTTCTGAGACCTCGAGCTTTAAATTGATACCTCACAAGCGATATTTGGTGATACTTTTATGTCATGAATTCATGTCTGACGTTTCATATTCCAATTTAATATAAAGCTGTATATAAGTGCATTATTCGTTGCAAATCATTGCTGATCATTTTGTAGTGAAAATATCGACAAGGCGTTTATACAGGTATTTTTCTGAGACCTCAGGCTTTAAATTGATACCTCACAAGCGATATTTGGTGATACTTTTATGTCATGAATTCGTGTCAGACGTTTTATATTCCAATTTAATATAAAGCTGTATATAACTGCATTATTCGTTGCAAATCATTGCTGATCATTTTGTAGTGAAAATATCGACAAGGCGTTTATACAAGTACTTTTCTGAGACCTCGAGCTTTAAATTGATACCTCATAAGCGATATTTGGTGATACTTTTATGTCATGAATTCATGTCAGACGTTTTATATTCCAATTCAATATAAAGCTGTATATAACTGCATTATTCGTTGCGAATCATTGCTGATCATTTTGTAGTGAAAATATCGACAAGGCGTTTATACAGGTATTTTCCTGAGACCTCAAGCTTTAAATTGATACCTCACAAGCGATATTTGGTGATACTTTTATGTCATGAATTCATGTCAGACGTTTCATATTCCAATTCAATATAAAAACATATAATAAAACCTTGTTCATTGCAACAATTAATCATTTTACATGAAAAATGTCGTCGAATCCTTTGTGCAGCAACGTTCTCTGAACCTTCATCTTTAAATTGACATATCACAAGCGATATTTGGTGATACTACCCCTTTGCACTCTTCACATTCCTCCACCAACTTCTACAAAATCGTAAAAAATATTCTCCATAAAATATAGTAACCGAGTGACAGATATATTTTTCATTTACTACAAATAGTAAATAAATAGAACACCTAATTTATCCGAATTATTAGATTCAATAGAAACGAGTCACATAATTGAACCCATTTGAATGATGCGCTCCAAAATGAGCCACACTCCACGAATGCAAAAAGTACTGCAAATAAAGTCTCATTTCCAACTGCACATATTTAAACGGTAACAAAATTACCAAAACGTTTAACAACGGTGATTTGATTAAACCGAGAGAAAGTTACGAAAGCCTGCGAAATGGAAAATCCGGAAAAAGGAATATTTAACGCGTCCACAATCTGCAATCTGTTCTGACGCAAAGCCTAGAAATACCTTCGCTCTCTTTTTTTTGTTTCACTCGAATTCACTCGGAATTTTTACTTCAATTCATCTTTTTCCTCGCTTTGTTCGAGGCTGTTCAGAACGTTTCAAAGCGTATACGGGCAAATCATATACGCTTAAACAGCGATTCACCGTCGCACCGAAAGAAATCATTTCTCATGTGTTTCTTGGGCATATTGAAAACGGCGGACGGCAACCGTGCGCCTTCCTCTTTTTATCAAATATTCAATAGAAAAGGGAGATACGACCACAGAAAGGGATTCTCTCGAGTGTACAGGATGGTTCACGGAAAACCTGGAATATCTACTTGATTGCTTATCACTAGATTCCTCTATGTGTTTCTATACGGTGCTCTTAGGTCGAAACTATAATCAGCTAATTAGTCCACCATTTTGTAAAAATAGATTTCGAGATTTTTATTTTTATTATTTTTCATTTAGTTTTTATTTTGATATTAGACGAAATTTGGGAAGTTGGGGAACTTCGAGCATCTAGGGGAACTTGGGGAATTTGGGGACTTGGAGAATTCAGTTGGGAAATTTAGAATCTGGGGAATTTCAGAGGCTGGGAAATTTAAGGATTTGGAGATTTGAAGAAATTTGGAATCTGGGGAATTCTAGGAGTTGGGAAATTTGGAATCTGGGGAATTTGAGAGGTTGGGAAAGTTGGTAAATTTGGAATCTGGGGAATTTGAGAGGTTGGGAAATTTAAGAATTTGGGGGTTTGAAGAAATTTGAAATCTAGGGAATTCTAGATGTTGGGAAATTTGGAATCTGGGGAATCTAGGGAATTCTAGGAGTTGGTAAATTTGGAATCTGGGGAATTTGAGAGGTTGGGAAATTTAGGAATTTGGGGGTTTGAAAAAATTTGGAATCTAGAGAATTCTAGATGTTGGGAAATTTGGAATCTGGGGAATCTAAGGAATTCCAGGAGTTGGGAAATTTGGAATCTGGGGAATCTAGGGAATTCTAGGAGTTGGGAAATTTGGAATCTGGGGAATCTAGGGAATTCTAGGAGTTGGGAAATTTGGAATCTGGGGAATCTAGGGAATTCTAGGAGTTGGGAAATTTGGAATCTGGGGAATCTAGGGAATTCTAGGAGTTGGGAAATTTGGAATCTGGGGAATCTAGGGAATTCTAGGAGTTGGGAAATTTGGAATCTGGGGAATTTGAGAGGTTGGGAAATTTAGGAATTTGGAGATTTGAAGAAATGTGGAATCTAAGGAATCTAGGGAATTCTAGGAATTGAGAAATTTGGAATCTGGGGAATCTAGGGAATTCGAGGAGTTGGTAAATTTGGAATCTGGGGAATTTGAGAGGTTGGGAAATTTAGGAATTTGGGGGTTTGAAGAAATGTGGAATCTAAGGAATCTAGGGAATTCTAGGAGCTGAGAAATTTGGAGTCTGGGGAATCTAGAGAATTCGTGGAGCTGGCAACTCTAAAAATTCAGAGTTTTAAGAACGTTGGAAATTTAAGGGTTGTTAAGAGTTCAAAAAGTTGAGACAAGAAAGTAAATTTGGGAAATCTGAGAATCCGCAACTTCAGTTCTGATACTTCAGTAATTAAATCCAGATACTAAATTACTCAACGTGTAACTTACAAAGAAAAGTTTAGCCTTTGGCAAACTTACATAAAAAACAATATGTTATTTATAAAAAAAAAAAAAAAACAGGAAGGGGGAACATAGTTTATAATTTTGCATAAACAATCGTGTATTTTTAGCAAACATAACAAGAAATGTAATAACATTTGATGACAACAAAATGGTAAAGTTTAATAAAAATTTGATGAATTTTAATAACAGCTATAAAATCATGTTTATGATGTTACATGAAGATTTAAAATCTGTGTTACAGTGCTATGTTTAAAGAGTAAACTTGGATTCCCATTTGAAGAGCACATTATTAAGCAAATTACTGCTGTGACTAAAATCAATAGTAATGATATAAGGGATGAACTCATTAGACACGAAACTTTGAAATGATACTATAAAAAGATTGACAAAATCAGATTTCAAAATTTCATTCACAGTCTGCAAGTAATTGCGCCAAAAGCATCTGAAATAATTACATTATTAAACATTATAAAAGACTTAAAAATGTTTTCAAGATTTGAAATAAAATATTGTAATTCTCTGAGTGAAAATAGTATTATCACTTTCAGTGAACCAATTAGTCGCTTAATATGTCTACTCTTTTATATGTCAGAATCCATTTAATTGTTCTCTGAAATTATTCTTTTATGCTTTTTGTGATTCGTCAATTGTTCGAGTAAAAGGCAACTGCCGGACTAATACATAAGAGATTGTATTTCAATAACAAGGAAGAACAACAAAAGAAACGGGAAGACAAAAGATGAGACAACCCCTGCATTGAAATATTCCAAGCGCCACCTATCTATCGATAAGCGATAATAATTTATTTTTTTTTAATTCATCGTGTCAAGAAATAATTACCGCGTCGGTAATACCGCCAATTATCTTCTTGCTATCGATCGGTAAGAAGGAGTCAAAATGGCGGTGGTGGGGGGTGTTTATCGAGCTAAGGGTGCCTCAAAAAAGAACAATCCTGATTCCTCAAAAATAACAATCACGTACGCACAGCATCTTTATCCCGCGAAACTTCGTGAAAATTAATCGTTTGAAAAACAAACGTTTAAAACCGTAAAGAATAGCCGATACAATGCGTACGTATCGAGTGAAAGTGATACAGAACAAATTAGAAATATAAACGAGTACGAAAAGCCGCTTACCGGTATGTCGTGTTGCCTATCGATACAAACACCCTCTCCTCTCTACGGTCGCCGCACTACTACTCACATCGAAACTTGAGCACCGCTCTATTGGAGCGATAGGTCGACGCGCATGCGCATTGACAACATTCACCTGGGAACAGGTTGACAAAGTGCCATCTGCTGGAGGGTTGAAGGAACATAACTTTCGCGCTTTATCATTTCTCCTAGACAAGCCATTCAACATATAAATCTAACAGTATTCGTTACACCGCAAATGTGGCGTGAACACGCAACTAAATACATAAGTCGCGTGAGACACTTACGCGTACATGTGCACGCGCATAAATTTTGAAATTATTGCGTTGTACGGTTCGATCGTCTTCGGGTGTTTCCGTTTTCGCTCGGTCCAGTCAGCGCGAGTTTCGTTTACTTTAAATTCGACACTTCGCTAATTACGAATGGATCAACAAGGATTACACAATTAATGTAAGTAACTTTTACTCATTTGACGAAATGTTTGTAATTTGAAATATTAGTCTGACGTTATTCAACTACGACCTTTCAATATAACTCACACGTTTCGATTTTATAATAGTCAATACAAACGAACTAATAATAATGGATTAAATTCGATTTTCTTTATTGCGACCATAGCATTTAACTTTGTATTGCTAACGAGAAATTTAAATCTGATACGGATAAAATTAATCCGATTGAACAGGCAGTAACGTGAATTTCACAAAAAACGCGGGAAATGCATTTCACGTAACGGCTTTTTTTCAATACATGAATACTACATACATACAAAAACGAAGTGAAACAAAATAAAATATATAAATGCATTTGAAATATTTTAAAATAATTTTATTATGTTATTGATAATAAAATCATTAACACGATAATATTATAAATCCAAATACAAACATTAAACATTAACTTTAATAAAGCTAATATAATGTAATGTAATACTAATATTAATGTAAAATAATTTCTTACCAGATATTTTTAAACTAAATTAAGGGTCTTACTTTCACGAACTTAATGAAATGACTATAATTTTATAACATAAAGTCATATTATTGTTTATAATATTTAAAACAAAAATTTAAAAGAACATACTAAAATGAAAAATTATTTACAATAATTAAAACTTATAATTACACAACAATCATATTTACAACAAAATCTAAGTTTAAGTAATCTTAGTTGGTTTCTGTTTCTCTTTGCTTCTTTTATTTTATCTCTGTCCCCTTTTATAATATATAGCTGCATACAGTTTTCATATTTTGAAAAATAAAATTCTATAAAAAATGTAGGTCACTATTTACAATAAACGTTTTAATGAAATATTGTCTTTTCATAGATAACAAAGTTGAAACGTCAACTTATGAATTTTATGATTATTGAACTACTGTTATTATGTTTGGAAAAACTTTATCAAAATGTAAAATTATATTAGCACTGACTGATTGTAAAAAGAAAATAACTATGAAATATCTATTTAACAAAAGAACTTAAGGAAGAATTTTAAATTAGCTTATAAAATCAGTTTACAGTTCAAAATATTAATTAAATTTTAGTATCACTGTGTATATCACTATTTTCTGAAATTTAAAAGTACTACTACTAAATTTAAATGTATCAAATACAAGACTTGAAATATTTAAATATCATTAGAGAAAAACCTATGGAACCCCTTTGAAATATATTTGAAAAATCATCGGTCAATTTTTGTACAAAAACTATTAAGATATAGTAAGTTTTTGTAAACGATAGAAATGTTGTAAAATCGCTCCAATTTCTAGATATTGTAGCTACAATCTTAGTACCCAAACCTTTTATTTAATTATTAATCATTTTATATGTGAAAAATAAGATTTTATAATTTTAATATATATATATGTATGTATATTAACTTTGTGTGACAAAATCTACAAGTCATTATAACATTCCTTGAAAAGAAAATTTGAAAACAATACTATTGTGTTAAGAGTTTTATTGTTGCACCTTTTAAAGCGCAATTTATAATCCTGAACAATTTACATCATCCATCTATCCCTGTATCCCTCTTGTTGACTTGAAGTTCATTTGAATCTAAGAAAAGTGTTTGTCTCCTTTTTTTGGCAGCATTGATGGTATGAGAAATAGAATTGTGTAAATCTCCAATTTCTCTGCATAGACTTATCTCGAATTAACAGAACAAAACATTATCATTCATATACATATACACACATATAATATATATATATTTATATATATATATATTCAACAATTAGTATACTTGTATAACGTACACATCTTTGATACCCTTCTATGAAAGCACTACATATATTCGCATCCGATTTATGAGAATGTATCTATGCGTAATAACTAGAAACAGTTTAAAGCTATGTAGTCATACCATGAATAAAAGACATATACATAACAAATGCTTTCTATCTCAAAAAATATGTAAAATTTTTATCTCAAAAATTGTACACATGTATGGTATATTTTTATACAATTTTAGGTTTAAATAAGGCATTAAAAATTTGATGGAAACAAAAGAAACCATTGCATTTCCACAGTTGAAACGAGATTAGCATAAATTTCCATTGTGACTTACATTGTATGGTTATTCCTTGTACATGTATATTTAATATGAACAAATTTATTAACACGTTTTTAATTTTAACAAAGGAAAGTAGTAATCAATATGAAATAATTAGGAACAATTTTTGTACATGTAAGTGAATCATGCATTTTAAAATGTGTAAATTCTTTCATGCGATATCATATATGCACCTTTCTATATATGTCTTACACGTGCTTTACAGATCCAGGTAAAATTTGCCTGTTTGTACATTTCTACAATATTGGTAAAAAAAATTCTTTTATTCTTTTAGGAAATATTACGTTATTTTCTTTGTTAATTCGAGGTCAGTCTACACATATACATGTATACGTACGTACATACATAAATACGCAATGTGCCTCATTAAATATGATGAAAAAGTACAGTTTACCACAATCTTATAAAAAAATACTTACTGTTAAATCAAGGAAGTTTTTTGCAAAACAAAGATAATTTAAAGTGTATGATAGAAAACTAGTATGATCATGCTTAAGATAAACATATAAATTAGATTTCTATCAGAAAGTAGTTTCTTTGTAAGATTATTAACAAAGTAATTGTACTTCATCACATTTAGGAGGACATTTTATAACATACATATAGGCTGCTTCATAAAGAGCGGTATATTCAAGACATATCAAATTCTTTCATGCAAAATAAGATGATACTTAATATTTCTCCATAATTTTTAGTTAATATAAGTTATTAAACAAATAAGTGCTCAAAACATATAATATCACTCTGTAATTCTATTGAATACAAAAGTAAATTTTAATGGTATTCAGTTCAAATTTTTTAAGTAGTGGAAATCAGAAATGCAGTGGGAATTAGTAAAATGCATTAGCAGTGTAATACATAAATGAATTATTTTTAAATTAAGTTACTATAATTTTATAAAGTTAATAGGGTCTGGTTAAAAAAGCATTAAAACTCATCTTATTTTGGTGTAGAATTTTTTCTTTCTTGCATACACCATACCTTATGAAATATTGCTTTATATTACGGAGTTAATAAATCTAATTCATAATTTATTATAAAATTTCTGTTTAAGACGCAGGAAACTAATGATTATTTACAAAATGATTCGAAGCCGAAAAGATACAATTTCGTTACATGCTCATTAAATTAATTAAAAAAATTTTAATACAGTTTTATAAAATACTTCAGTCGTGAAGCAAAAGAAAAAACAAATTCGGCACATTATTCAGATAAATTTTTCAAAAATATGTAAGTACCTGAATTGAAATATCTAAAAGAAATGTATTAATGATTAAAAGTTGCAGAATACTATAGTAAAATCGAATGATTATAAATTTTTGGAACAGAATACTATCAGAAAAAAATGTCTTTAAATTTATAACCAAAAAGGATAACAATAATTATTATAATAATCGTTCTAATAATAATAAAATAATAATAACTACAATTGAATTACGCTTAAATGCTTTAACGTCCCTTAAAACAAGAATAATAACATTCATACCTACATACCTATACGTACATATACATGTATATACTCATCAATATACATACATGTTATATTAATGACATGTCGTATTATACATATAAATGTGTGTATATCTTATATATATGTATATGTATATGTATATACACATGTATATACACATATATATGGTTTCATATTCCTAAGTTATCCATTTTAATTAATCGATTGAACAATCGTTTCAGGAGGTTCGCATTTTTGAACACAATTCACGATTGCTAAACACTTTCACTGTAATCAACAATGGTTTTTTTGTATTAACGTTTACTTTTTCTTGTTTCCACCTAACCCCTTTATAATGATTTCCTCTATTATTATTTCACTTGAGTCTTAAGATGTTGCAAGAATTCATGGTAACTGAGAGAATTCTCAAAACGATCTTCAACTAATCGTTCAACAAAGAGTGTCCTGAAGTGACTGTCATCCCTGGAAATTAAACCAATCATACTTCAAATTAATAACGAGCAACTCTCCAAATAGTAAAAGTTTCTAAAGTTCCTCAGGGCAGTGATTAAATTCTGGCTTTGATAAGAATTAAATTGAGATTCAACTTACCGAATAATTTGTATACTGGCAGAGTAGGGCTTTTCTTCTTGTAAACTAAATACAAAATTACGTAACCTTTCATTTTCCACGGTTTCAAGTTCTGGTATGTCATACTAAAAAGAAAAATGTCGTGCAACCAGCAATATGATAAATAGTACAAGAGTTAAAAAGCTTTAATACCCAATTATGCAGATATACACTTACAAATTCTTCGGGTATTGAAGCAAAAGCAGAAACTCCAAGCACATTGCAACAAAAGTTAGGATGAATGTTTTTGCCGATTAAGATAAATATTCGATCACCAGCGTCCATCAAGAAAGCACCTCTAGAATCAAGTTTTTCGGCAGAAAGATGCAATCTAGGTGGTTGTGGACAAAGTTTCCCATCGATATCTTTCAAATTTCGATCATCAAGCATATGAATGGGATACAGATCTGGATAAATTGTCTGAATTAATTGAAATAGTGGCAGAGTTTTCAACTGGCACATTGCGAACACTCGGTCATCAAGTCGCGTACTGGTTCCGGACCTAAAGGCAACCTGAGAGAAACATTTTATTTTGCAATAAGCAGCAAAAGGAATATTTATATAAACATTATATAAATATAATGTAAATACACTTACACATTTGAGCAAAGCAATAATATAAAGAGGCAGTAACTTTAAACTTGCTGGAGCAAGAAGTCCACCTGGAGTCACTGACTGAGACAATTTGTAGGCTGATAATACATCTATAGCCACATTTATCAAAGCATCTCTCGCGTCGGATAAAGATGACTGCTGCGATCTGTCTACAGCTGTTAAAGAAATTACAACACAAAATCAAGGAAAACGTATCAAACAGTGTAACAAGATATCATGATTATACACAGAACAGAATTTTAAAGATACATAAGTACTTTTGCCATTTTATAAAAAAAAGATCTTACCCATTTTAGAAAGTAGGCCTACTATACATTGTTGATCAGCAGAATGAAGGACATCGGATAAAGTAGACACTACTGGTAGGCACAATGTATGCACCCTAATTCTTCTTTCCCCTAAAACATATTTTCTGTCTTCAACTCTTTTTCACATAATAAATAACAAACTATTTTACAAATTATAGAATCGTAATTATGTAAATTATTGTCTAATGCAGCAATTTTTCTAAACGTGCTCACCTTTACTTGATGTATAAAGCAAAGCTGCCTGAAAACATACATTCTGTACATCTGAAAGGCTCTCTTCTATAGAAATTTGCATTCCAAAACCAGCGTCCGGGTTGACGTTAGGTAAACTAAGAAGATCAGTCGATCTGACAAAGAAATTTCCATGAAAAGTATGAATACTCAAGCCACGAGTGCATCGTATTCTCATAACAGCTTCAAAACCAATTTTTCGAGTGAGATAACGTCTCAGTATTCTGTCAAGAGCTTCTGCATTCTGTGATTTTGATCCTCGGAATAAAGGAAGATGATATATGCATCCTCCAGAAAATTTACACATACCCGCTACAAAATAAAATTTCCCTCTGTTCTTCATATGTTCATGCAATGTCATATATAGATATAATTCAAAAGTAATTCTTACAAAGAGTAGCTAAATCACAATATTGGCTATTTAACAAGAATAAGTCGACTGCAATTTGTTGTCCACTGCAATCCAATGCCAATCTCTTATAGAAATCTGTAACTGGATTTAAATGTGGGACATCTTTGTTTGCTCTACTGTTTGGATCTTCCCTGGCTTGTAAGAGACCAGGACCCAGATTTGGTAAACAAGTTTGGAAAACAGTCACGCGTCCACCAGTGGGCGACTAAAGTCAAATGAAACTCGTTCATATTCCTTCTACTGTATCACATTGTTCAATCTTAATTTATATTTACCATAAGTTTATAAGCTGCCTGTAAGGCTGCACCCAGAGCACTATTTGTATCATGGGTTCCTTGAAACTTCGTTGGCAACTGGGCCAATAAATCTCTTACTAATTCCTCACGTTCTTTTAAGTTAACAATTAGATTGTCTGGACACGGAAGGAATCCATCTGCGCAAAGATATCTTGCTATTAAATTATGTGTGTTTATTAGCACATGTAAAAATGTTGAATATTACTTTACCATCTATGTCAAGCATAATCATTTCCTGAGGTTGTGAAACATTGTCGGGAATTCCAAAGAAATGTATCGCAGAATCTACTGCTAAGAATCCAATCTGTGTTCTACTATCGCCCGGCAGTTTTGATAATTCTTCTGAAATTACGTTGCAGACTACATTCAAGTAACCGCTCTCTACCGCCAGTCTCGAAACGTCCAAAACAAATAGATATACGGCTGGCTGTGGTGGACGCAGCTAAAATATATTTATACCATTATTCTAGTAATAATCAATATTATTGATACTAGTTTTTGTACGCATTTTACACGAATATTTCCTACCATATATTCACTAGGTGCAATAAATTCTATTGTGCTAGTGTTTACTTCCGGACGTCTTGATGGATCTCCATACGATTTTGTTACAGGATCAAACTGGAATTCCTCTGGTACTGAAAATATAATTTTCGTGTAAAGTAACTAAGAATGATTAATTATCAATTTAATGTGTAGTTTTAAAAATTTGTACTTACATTCATTTACTCTGTAACAGAGATTACACTTCCACCTTTTTGAATCATTGAAGAACACAAAAGGATTAATATACGTTCTACAAGCACGGCACCGCACTATCGTACTGCACTGTATTACTGGTAAGTGCTGAAAATACAACAAGTTAAATTGATTAGATAAAGTCACCAAATATAAACTACAAAGTAATAATATATATTACATACATTTAAATCTTTGAAAGGATGTATTAAAACACCTAGGGGCAATCTAGATTTTTGTAGTAAAGAATTTGATTCTGGAATCTTTGTGAGTGTACAACGAAAGATATCTGGGCTACAATTAACACTATCTAGAAACTCTTGATGAAGCTTGATCTTTGGTGGTTCTACTTTTTCTGGTGGTAAAACATTTCTATTTTGCAAGAGCTCAACTGTCTCCATTCCCCATAATTTATTATAACCAGTTTGTGCAACAGACATCATATTCATTTGACTGTTCAACTGATTCATTTGCTCAGGATATGATTCAGGATATCGCTTGTTCATCGAATCTAGTGGTGGTACATTTCCTAGATTTGGTGGCTGTCCTGGATACATTCTTTGTCCAGGAAATCCTTGAGGTACAGCTGGAATTTTTGTTTGCATCTGTACACCACCAACTGTACCATAAGGCACTGTATTTGGTACAGTGGTACCATGTTGTACATTGTATGCATTTTTTGGATACACTCGTGAACCTCCCAAATTTTGTGGATAATATGCTTGTCCTCTAGGTTGCTGCACAGTAGTTGGAATGATATTTTGCTCTTGCTGCTGCGCATATGTTTGTGTACCTTGCATGATATTTTGACTATCGGGTTTGTAAGGTTTTGGTTCTGATCCTGGATTCTGTGGCATGTTCTGATCAGATGCAGCCACTGTTTTTGGTGGTTCAGCTGGTGAAGTTGCTTGTGAATTTATTAATTCATCTCTAGGTGGAGGTTGAGTTTTTGTAACTGGTGCTTGGAACTGACTTTGAACATTATACATTGGTGGATATTGTTGATTCTGAGGTAACCTCACTGGTGGTGGTGGCATTAAAGGATTCATTGTATTTTGTTGGCCATTTATTGGAGGCATTAATGGACGTTGCAAGGGTTGTTTATATTGATTGTGAAGATAAGAAGTTGGTGATGGATCTCTTGAGGTTTCCCTAGATGGATCTCGTGATGAGTGGGAGGATGGAGTACCTTAAACAAAAATAGGTTGATTAAAACCTAATTCTTACTCAGTTTACCATTCATATATTACCCTAAAAAATAATATTTATATTGGTGCTTTTAATGAAACAACACATAATAAGATAATACCCAAAAGTTTATTAAAACAATGTACATTACAAAATTAAAACAATAAAGTATAATAAACATGAGTCCTTAAATGTGGCAGTGTAAAATAATGTACAAAATGAAAAGTTGATAAGATATTCTTACCTGTAAAGTTGTAATTTGGTGGTTGCATGCCATTATGGTGTGCCGCACTTGCCTGTCCATTTACCATTTGAGGAGGACCACTTTTTAAGTTACCCGCATTACCATATGGATGATATTGATAATCTGTTGGTTGTGACATAACGTTGACTTCCAAACGTCGCTAAAAGTGGTAATATGTTTATGTATTAAAATATAATAATATAGATAAGAATATTAATAGCAATATTAAAAATATTTAAAAATATAATACAATAATCACTTCAGACATATAAAAAATGAATTGTTAATTCATTGAAATACAACCTAATTTTGTTAAATCAAATATTCTAAGTCTCAGATATCCAAACAATATTGGGTAACATTGCTAGCATTGAATATAAATTATTATTCTTTATTACACTTATACTTTTTATCCCAATTTTATCAAAAAATATGATTAACATTATAGAACAAAATGAAATATTAAATGTTATTGTTAAAATTGTAATAGCAAATATTATACTTAGAAACTAAAATCTGAATAACTAAGTAATGAAGTGAAATCTGGTAGACTAATGATTAAATGTAAATTTGTAACACAACATCAATTAAGTATAATGAAACCACAGAATTTATTACTTGAGTACAATAAAATGTAGAATACTAAAAATAAAATGTTTAAGGAATGAAAATCAGGTTTGACAAGAATACAAACACAACATTATAATAAATGATAAAAGAAAACAATAAGATAATACAAAAATCAATAACAAAAAATAAAAGAACAGTAAATACAATATTAATAAAATGCAAGTTTTGCATTTGAAAAATACATACAAAAATTAAGATAAATTAATAAATAATCAAACGTGCAGTTCAAAACTGGGGATCAGACGAAAGAGAATATAATTTTCTACAGGGGTTTTCAAAGATTAAGAAGTGGAAAGATCAAAAGGTTAAAACGTCACGTCGGAACGAAGATCCTAAAAAACCCAGATCTTTCTTGTAGTTTTTCAAAACGAAATCATTTTCCTACCTTTTGGACGAGGTTATCACGGCGAATATGAATAAAATTTTAGATTTCACTGCACCATGAGACGTGCATTGCACTTTTTACTATATAATTCGCCGTTAATTGTCGAGAAGACGTACCTCGTCGACGCGACACACAACATTACGTGGCAACTCTGATTGAAGCGCCATTTTCGCTCGGTGGTCTCACTTTGAACCACATATTTTAAATCATTGATGTACATACAGGATCAAAATGCCATATAACGCGTGGCAATATAGCACGTGATAGTGCATGCGTGGGCTTATTTCAAACAAAACACAATTAATGAAATGTTTTTAGTTACAGAAGTTATATAATTTTTTGATTTATTTTCAATATTAAACATATAATTGGTTACATAAGATACACTGTTTGATCGATTTCTTAAGATTATATACATTTGGTACTTTTTTTATAATTAACGAGTTTAACCATCACATTTTAATTGAACAGTGAATAATTAATACATGTACAAATTAAGTAATTGTACGTCGCATTGATTATTTAATAATTTCATTGTTTAAAGATTTTGTAAGATCTTTTACCATAGAAAATTTAGATTGAGACCTAACGAACACTCATAAATTAAACATTTACATTATATTTGTACCATTTTGATTAATGTGGTTAATAAAAGATTGTTAGATGAGAACACGAAGATTCATTAATCTTTAGTTTAAAAATTGTATTTTCCGAATACCTTACAAAAAATTGTACGCTCCTCATTTTTTTCTTTGTCTTGTCTCTAATATCTAATTAAATTATCTTATCGCAACTTTGTTGTAATTGTTCTTGAACGCTTACAGTCTCTGCAGTTTGAAACATTTCTAGACATATCGATGGTAAATTACTTTTTAAAAGATGTTCCCTTAATTGAGCTGAAATTTAATTTTTGTCATTATGGCTTGAAGGATTAAAAAAATAATAAAATGAAATTTTTAATACCTGAATTGACAATGTTAGTTATGAATAACAAGGCATTACGTAAAACGTGTACTCGCATATTTTCAAGATTAAAGAATTTGCAAAGTTTGTCTCCTATGTCTGCTTCAAGAAGTGATTTTTCACATTCTGCCAAAGAGCTTATGGTCATTATTGTTAAACTAATTAAAGCTTCATTTTGCATTAGAAGATGTTGTGCTGTTAACATTTTGGCTAAATGTTTTATTGCACCATGTTCAATTACCAAAAGTACTATTTCTTTATCCCTGAAAAAAGAATAACTTTTACTAAATTAATATTGATATTAAAATTTATATAAAAATATCCAATAACCTGCTGTTATTGATTAACCATGCGATTAAGCGATTTGCTTCACCCTGAACTCCAGGATGATCCTCAACTTCACACCACTCGACAGCCTTTTTTATTAAACCATCTTTCTTTCCCAATTCTATTGCAGCTTCAGCTGCAATAATAAAATTATCATTTAAAATAAATGTGTTAACAGAAAACGACAATATATGTCTAAAGTAAAATCTTACTTTGGCCATCAATAACAATTCTTAAAGTTCCTAGTAATTTGAAGACCACAGGATATGATGAAATGCTTAACATAGGATATAAAACTTTTAATAATCCATCTTTCAATATTACAGGTTTATTAACTGCAGGAATGACAAGATTTCTTAGAGCACCAAGCAAAGCATGTTGAAACCTTATGTCAGCAGCATTTGTATTATTATCTTGTAGTAATTTAAGGAGTTTGCGGTGAACGTTTTGTGTGACCATAAGTTCGCAATGAGTGTCGGTGCGCGCAAAATTACACATTGCCAATGCTGCCGTAAGTTGTAAATCCCTATCATCACTTTCAAGCCATTCAACTAGTTTCTTATATACAACACCATTACCATCATCATAGAGGTTATTCATGCTATCATCTGAAAATATTTGATATCATTTTCTCAGAATATAAGGTGTAAGATAACAGTAATGCAACTTTCATATTCGTTAATATCTTCGTCATTGGTTTTATGTTATTGTACCTCCGGTTAATACCAGAACAATTAAGTTGCATGCTGTTTTCAGGACACTTCTGGTCTCTTCATCTGTACAATATGGACTATGTTTTTCCAAAAGTTTTAATAACAACTCGCAAACACCTGAATTTGCAATTAATAATTTGACTTCCTCTGAAATGTAATCAGTTGTTATGCAATGCATTGTGCGCATTTTAAAAACTTTAAATACATTTTATAAATTATGTGAATACCATCCTCTGCTTGACCATGAAAAAGTTCCAAACACATTTCAGAAAATTTTGACGATGCATCATTTTCCAAAATATTCACTAAAATTTTTGTAAGTCTTTCATCCAAAAACACTATGTTGGCATCATTTAATATCCATAATATTAAAAGAGCATGCATTGCAGCTTCTCCACCTGTGGTCCCATCAATTTCCAGAATTCTACAGATAATTGGGACTACTTCCTGTTGTAGTGCCTAAGAAAGTTTACCTATTTATAGTTTAACATATGAATAATCATAAATATATTAATAATAACATGTTATTTCTACCTTGGATAAAATCATTCAACTTATATTTTCCATATAATTTCCATTTCAAAACTTTAAATGCAAAAAATGTTTCTTAGAATATAATAGTATACTCATAATACTATAAGTATCAACAATTATAATAAGCATGGTAACATATAGGAAATATCACACCTCTTTATGGAGAGATGGTCTATCGAATAGAAAATTCAGTAGAAGTCCTACAGCAACAATACGGAGGAATGGTGCACCCTCTACATTCTCTAATGTAATACTTTTCTCCAATACTGCCAAAATTGACATCAACCCATTTTTATCCTCCACAAACTTTTTACCATTTTCTATAATAATGAATAAAATTTTTTATGAATATTAACCCTTTGCAATCTTTAATTACTTTAATAGAATAATACAGGATAATAAATTCTATAAGAGAATAATAAATTCCAATGAAAAATTATTAATATCACTACATTATAATAATGGTAGTATTAATGTTAACTACATACATGAACAAAATTGGGTCATTAGAGATTGAAGCTCCCTACCATTTTCATAACAAATATTTCCTAAAGCTCTGGAAGTCTGTATTAATACATCAACTTGGTCATCCTTTAAAAGATCTATCAATGCATTCACTATGTCTATATTGGTACATTTTTCTCTTCCTCTTTCACTTTTAGCAATTTCTGCAATTGCTTTGGCAGTTTTTACAATTATTTCCTTGGATTCATGACGCAACAAAGTCAAGAAAACATCATCTATCATAAATTCTGAAGCCTCTGTAAGAAGAATAACATTTATTTGTTAAACAGCATCATATATGTCATTTTCAATATTTTTATTAAGATCTTCAATTATATCAGATTTTCCTGTTTAAATAAATTTAATTAACACATTTAATTAAATTATCAAATACATAATGACTGTAAATCATAATTGAAGGAGTATCTTAACAAAAATACCTCCGATAGAAGTTTTGCTAACATTGACAATAGAATCTAAAACTTGAATTATATCTTTAATCTCCTTCTCAAACATCACAACAGACCGTAATTCTTCAACTAACTCATCAATGTTTTGTTCCAATTCACCTAAAAGCAAATCATTAGGAAATTAATAAATACATGATTAAGTCTAAATACATAGATTCATTATTGTATTTTAATAACTGAATATTTAGCATATGTTTATGTTCTTTTCGTGATATAGTTAAAGAAGAGACTACAATGATCTACATTACAGAGTACATTAATTGCTATAAACTTTATTATAAATAAAGATAAGCAAAGATAATTAAAATTAAGTTATTGGTTATTAAATATTTTCATGACAAATTATTAATAAGTGAATAAACAAGTTTTCTTTGTACATAAAATTATATCAATTAATATAATACAATATTTCAATATATTACCTTCCATTATTTCTTTTAATTTTAATAAAATGAATTTTAAGTGTTACTGAATGTTCTGCATTAACGAAACAACTTCAAAGGATCTTCCATAAATTACAAAACATTACACAGATAAGAAATTTATATTTCTCTCCATATACCACAGGCGATTTGTCGACTGATGAGAATGATCTCTGTTTGAACAGATAGGGAGTTTAATTTTTGTGGTTGAGAAACATGTCACTTCCGTGTAGGTGATGTTTCCGTTTGGTTACGTGTTGTGTACGGTGCGGCTACTTACAGATAATAAAACCGGTGTGTCTCGTGGCAAAGAAGTTTCACGTATGGTACATGATGAAATTTATGAATAAATTCTTCTGTTTTCTTACAATATTAAAAATTGTAAATGCCGGTGGTCCAACGCTTGTTCTACTTGATAATTTAGCAATAAAGGAAACACATTCTATATTTTTTAAATCATTACAGGGTACGTAAACATTCTCCTAATTTCACTGACATTATTATCAGTTATGATTCATTGACAATCAGTTCAAACTTTATTTCTTTATCATAATATTACAATGTTTATACAGCTACGTATCACAGTTAATATCTCTGTAATTTTCAGTGAAAGTTGTAAAAAGACTAAGGTTAAGTTCATCAACCTGATTTATTTATTCTTAAAATTGTTTCTGTAACTTTGTAAATGTATACCGGTTTAAGTAAACAATTATTATTTTTCAGATAGCGGATACACATTAACATTTAAATTAGCAGATGATGCTAATTTATTACTCTCCAAATATGGAGAATATTTATACAAACATTTAATAATATTTGCCCCATCCGTGGAAGAGTTTGGTGGTGCCTTAAGCGTTGAGGCAATAACTGACTTCATAGATGGGGGTGGTAATGTATTGGTTGCTGGTTCATCTCAATCTGGAGATGCTTTACATGAATTAGCCTCTGAATGTGGCTTTGAAATTGACGAAGAGGGTTCTGCAGTAATTGATCACTTGAACTATGATGTTTCTGATAATGGATATCATACAAAGATAGTAGCAGATCCTTCCAACTTAATAGATGCTCCTGTTATTGTTGGAAGCAAAGATGTAAAACCTTTACTTTACCAGGGAACTGGGTTAATAGCAGATGTAGAAAATCCATTGATTTTACGTCTGTTAACTGCATCTAGTTCAGCATATTCATATAATCCACAAAATCCAATAAAAGAATATCCACATGCAGTTGGCAAAAATACATTGCTAATTGCAGCTCTGCAAGCTAGAAATAATGCAAGAGTTGTATTCTCTGGTTCCTTGTATTTCTTCAGTGATGAAGCATTTACTAGTTCCATTCAAAAAGCTCAAGGTGAGTGAAATAACATTAAACGAATAAACTATTTTTTTTATATACATATTATTAATGTAACAAATGCTACAGATGGGCAGAAATATGAAAAATCCGGAAATGAGGCTGTGGCAACCATGATTGCTCGCTGGGTCTTCAAAGAAAATGGTGTAATACGTGTTGCAGCAGTTCATCATCACAGAGTAGGAGAATCTGAACCACCAGCAGCATACACCATAATGGATGACGTTGTTTATTCCATCGATGTGCAGAAATTGTCGGGAGATAAATGGGTTCCTTACGAAACGAACGACTTACAATTGGAATTCGTCCGTATTGATCCATTTATCCGAATGACAATGAAACCGGTAGGAAATGGCCGTTACGAAGCTAGATTCAAGATCCCCGATGTTTATGGGGTGTATCAATTTAAAGTCGATTATACTCGCATTGGTTTAACGCACTTGTACAGCACAACGCAAGTGTCGGTCCGTCCTTTACAGCACACGCAATATGAACGCTTTATTCCGAGCGCATTTCCTTATTATATAAGCGCGTTTTCAATGATGGGCGGCGTATTTTTGTTCTCACTTGTATTCCTTCATTACAAGGAAGACACGAAACCTAAATCTGAATAAACTTAATATATAGTCAAATTAATTCGTACGTATGTTTTTGAATGGGTTACGCACATACGTTGTATCGTTTTCTGAATGTATGTACATACAAATTCTAAATTTAACCTTGGAACAAAATGCATTTACACACGCGTGTAAAATAAAACCTCTGTATTTATTAAATAAAATATTAGAAACTTAAGTAAAATGAAGAAAAAGTTCAAGTATCGCACGAAGTTGTTATGATATCATTGTCAAAAATGTTTTTACAATTACAGTAATAAATAAAGAAATGTAAATGAATACTCTTGTTCTTTATTAAGTCATTCCCCAAAATATATGATCAAAATATAATTATACTTCAAGTATATTGTACATGAAAAAATAGATATAATTTTTATTATTAAAAAAATTACAACATTCATAGATTCATGTTTGATAAATATTAATGAAATCAATTCTTAACATAAAACCGGTTAGCGTATCTAATAATATTACACATGATGACATACATCTTTTATGTTATACAAAAAAACTTGTTTCGATGCTAGTAATCGTAAGTTTCAAAGTTCCATCAATGATGTCGAAATAGTTCGACGTTCCGTAGATTGGTACACGATCAATGAGTGTTGTACAGTGTTGTATGATATGACTCTCAGTATTAACAAGATATTTCAAAGTTTTCGCAATAAATGCGGCAGTATTGAGATATAAAAAATGACGTTTTTATTTAAGAAGAATCATAGTTTGCCAACGGCATGCTTCACAAATGCTGTTATTTCGTGAGTTTCGAAAAATCGAACGAAACTATAAGCATAACCTATGGAAATTTTTCATGCTCACTTCTGTAAATAAGATTGTTTATATAGTAATTAAGAAGCTTTCTGATTTTTCAAAATGTTGGAAGGACTCGTTGCTTGGGTGTTAAATAATTACCTAGGAAAATATGTCGAAAATTTAAACACAGATCAATTGAGCATTGCTTTACTATCGGGTAAGGTTATGTTTTCATGATTTTATTAATGAATTTACATTGAAACATTTTGTTGACATTTCTTTACCTCATGACATTTCTATAATATGTTGTAAAAATTAAAGATATATATTTTAAATGTCATGAAATAAATAATAACTGTCTTTAGGGTTCTAAAACTTGTATTTAAAGATATATTATTTTCATCAGGGGAAGTCGAACTAGAAAATCTTCCGTTAAAGAAAGAAGCATTGCGTCACATTGGTTTACCAATTGAAATAAAAGCAGGATTTATCGGTAAAGTTAGGTTGCAAGTACCTGTTCGTCAAATAAGAACAGCGTCATGGGTCATAGCCATAGAACAACTTTATTTAGTAGCAGGACCAATCAGTTTAGATGAAGTACGTATCTTGTATATTACAAATTCTTTAATGATATTAATTCATTCTCAAAGAATGACATATTGGTATATCAATGCCACATTAATTATGTCAATTCTCTTACTGTTCATAATTTAGGCCTATGCTTATGAGGCTGGGACTGTTACAAATGAGTTGAGTACATTATTTATTTGTGTGTAATTGTGTTTGTAGTTTGACAATGAGGCAGAAGAGCAAGCAATTTTAGAGTATAAGTTGAGTCGACTAGATTCTTTGGAAGCAAGATGGAGAACAGACACAGAGCATGATCCTGGATACTATGCTGCAAGTTATAGTTCATGGGTAAATTATGGTACTTCCTTAGTTACAAATATCATCGAAAATTTACAGCTTAACATTAAGGATGTTCATATAAGATATGAGGATGGTATAACATTATCGGATGGTGAGCAAATTTTTGATTAAAGGAGATTCATAGCTGAAGATGTTCTGCCAGAATGGAAGAATTAAAAAAATAATTGTCTATAGGCATTGCACTGGGTATAACTATAGGAGCTTTAACAGCTCAGAGTTGTGATGCTAGTTGGATACCTGGATCAACTTCATGGAATCTTACAGATGCATCTTTTAAGCTTATGGAACTTGATAAACTTTCCATTTACTGGAATCACTTGAAAAAGGAGGAATTTTTTGGTTCTCTCAATCTCGGTGATTTAGCTGTATGTATTACAGTTTTTATAAACTGTTTAATCCTTTGTTGCACCTTGTCAAGCATATATGAACTATATAAATGAAAATTTATTTTTTTTAAATTGGAAGAATCATGTAATGAGTGAATAGTACACTTTCTTTTTTTGCTAGATTGCTATGAGCGAACCAAAAAATGTAATAAAAAAGTACATTTTATCACCCGTTAGTGCAAGAGCGCATATTAAAAGAGATAGATCTGAACGACCTTTAAGATCAACAAGTAAACCAAGAATTATAGTAGACCTTCTGTTAGATGATGTTCCATTATGTCTCACAGATGTAAGTTGCACGCATCCATTTAAACTTTTAATTTAAATGAAGTTTAATTACAAAACAGTGTGATTAACTCTTTCATTAGGTACAGTACGAACAAATAGTTAAATGTATAAGAGGCCTCAAAGACATAGATCGACATAAGCAACAGAGACGTTGCCGACCAACAGTCAGCGTTTCCGCAGCACCTAAAGAATGGTGGAAATATGCAGCACGATGTCATCTTGGTAAAGACACCCTCATACCTAAACCTACTTGGGAGGACATTCTTCAGAGAGGCAGAGAAAATATTTTATATGTGGAGAGTTACACTAAATTGCTAGGTATTTTCATAAATATTATAAGATTTGTATCTTCAACTTTGATTGTAATTAATGTTATATTATAGGAACACCAACTAGTATTTTACCTTCGGATACTAAACAGTTAAAAGAAAAGGTAGAACAGGAACGCAGTTTCGACGAACTCAGAGTATTGAGAGAGATAGCGATGCACAGAGTTAGGCCACCAAAACTTGTACAGAATTCCAACGTGAACGTTCCACAGCCTCGTGGAATGCTTGAGCAGTGGTTCCCACAGTGGTGGGGTTGGTACTCAAAGGCACCAAACATAAATACTCAGACTACGTCGTCCACGTTCGATGGAGAACTTCTGGACGTTTTAGCGGATACTATGGACGATGACACTTTGCTACGTCGTGATACCGTGTTTGGCCAGTTTAATTTCACGTTATCGAAAGGTGCCGTTTCTTTATGCACAACGAAAAATGATAGCGAGATTGAAAAATCTGTAATAGAACTGCAGTTTGAACGTGTAAATTTGAGTTACGAGTCGAGACCCAGATCTGGATCACACAAGTTTTCTATCAGTTTAGGAGCACTGTACTTGCACGACTACCTCACAGAGAATTCCACTTTCCCCATCTTGGTACAACCTCAAGTAATATTTTCTACTACCTCACGAATTCGTAGTTCTACGGAAAAACTGACAAATCAGTTACCTCAACACTTATTTGAAATGACGTACGAGAAACGACCGCTACATTTGACCGCTGACCACTCGCTGCACGTGAACTCGAGGTCTCTGGACGTGGTATACAACCCTGCTGTGATACACTGGCTCATAGACTTCATATGTAAACCGCATAGGGCATCCACGAATCAAAAATTTCAAGCGATGAAGCGCAGAACTCGGAGGCAGCTTATCAAGAATTGGGAACAGATCTTGGATGCAGATCTCGTGTATCGATCATCGTGGGATTTGCAGTTTAATATATCCGCACCGCAAATTTTACTGGTGGAGAACTTCGTGGACTCGAATGCCGCAGTCGTAGTCGTTGATTTCGGAAAGCTTCACTTATCGAACAATGTACAGAACAACGAGGTAATCATAAAACCTGGCTCAGGAACGAACAGCGACGACGAGGACGAGAGGTTCGAGACACCGTGTTCAACCCCGCCTGGCAGTCAAGAAAATGGTTCCATTCAAGATTTCCAAACGATATCCGAAACAGCGTTACACCAGAAACTGTACGACCATTACTCCATCGACCTGGTCGATTTACAAATTTTAGTTGGGAAGGTGAACGACAATTGGAAACACGTGCGGACAAGAGGAATGTCCAGCTTACACGTTCTGGAACGTTTCAACATATCATTAAAAATCGAAAGACGAGTGTTCGTCTCGTCGGATCCAAATTTACCGTCTGTTACAGTGTCAGGGAATCTACCAAGATTAGTGGTGCACGTTAACGAACAGAAAGTAGAAGCCATTCGACTGATGTACAGTTTGCTGACGAGCTTTTCCAAGTCCACAGGAATTCCTCAAACCGACGTGATCAACGTCGAACCTGAAAGTCCCAAGAAAGAAGAAAATTTGGACAAGTCTTTGAGTCATGCGGTGATGGTTCAGTTCATTATTGATCAAATGACTTTTGAGTTGCAATCGAGGGGTCGCAGTGTAGCGGAGTTACAGGTCTCCGGGGTTCGAGCCGCTTTCAGCAAAAGAACAGCGGACATCAGTATTTCCTTGTCGGTCCATGGATTGTTACTCGTGGATGCTCTTCAAGAATTCGGCCCCGATTTCGAGTTACTAGTAGCCAGTCACAAACACGTAGGAATGGACAGCATCTCAGGCAGTTTAAGAGACTCGGAACCAACGTCACCGGTCTCTCCAGTCTCTCCTGGATCTCCGGACCCCAATGTTCCTAGACGACTGACTTCTCCGATCGCTTTAACAAATGCTCTGTCCAATCTGGCGAATAAAGCGAAGAATCCTCAGTCTCCCAGAAATAATTCATTGATCGATTTAGAGAAGATGGACTCTGAGGCTCTGATCGTAGTCGAGTTAATGTTGGTATACGACGTATTAGAAATTTTGAGAGTTGCCAACATTCAGTTCAACAACCTGGACATCATCGCCAATCAAGAAACAATCGTGGAGCTAATGGGCTTCTTCAGAAGGATATTCCCGTCTCGAAAAATGAGACCGGGCATCATAGAAAGACAGGAATCACTTTCGAGTCAAAGTACGGAGTCGAAAGTCTCCACCAGGACTGAGATTACTTTTGATTTCCACAGACTGAACGTTCTGCTTCTGCGGGCAGTGATGCAGGATAACCACTTGGTAGGGCAAAAGATTGCTACGGCCACAATGTGCGATGCCCGCATACAAGCGACTTTAGCAGTGAACGCTTCTATTTCTGGATCACTTGGAGGTCTACAGGTGCTGGACCAAACGTCAACCGGTAAAACTCATCAGCGTATAATCAGCGTCGGTAGAGACCCCATAGCGGATCCACCTCAACATCCACTGGAACACTTTACAAGCTTAACCGACCAGCCCGAAGCATTAAGATTCTCAGCCAACAGGTGTACCAAACCCTGTGCACAACAGCAGGATGGAATGGAGACTCTGATAGACTTAACAGTACGCATAGGTAGCGTCTGGTACACTCATGCTCCACATTTACTTTCAGAACTGCGTTCCTGTGCCGACGAATTTAAACAGTATTTGAGCAATCTTGCACGCCAGATCAGCGCAGCTGCTACCGACATGGCTATCGGTCTGGTGAACGCAGAGGACTGGTCGATACCACCGCGTAGACGCTTGCCAAGTCTCTCAGTAGACTTGGAGAACCCAGGGATCTTGTTTTTTAAGTTGGACGTTCTTCTGGACAGCCCTGTATTGGTGATACCAAGGTCGTCTCACAGTAGACAGGTGTTCGTTGCTCACCTTGGTACCATGTCTCTGCAACACGAACCTCATCCTGGCTCTATGGCGAAACACAAAGTGATTCTAGAGGTCCGGGACATGAATCTGTACTCTTTAGAAATATCTGCCAATATCGGCAAGGCGAACAGCAATCTACCTTTGAGGGCTGAGCAGATGTACAGTTGCAAGGAGTCAGGTAAACCGATCTTGCACGATACTGTCCTAAAGGTTGTAGTCGAGAAGGAAACCGCACTGGCACAGAGCCCCAGTTTCTTTTTCGACGGTGAGTTCTCAAGCAATCCCATCGTCCAGGTTCATGGAATCGTCATGACACCTCTGAAAGTGTCTCTGTCTCGAGGACAGTACGAGCAGCTGTTGGACACGATCAACAGGTTGTTCTCGATGCCAGTCTCGGTGCCGGTTGTTCAGAAATTACAGACAACGAACAAGGTGCAGAACAACTATTCCGACAAGCTCGACTTGTCCATCAAGGTTCTGTTCGAATTACCCACGTTGAGCATGGAGTTGAAGCAGGGTCCTTTGGAGCAACCGTTGGTCGAGCTGTCGATGAGGGACTTCGTTGCAAAGTATGAGAAGCTGCAGAAAAACGAATCTACCATTCAGGTCGCACTGCGTTCTCTCCTCATGGAGGACCTGCTATGCCCTATTGGTTCACGACACCGCTGCATGATGCAGTCCTCGGCACCGACTCGCGCCAAACTTCCAGCTGGTGTTTCCAAATCATGTCCTAACTTTGCATTTATACAGCAGGTCAAGAGCCAGTGTGGACGAGGAAGCTTGCCCGATAGATTGGAGACAGACACGTTGTACGGCACAATCCCTGCTCACTGGCGTAGGAAACCTGTGTCGCTGATACATACTCCAAACACGCCGCCTCCATCGCCCGGTGCATCCACCAGTGAGGAAAATTTGGTTCTGTTGAGTATCAGCATTATTGAGCCTGACCATGACCAGTTAACGAAAGACCAATTTCATCAGAAGATAGTAACTGTAGATTTCAACTGCCTGGACTTGGTAATAAGCGTTGAGTCTTGGATGGTAGTGTTCGACTTCTTTGGATTTGCTGGTCCGTCTAGAGTTAATCCCAAAGTCACCATGCACCAAACATCTGTAGACGTGGATCAGCTAGACAAAGTGGATAATCTACCTTTGAGGTCAGAGACTGAAATAGAAGTCAGGTCTCTGACACTAGTATTGATACAGTCTGAAAGAGAGATCGCAAAGGCCAATGTATCTAATGCAAATATGCACATTTTAAAGGCTAATGGAAAGACAAAAATATCAGGGTCCTTGGGGTCCATGTCCTTGTTAGATCTGACTCCACATGGTAGGTTTTATAGAGAGAGATTCCTTTCGTCGGGAAGGAAGGCTCTGAATTTTCAGTATTCTAGTTATGTAGACACAGAGAAACGACCATACGATGCTCAATTGAAGCTGGAAATGTCTGCGGTGCATTATGTGCACACACAAAGGTTTGTGGCAGAACTTCAGGCATTCTTTGGCCACTTCTCCCAACTGTGGACCATCATGGCAAACCTAAGAGCTGGAGTTGGTGCTATTATTGACACCAATAAAAGGAGTATGAGGTTATCGTTGCAACTCCAAGCAGGTGCTCCTGTGATACTGCTGCCAGTCAGTTCAAGATCTGACGAGCTGATTCTATTAGACCTGGGAGAACTCACTGCTCACAATCAGTTTGCGGTTTCAGAAGTTGTAGACAAATGCATGTTAGATGTAATGTTCCTCGAGTTGGTTAACATGGACGTTTATGCAGCAAAAAGAGTAAACTGCAATGATCAGGATGACAAAATGGATACACTGATGGTTGGTGGTTTTCACATTCAAAAACTTGGGTCCTCTTTACTCACTGAAATGTGTCATCTGAAGCTACGCATCGAAAGAAACTTGGACATTTATATCAGCAGAGCAATTCCGGACTTGAGCATACATGGGACCCTCTCAACCATGGACTGCGCTTTGGATCCTGCCCAGTATATGTTGATTCGAGGACTGCTTTCTTACAACATTGGAGAAAATTTAGAGGACTTGCGTCAGTTTATGCAGGATCTTGACCAAACGGTGGAGTACTCAATAACCAATGTAGATAATAGGGGAAAGATCTGGAAAAAGTCTTGTATAACTCTGGAACTGGTGAACGTGACCGTGAAGCTACACCCAAATCACAATATAGCAGCTCTAGCTTGCGTCAATTTTATTAAGTCCAGGTTGACGTTGGATTCGTTGAGTGATGGGTCGCAAGACATTGACTTGGTGTCCCAGGAGATTTTAATCACAGACATGAGATTCCAGGATGAACCGGTTAACAAACAATCTAACGTTTTCACAAGTATCTTACAGCCTCTGAGGAATGCCAACAATGAGAATCGTGTCCAGGCTGAGGTGCATCACAGAAGACGTAAGACCAACGCAGCCACGACCATTTTGGTGCACAGTATGCGATTGACCGCTATTCTTGATTGGTGGGAGGCCGTCAGGGATTTTTTGATGTTGAATTCCATGGAACCACAACCCATTATTGGAATCGCACAAACAGCTACTGAAAACAACCAGGAAAACGAGAACAATGCCTTAACTGCGATACCGGTTGAGCTGAAGATCAACATCACTGATTCTGAGCTGGTTATTGTAGAAGATACATCAGTCCGCGATACTAATGCTGTTATCCTGAAGAGCACCGCTGTGCTTTCATATCGGTCCGCTCCTCAGGAAGGAGAGAAACCATTGTCCTGTAATTTGTCCCACTGTGAGTTATTTTCCTGCATTTTGGGATTGGAAGAAGAAACAGCATTGTCCATAATTGACCCTGTGGGAGCCAGTTTAGATCTGACGCAGGACAAGTGTCTGGAGATACAGCTGCAGCCACTTTGTGTGAGATTGAGCTACCATGATGTGACCATGTTCTCCAGGATGCTCAGCTCTTTGCCAAAACAGACTTTGCTAGCTAAACAGAGATCTAGTGAAGCATTGACTACCCTTGAGAGACAGGTGCAACAATTAACTGCATTAGGATTCACAGATGCTGATTGTAGGGCAGCCTTGGATCTGTGTAATGGTCAGCTGGATGAGGCAGCTTTGTGGCTGACACAAAATGCAATACCTGACTCCAATGTTAACACAAACAATGAATCTGTGTTTCATATGATTGAGTTGCAAACACCTTGTGCAAGGATATGCATCATAGATGACTGTAGAGATGCTGATGTGCCATTGTTAGAGATGTCATTGCTAGATCTTAATCTGAAGCAACAGTACATGGGACCTGGTCTGGTTTCTTCCACATTCAGCATTGATTATTATAACAGGGTCCTGAGTGGATGGGAGCCCTTCGTTGAACCATGGAAGGCTTCAGTTCACTGGGAACAGACCTTTACTAATTCCCTCAGTGCCAAGAGACTGCAGATGTCTATTGACTCTCAAGATTCTGTGGATGTTAATATAACTTCTACATTAGTAGAATTGATAGAGTTAGTGAAGAACAACTGGATGCAGGATTTCTACTTAACATCCACTAAAGATGTTAATGTAAATAAAACAAGTGGGAATGGAACAGCGTACAAACGTCGAATGCCTTTCATTCCTTTTGCATTGAAGAATGAAACTGGTTGCAAATTGTGGTTTAAAACGATTATTGCCACAGCTGACGATACTAAAGACATTGGGCAGAATTTTAAAACAAAGAACGTTTTTCAGAAGGATGATACTTGGCTAGAAGTTGTTCCTGGTGAGACAGTCCCATTTACGTTTGAAGGAAGAGGGAAGTTAAGGCATCATGCAACTCATACAGTTCGCAGACATCAAATTACAGTGTTGATAGATGGATGGAGACCGGTGGACCCTGTTACTGTGGATCGTGTTGGCATATACTTCAGACATGCAAATACAAATGCTACTACTTCACAGGTAAAGTATAATGTTATTGCATGTTTCTTTTCTATGCTATAGATTGCAAACGATTGATTTCAGTTTCAGATGTTCACACCAAAGGCCAGAATAGTATTTGCTGTTGAATTAGAAGGATCAGCTAGAAAATTAGTGACAGTTAGATCGGCTTTGCAAATATCCAACAAATTGAAACATACAGTGGAAATCAAAATGGAGAAATCTTTGAATCAATTTGGACGTACGTTGACTAGTACTTAGAAAGTTGTCTATATTTTTGATCAACTACTAATCTCATGTTTCTCTCTTATAGATTTACCTCTGTCTGTCAGCGACAGAATTCTACAGGTACCTGCATCGTCAACCGTATCGGTACCTCTAACGCACACCGGTGTACAAATGTGTATAAAACCTATTAATCTGAATAACCTGTTCCAATATTGTACAGAAACCATAGATTGGACAGTAGTAAAGAAACCGTTAGAAATTATAGAAAACCGTATTACATGTAGAGCTAATCATAACAATATATTTAGGTATTTAATTGCACTACAATATTGGCATGGTATTATTGCACATTTCTGAGCTATTTTTCTCTTGCAGAATATGTGTAGCAGTGATGCGAGATAATTATCCACCTGACACTACTCAAGTGCTACCAGGACACACTATAACAGTGATGGCTCCTCTTACATTGACCAACTTATTACCTCATGAATTGTTGTTTGAAGTAGGTACAGAAAACGGCAGAATCCTACCCGGTGGTAGTGCAGACTTGCACACTATGAATGTTGAAGAGCAGCTAGAGATTGTGATACAATTAGATGGTTATCCTGGTCCAGGAATGGTAAATTTTCTTGCTTTCAACTTTATTAAATATTCAAGTATCTAGTACCTAAGGTCTAGATTTATAACGTTTCTTGCAGATGATATTGCCTTCACATACCAGCTCATTTACCGCTCGTCTCAGACTAACAGATTCCTCCGGCAGAATATTATACCTACATGCAGCTGTTAATATAGAAAAAGGTTCTGGCATACAAATCAACATCACAGCCCCTTATTGGATCATCAATAAGACGGGTTTACCGCTAGTATTTCGGCAAGAAGGAGTTGGAGTTGAAGCAGCTGGTCAATTCGAAGAACACGAGAAGGCTAGAATGATAGAACCGCTGTTATTTTCCTTCAGCGATGAAGAAGCTAGCAGGACCTTATCAGTAAGAGTGGGCACTGCAGTGCATCCTCAGGGAATACCTCAATGGTCTCAGCACTTTCATTTGCAACCTGGAATACAGGTTTGTCAAGATAATATTTATCTTCAAGTGCATAAAGAAATATATGTCACTTTTGAACATCCACAGGTGCACCGTCTCAGAATATCCTTGCGCGACGGTCGACCGGACATAGTATATTTAATTAGTGTGGCAACTAGGACAGCAAGAGGAAAATACAGGGCTACCACAGTGGTCACGTTATCTCCCAGATACCAATTGCACAATAAATCAAGTTTCACTTTGGAATTAGCTCAGAAATGTTTTACTACAACGATTGTAAGTCAGAAGCACGAGTCGTTATTTCCATTTTGATGCAGCATCCTTTTCTTTACTGCTTGCAGAGTCATCCAGATGCTCAAGCAACGTACATAAGAACCATGCCAGATTGTCACATGCCATTTCATTGGCCACGTCTCGACAAGGACTTATTACTGTGTGTCCGTATCACGAATGTCAAAGATTGCATGTGGTCTGGCGGTATGAGACTGGACGATAATTATTCGTTGACGATTAACATCAGAGATGCAATAGGAAGAATGCACTTTCTTCGAGTAGATGTCGTGTTACAAGAAAGTACTTATTTTATTGTCTTCACTGATGCGGATACTATGCCACCGCCTATAAGAGTAGATAATTTTTCGGAGGTGCCTTTGATAGTCAATCAGGTAACTATTTAAGTGATAATGCTTCTTTTTATTTGGTTCATGTAACCATAAGTCGAAAGTAACTCGCATGCTACAGTTAGTTTTTTTTGGTAAGCTATCTAACTGGATTAATTAGAAATTATTTTCAAGAGTATTTTTGTAGGTTACTGTACACGACAGTCTGCAGTGGACTGTCAGGCCACATTCATCCGTACCGTATGCACTGGATGAGCCAATTGAATCTGCTGGTTTAGTTTTAACTGCACCTGGAGGAGTAACAGCTACGTACGACTTGAATATACTCGGTGAAAGTAGAGGTCTGACTTACGAGAACTTCATTTACATCGCTTTTACTGGTAATACTCATTTATGTGGTATACATTAAAATGTTTACTATGCACTGCAATATGTGGTTATTGTAAATAGGTACTTTCAAAACTGACTGCGATCTGGGAACAGGAGAGGGTGGTCTTGACCCTCTAGACGTTGAAACGCAAAGGTTAGTTTTAGAAGCTGGTCCTGGTGGCTGGGTTGCCTTGCGAAGGAAGCAGTACGGGGCTAGATCACAACTTTGGAGAATGACTGGTGATGGTCAATTACAACATGAAGGTGTGCAGATAGAAAAAAATTGGTTCACTGATTTGAGTATTTTTTTTAACTATTTAAAATCATTGTAGGATCTAGCCCACCCAGAGACAAGCACTCAAAGACCCCTGAAACGGTGTTAGTCCTAGATATCGCAGGCACAGCACCACAACCTTTTACATATTGTGCTCTTGCATTGAGGAAACCTGATCCCAGAAGAAGATCAACGCAAACATGGCGGTTCACCGATGACGGGCGATTGTGTTGTGCACATAAGAACATGTGTGTTCAGTCGAAAGACGGATTTATGGGATTACACGAAGGTTTGGCGCGTCAAGATCCTTCTACTCTGTACATTTATTTAGCATAGTCTGGTTTTACCTGTTGTTTTTGTAATCACTTATACACGGAATTGTTTAGATCACTGGATCAATTTTAATAACTCGATTGTAGCTTAACTTAATATTTATTTAAATTATTTTGTGTTAAGGCACAATGTTTGGGAAGTTATGAAAATGGTTCCAGTTGCGTGGCCCACTGTGCATACAAATTTCTCGTTTCCGATCATTCTTATTTCCTTTTGTTTATTTGGCAGAGCTTCCATGTACCTGATTTGCTTACTGGATATCATCATTGAACATTAAGATTGCAATTTCAATCATATCATGTTCGTCACATCGAAACGAGCATTTTTAAATACCTAGATCCCTATATCCTTGTCATTGACGGATTGGAAAATTCAGAGATTAGTTTGAAACAGAGTAATCATAAAAATAAGAATACCAATCATGTTTCTACTTAATTGATTTAAAACTTATTGTTTGTCCCGCTGTATTATTAAAATAATATCGTCATGAACTCGTAAAGCTTAAATTGACAATGATAATGTTGCAGGCGGCTGTGTCGCCCGTTGGCAAATGTGTACGTATAGATTCGGAGTACATTAAAATTCAATTAATTATTCATACGTTTACATATACCTAAGTACTCTATGCGCTTAAGCTTTTGCTTGTTTTTTTACTTCACCAACGCTGTGCACATTGAATGCTTCAAAGGCTCACATTTGGATACGATACAACTTTCTATTACTTTTAAATAACTTCTTGCACCTCTTTTAATTTTTCAGTCTTTAATATTTATACAATTTTAATGCAAACATACACTATAGAGAAGTTTTGTATATGTTCTTTTTAGGGAGCGAAGCAGTATTGGGTCCTCAAACCCACAGCAATCCACCACCAATTGAACAACGCGTAGGAAGACAAAAGCTGAGACCAGGATCTGGCTTCCTGTCTGTCAGGGTGACTACTGATGGGCCAACCAGAGTGTTACAAGTGTTGGATATCAAAGAAAGAGTATGGACATTAAAATACAAATATATCAGAAATGCATGAGCATTACAACTGTTCACATTTTCTTGTAGAAAAAGACTTTCGCATTACTGGAAGAACGCGACTGGTCGCACATCGCAGTGAGTCACCGTCCAACACAGATAAATACAGACGCTGAAAAATTGAATTCTCGAGAAGTGGAACTGAGAGTCAACCTGTTAGCTGGACTAGGATTATCAATCGTTTCGAGAAGACCTGTTGAGGAGTTGCTGTTCGCTCGTTTAGCCGGTATTTCTTTGGAACTTGTCCAAACACCTGGCAACACCAGCTTAGATCTGAGCGTGGAAGACATACAAATAGACAATCAATTATTTGAAGCACAATGCACCTCCGTCTTGTACGTGACACGTCCTGCTCGTGTCGAAAGCGAGCACAGACCAGCGATACACGTGGTCGCTGAGAAGTTGAAGTCCAGAAATCAGAACGCAGAAATATATAAGCACGTGATCGTGACTATCAAGCCGCTTTGTATACACTTGGAAGAAAAGCTGATCTTGAAATTGGCCGCATTCATTGGAGCTGGAAGATCGGAGCTTGAGGTGCCGGTAGATGAAAATGATTTCAAAGCACAAAGGTTTATTTCAGAGGTGTCTGCGGCGCACGCCAAGCGATACTACTTTGGAGCTCTGAAAATTGTTCCTAGTCAAGTGCGTATAACTACAAAACAGAGATCGTATGAAGATGAGAATCATAATATTTGTGACGTTTCATTTTTGCAGGTAAAGTTAAGCGTGCTCACAACTACCAAGCTACCACGTCATTTGCAAGCGATAAAAAGACAATTAGGCCTAACCTTAATCAAGTTCGAAGACGCCACGATTGAATTGGAGCCGTTCATTAAGAAACATCCCTTCGAAAGTACTCAATTTTTAGTACATTCCATTGTAAAGCATTACAAAGATGTAAGGCCATGACAGTTTTTTTATATAGATATTAGGTTATGATTACATATTGATATGTAATTCCTTTTTAATCTTAGGAGCTGAAGTGGCAAGCAGCTGTAATACTAGGATCCGTAGATTTCTTGGGTAATCCTCTCGGCTTCGTAAACGATGTCACAGAAGGTGTATCAGGCTTGATTTACGAAGGAAGCGTGAAGACATTAGTGAAAAACGTTACTCATGGTATATCGAATTCAGCTGCCAAAGTGACAGAATCCCTGTCCGATGGATTGGGTCGGGTCATAATGGACGAAAGGCATGAAGAAGCTAGGCAAAGAATTCGTGCGAATACCGCGGGTAGTAGCGATCACTTGGTAGCTGGATTAAAGGGTTTTGGGTTCGGATTACTGGGAGGCGTGACAAGTATCTTCAAACAGACTTACGATGGTGCTACGAACGAAGGATTTCCGGTATGTTCATTAGACTGAAGCATTAAAGAAGATAATTAATAATAAATAATTTTAGGGTTTCTTTGCTGGTTTCGGTAAAGGAGTTGTTGGTACAATTACAAAGCCAGTCGTAGGAGTCTTAGATCTGGCTACGGAAACTGCCACTGCTGTACGGGAAACTAGTAGAAGGTACATGTAATAAAACTGAAGGGTAATATATATGTAATAACGCTTTGTATGATATTTTCAGCGCTCATCGTGCGATACCAAAACGAGATAGGTACCCCCGTGTCGCCAGTGGTCCAGCCGGCCTACTACCTCCTTATAATCGTCAACAAGCAGAGGGTCAAGAGTTCCTCTACATTATAAACGACCATAATTACTCAGAATTGTTTGTAGCGTACGAGTGTCTGCGTACAGGCACAGAAAATTTAAGAGTACTCGTGTCAAATGAACAAGTCCGTGTGATATCCGGTGGTACAAAAGGGGTGGTCACTGAAGTTAGTTTAGCGGATCTATTGTATTGCCAACCTATGCATAAACTCGAAAGTAATGGTGTAACATTATATTACATCGAATTGATATCCAGATCAGACTCAGCCATTACCGTTAACGTGGACGGTCCTGAACTATTGAGGAGACCTAAGGTTCGATGTGATAACGAGGAAGTGGCTAAAAGAGTAAGTAATGATGTACTATTTATCCAGTTGCAGTTATAGAAGAAATTAACTACATGGTCCTAAACGAGGGTATATGATTTTGTTAATATACGTTATAATTGTTTCAGGTATCGCAACAAATTAATTATGCGAAGGGTATGCACGAAGAACGTAGTTTAACGTTAACTTCGTCGGACAATATGCTAGATGACGTCCAATACTACAAATAATTACAGATGATCTGCGCACTAACATATTTTCTACTTTATGTTTAACATATATATTTGTTTCAATTGCTAGTCGGCACCTCGGTTTCTATGTTTTTTTAATGATGCACATAATGATGCCTTACTACGCTTAAACTAATTTGATGATAAGACTGACGCAAGGCACCATTCATGCAGACACGCGGAACTTTTTTAAGTTAAGGGAAATCAGCTGGACAATACACTTCGAAAAAGACGTGTTAGAATATTTGGTTATCGCACAGATATCTTTGATACTAATTATAAGAGATATAAATAGGACGTCTTTCAAAAGACGGATTTTTTTTTAATAATGTGTGTATATATATATATTTAATGATATGTACAATATAGTTAAGTATGTCTGGACTAATGTAATCTACTTAAAAAGAAACAGGTAGCAAATACCAAAGTTTTTGTATAGGATATAGGATATTTATTTTCTATTAACGAGTTTAATATTTTGCAAACTACTTGCGTTCGTAACTATAAACTATATTTTTTATGGTGTCGAGTGTAACGTTGTATAAAAATAATGCCATTAACCAAAGTATTAATAACTGTACATTCTTATATGATGTAATGCGTGTACAAATAACTCGAACTTGTACAGATATTATGTAAGATTCAAATCAGCTCTGTTTAAATACATACATTTTTATAAAGCTGATGCTTTGTACAGCTTGAGTATACAGTATATATTTATGATATTTGATGAATAAAACTGTGAATAAATACTAGTACACTAGAGATATGCAAGGTAGCTAAATAATTATTAACATCTCACTTATATTCAAACTATAAAAGTTACAAAAAAATTGCTTCACTGAGAATAGTCCATCATATGATAGCAAATATTTTTCTTTTTAGATGAAGTTTTCTTTTAAATGAGTGACATAAAACCCCTCAATGCATGTAGTTTAAAAACTTAAAATAAACAAAATTTACAAGTTTTGTGTTTATTCTTTTTTGTACTAGTTTTTATTTTACAATAATGTTTTTGTTGGTGTACTAATATGATCATATTTATTATTATATTCTAGATTTTTTAAAGAATATCATTGCTACTTGATAATATCAACATTTTTTAAGATATTACCAATTGCAATAAGTAGGCAATATAACGTGCGGCATTATACCGCGAGAAGTAAGAAATCGGAAGTCTCCTACTATCTGAAAATAACGTTATCAATGCCAAATTTAGATATCGTGAACATGGCGCCTTTCATGATCACTTAAAAATGTCAAATTGTTGATTGTAATCAGTGAGATATTTGCGCTTAACTTGCTTCAGCAGAAAACACTGGTCAAGGGTAAAAAGCCGCTGTGACGTGTTTCTGGATTTATTTTGACGTGGCACGTTCAGCAACAACAGATACTGATATTGCTTGAACAGAAAAGAAAGCGATAACCTATAACAATGGATGAAACGTACTTTGATGAAGGGCCAGCGGGAAATTTTGAAACAGCTACCTTAGAAATTACCAAAGATCTTGATGGAAATGAATTTAACAATTCGGTTTCCGCAGCCAGTGGTAAGACTAATATTAGTCCATTGATTCTATCAAGTTAGATTTATATGTAATTGAATTATGTTACCCTCTTTTAAAATGTATTTTTGTTCAAAGGAGTTGACGTTGACAAAAGAAACAGGGAAAATGAAGGCAACATATCCAATCAAGTTCCAACTTCAAAAGACATATCCACTATTCCTTTTAAACATATAGATATTCATTCTTTCTTTACTGATAGAAACGAAGTAGTAGAAAGGGCTTTAAAAGACTGTCATGATAGTTTAATAAATGAAGAAGAGAAAGACATAGTTGGAAGCTGGCTATTGACTGAGTAAACAGCTTTTTATTAGACGAAATAAATGAACATATTCTGTGTTAATCAATTTATATATAAATTTTTGTTACAGAATAAGCTTATGGGATATTGAGAAAGAAAGACTGGTCGTTCTTACTAAAACTGCTCTTTATTCAATAAAATATGATTTTATTTCTTTAAAAATACTTGAATACAATCGAATACCATTAACTCAAATAGATACATTAATTTCTGGTGAACTAGTTTATCCATCCTCATCTCTAGCACCGTAAGTATTGTAGCAAATTTGAAAATATTTGACTATAATTAAGTTATAGGAAGATAAAGTCATAGCTGGGATGGAAGAATATGTGAAATATATTTTTATACATGTGCCAATATAATGTTTCACTATTTTAGACGATTAAATGGATTGGCAGAGGGAATGTCATCAATAGTTAATTGTGCAGTTCGTCAAGAGTGGTCTACTCTTACCTCTTGTACTGGACTTGCACAATTTGAATCTAGGTACAAGATGTTCCTATGTAGAATTGACACCTCTCTTATTTTATTAGACATCTGCTTTATATTCCTTTATTGCTTTATTTAAAAATATTAATATTATTATATGTTATGTGTGCAGCTGCTGTAATTTTCTTTCTTGGTGAAATGCATAATTATTAATATGTACATTTATTTTTGCAGGGTATTATTTTTGTAGAAGGTGTACTTATATTTTAACATTAAATTTAGAAAATATTAACTCTCTTTTTGTTTATTAATGTTTGATAAGAAACAGGTAATTCTTATTATTAAATTACAGTTATTGTTTTAGGAAAAGACAAATGTCTGGTATAAGATTGATGTGGAACAAAGGTAATCCATTGTCACTAATTAAAAAGTGGAATCCCTTTGCAAAAGATATACCCTGGCTCACTTATACTAGTCATCCATTATTTTGGTACAAAGGTAATTTGATATTATGTTATTTCACTGTATTTATGAATGTAAAGTATTATATCTTTCATAGGATCAGAAGCAGAGAGAGCAAAATTTGATATTGAAGGTTTATGTTCGATGATTAAAGGTTTATTAACAACAGAGTGTAATATAAAAACTGGATTAATTATTATAGAAAATTATATTGGTGTAGGTGCCTTGGTGCATAATAGAAATGCGCTAGGTTTCTTTAAAATTCGGGGTAAAATTAGCTTCTAAAAGTCAAGTATCTAAAAGCGATTTATTCGAAAAATTTCAATTTTTAAACTTTTAAACATACATTTATAAATTTTACGATATTTATAATGCAATATCAAAACTAGCGATACGAGTATGTAATTTCTATACTAAATTCTATATAGAGCTTTCTAAAAGTTCTGTATTTACTTTCAAGAGTTTTGTTGTAGAATATTCATATGCATGTACTATGAATTTATCTATTATATTTACTTATTTTCACTCAGTACCTGGTTAACAACAAAGCTAAAAGTAAGAATAAGCATATACATCACTTTAGAGTAATTTATCTATCTTTTAAATGTAAAACTATATTTTATAATTCTATATTGTAAGATTGAGGTTTACTCTTAATAATAAATAAATAATAATTCTTCTTCAATATTTAAAGCAAAGTTGTCATAGTTTGAATGTGGTTTACAATTCTTTACAATATAATATATAGTAAAGAATTTCAATATTTACAACTAAGTATTGGTATATGAAAGATGGGGAATCCTTGACATATATACAGAATATAAGTAATTACATATATGTTTATAATTTAAAGACAAGAAGTGTTTTATTATAATAACAGTACAAGTTGTTTGTGATGAATCATTACAAAATTAATGGAACATTCCTTCAAATCCATATTAGTAATTTATATAAATAGCTGCTTGGTTATGTTTTGTAACAGGTGCATAACCACCTGTTGATTTTGACTATTTATTCACAATGACTACATAGTCTTTTGTTAATTATGATAGTATTAAAAAAAATTGAAAGATAGAATGATAATGTAAAGAAATTATTACGATACGTTGACACACTTCACCATTTTTCAACAGGTAAGTCATTTATTCTTACTTTAAATATATTTTATTAAATTTTATTGCAATTGTTCATACAATCCACTTCATTATTCTTATTTGTTGATTGTTTTTAGCTATGTTCATAATCTACAACCTGAGAGTCATGTATAAAACGATCTAATGCAATCGAGCGTTTATAAGTTCAACAAGAGTCAATTAATGTTATTAGATCATAAGCTGACTATTTCCGACGGGAAACGATGATACAGATATACAGTTTTAAAGTAATGGAACAACTATAAAATGTATTTTTATCGTTTCAAATCACGGTCTGTGTTTATTGTTGGATTTGGATTTGGACTTCTTTTTACTACATTGTTACTCACAATTCAAAATTTATTCAATGATGTTTCTATTTATAAAAGTTCTTTGATGAGTTCTTATGCTGCTGATAGAAGCGAGTTCTCAAAGTGGTTTACTTCAGATATACAAACTACTCAAGAGATTACTTTTCAAGTATGGGAGGAGAAGAAGTCAAATGTAACATACAGTAAATGGTTGGAAAATCAAAAATTACAAGTAAATGATATCAACATGGATTCATATCTTTATGGAATTATGAAAGAAGGAATATTAGAATCTGACTGGTTGATGTCTAATGTTCACATTACTTGCATTGTTTTTGTAAAAAAAATTAAACTGGCAAAATCTATTAAAGACACTTGGGGCAAACGTTGCAGCAATATATACTTCTTTGGTCAACAGAAAGATTCTGAAGTACCTATTATAAATTTTGAAAAGAAGCTTGTATCTTCTTGGCAACTTTTGTGTGAAGCTTTTAATTATGTTTGGAGAGATAACAAGACTTTGGAGTGGCTTATTTTTGTAAAAGATGATACATTAGTGATACCAGAAAACTTACGCTATATGGTTGGTCCTTTGAATTATACTGAAGATTACTATTTGGGTCATGCAGTGATAATGTGGGGCCAGTCTTATAATGTTGCTGATGCTGGATATGTTATCAGTAAAGGAGTTCTTAGAAAGCTGCTTACGATGTTTGATACTACAGAAAAATGTATAGCTGGTGGCAAATATTGGAAACAGGAAGATTACTACCTTGGTAAATTCTTTCACCTCACTGATATTACTAATATATTTATAATTAAACTATTATTTCTGATATTTTCAGCTAAACACTTAGCAACTATGGAAATTCATCCTTCAGATACGAGAGATCAGTACTTAAGGGGTACATTTCATGGGTATTCTTTGCAGTCACTCTTATGGGGTACTGCTAAAATAGGTGTTTACTGGACTCGTGCTTTATATCCTATACAAGATGAATGCTGCTCTTTCAAGTCTATTACTTTTAATGTCGGCGAATCGGATAAAATGTATACATTCAATTATTTATTATATCATTTACATGTTTTCAAAGATGAAGTTATTTATGGAACTAGAAAAGCACCAACTTCTGTACCTGATGAAGATGTACGATTATCCTTTTATTACTTTTTATTGCGATAAAAAATATTCAGAATTAATTGTATATTATTTTCAGGTGTGGAAAGTTGCACTGAAAGAAGAATTTAACATCACATACCTAAATAATATTTCCAGTGATGCTTATTACGAGATATGGCATTCAAAGTATTCTGAACCTGAACAACTGATTACTCAAAATTATTATGGTAAAAATTAGATAAATTTGATTTATACTTTGTTGTTACTTTTATATAATTTATATGTAACAATGATGAAGTTTTAAGTCAGAAGTTTTCTAAGAACACTTTGAACTGAAAAACTTGTTTGTGGAGTTAACAGATACCTGATCTTTTATTATTTAAGACATAAGCATTATATTAATAATGTTACTTGAATGAAATAGTTTAACGATTGATATAGTATTTTAATTATAGCTTATTTACATTCATTAACTTTTTACGTAATAATTTCGTTTTATTTCGTGAGTTTTATCGATACGACAAATGAGAGACCAGAGAAATGCTGATATTTGATAGGCATTTCCCTTGTTACACCACTATTGCCTTATCTGACTAATTAGTAACTTATTAACGTCTGTAATAGCCGTGATAACAAAATCATATCTTCGGTTTCAATTATGTGTCTCGAATGTAGAATAATAGGTTTCTGTGTTATTAAATCTGGTTGATTATTTACATTCTGAATAACAGAAATTATCAAATACAGTCAGAAGAAGCATTTATTGACATAAATTTATGACCTAATAATATTTAATATTGTATTACACATGTATATGTATCTTTTGACATAGCATGTGTTTTTTTATTTAAAATGTTTTATAAATCATATTGTTTTATTATAATAAAATTTATTATTTTGAAGTAATAAGAGTAGTTTATTTAACCCTGGCTTAGTTTCAGTTGCACTAATGACCCATATTTTTTTTCGTTGAATTTCTTTATCACACAGAACTTATCAGTTATCCGCTTCCTTTTAGAGGTGGGTATATAAAAGAACAATTATATTAATTCACATATTTGGCGAGAGTAAGCTTTCCAATGATGTTTCACTGTACTGTGCTTCATTAATCAACATGATGCTGTGTAAAGTGTTCTTTAACATTGGAATAATTATCATTTTGAACAGTTCCTTAATTGTTGGAAGTGATCCGGCTGATTATTCTGGTTTAAGCGAGTAAGTGTTTTATTCCCTACATTTCTTTTCAGTAAATCTAATTCATATTATTCTTCTGCATTGTTTAGCACGAGTATTTCATTAGATGGCGATTCAAATTCAGATTATGTTCCGGTAAAAAAAACAAGAAAAAAGCCTGTATTTGCAGGAGGTTGTAACACAAATCCAGAGGCACCCACAAATGGTAGAATACAATGTTCCATGCATAGGTAATTTTTTATCAGTTATTAAGTATTTATTTCAATATTCAATCTGTCATTAATCTTATTATACACAGTGGATGCATTGCAAGTTGTAATAAAGATTATAAATTTCCAAATGGGGTGAAGCAGTTAGCTATAACATGTATTGACAAACAGTGGCGTATTACTGGTTCAGATTGGAATTCAGTGCCTCATTGTGAACGTGAGTATTTCTTGTGATCATTTGTATTGCTCTTTACTGAAAAAAATTTTAAACTAAACTTATGTGTTTGCAGCAATTTGTATGCCAGAGTGCATGAACAAAGGGGTATGTGTTGCACCTCATCAATGCAATTGTCCCGAAGATTTTACTGGTCCGCAGTGCCAATTTGAGAATAAGCCCTGCTTAAACTATCCTCCTCCAGTACTCAATTCCCACAAGCGTTGTAATTCAAAGTACGTTCTGCTGTTTCAAGTGTATAATCATAATAGTTACTTTAAAAACAACAATAATTCTATACAATTATTCTCGTACTTGTTTAATCAGATCCTGTACTATATCTTGTATGAAGAATTTCACGTTTCCGGACGGTACCTCAGTTACTAATCTTATGTGCAAGAATGGAAATTGGGAACCTACCAGAGAAGATTGGGTCTCTGTGCCTGATTGTGAACGTACGCTTATATTTTAGAATTATAGCACAAAAATGAAAGATGCATGTACACAATAATTACACATATTTCATTATAGCCGTGTGTACTCCACCTTGTATAAATGGAGGTACTTGTCTTCCATCAAACATTTGTCAGTGCCCACAGGCATACAGAGGTCCTCAGTGCCAATATTGTAAGTTTACATTCATTCAATTATTTGATACATTTAATTATCAGGATTAATTCACATTGTATTGTCTTCATGTAGCCGCTGATGCTTGCAATGGAGAAAAAATGGGCTTTAATGGTGGATTCTATTGTCACAGTATTGATGACAATTATTCATGCATCATTAATTGTCCGGATGGAGTAGAATTCGAGTTCCCTCCAGCTACTGCATACACATGTTCTTATGCAACAGGCGTTTTCTATCCACAACCAATTCCTCAGTGTAAATACAATGAAAATATGAATGTGATTTCTTTGGGTACTATGTACAATTCTTATGTAAAAGAGACAAATCATACTTGGAGCTACCAAGATTTCTCTAATATGAATCAATCTCCAAATATCAAACCCAGCTATGACCCAGGTCTTTTTAACAATTATGAGAATATGACATCGAAAACGGTAATAAAATTTCTTAAATTCAACTGTCGCTTGTTTGTACCGTGGATTAATGTTTTAATTACTGTTAGGTGGCACACAATTCATTCGATAACATGGTGTTCATCGAAGAGGCACAACCGACACCAGAAACTTGTTTTACTTGGGGTGGAATGAATTACAAAACATTTGACGACATGATATATAGTTTCAACAGCGAATGTTCTTACATTCTAGTACAAGAAGCCCAGAACAGAATCTTCACTGTAATAGTACAGAACAATCCAGTTTGCAAGACTCTAGATTGCTCTAAGATCATAAAGATCTTCATTCAGGATAAAGAATATATTTTGTCACGGAACGAAAATGGTATTCCAGAATTTCGAACTCCAACAAAATTGCTACCAATTCCAGCTCAACTTTCCTATCTGAGAGTCGAGATGTCTGCGCATTTTATTGTTGTGAACCTGGACTCTTTGGGAATTCAGATGAAGTGGGATGGTGCTCTCATGGTGCAAGTTGAAGCTCTTGAGAATATGTGGAATAAAACTGTTGGTCTTTGCGGCAACATGAATGGCAATAAGAACGATGACCTAATAAGTAAAACTGGAGACAAAATGAAAAGCATAGCGACATTTGTGTCTTCCTGGCGAACGGAGAGGATTGGAGGTATCATAATGCAAACTTTTTTCACCTTTGTCCCTAAATCCTCACATTTCTAGATCACCATTATGTTCTATATTTTTAGAAACCTGCGATGAATACCCAGATACTCGTCATCCTTGTGAATCTGACCCGGTAGTCACCAGAGAGGCTAAGCTCTTTTGCACAAACCTACTCTCTGATAGAAGATTCTATGCTTGTTCCAATGCAATCAATGTTGCCGACTTATTGAAAGCCTGTTTATGGGATTACTGTGCTTGCACGCGCGACGACAGAAGGGAATGTGCCTGTGAAACTATGAATGTTTATATCAGACAATGTGCACATAAGAAAATTGTATCCCTGACAGGCTGGAGAAATGAGAACACTTGTCGTAAGTCATACTTCAGCAATTATAATCTAACAAAACAATGAATTGAAAAAAGCTAAAACAAGTTTGTTCACAAAATTGCAGCTATGACGTGCAACAATGGTAGAGTGTACATGCCATGTGGTCCTCAGACTGAATCATCATGTTGGACAGAAGTTGAAAGGAAACCAAATACTGATAATTGTGAAGAGGGTTGTTTCTGTCCAGCAGGAACTGTGGCTCATGAAGGCAGATGTATATATCGTGAAGAATGTCCTTGCAGATTACGTGGAAAGCTGTTCGAACCTGGCAAAAGTGTTCAGAAAGATTGCAACACCTGTACGTGTTCCTCTGGAAAATGGTTGTGTACTCAAACTAGATGCAGCGCTAGATGCGCAGTGGTTGGCGATCCTCATTACACCACCTTTGATGGAAAACATTATGATTTCATGGGGAAGTGCAAGTACTACTTGATGAAGGGCGACAATTACAGCATAGAGAGTGAAAATGTTCCTTGTTCTGGTGCAATATCAGAGGTCTGTGAGCTGTATTGTTAATATATAATATTTATAAAACAGGTTACATTAATAATGTAATTTTATTTTTAGAATATGGGACTTGTTCCATCTGATGCCCCGTCATGTACAAAGACTGTGACTGTTAACTATCAAGACACATCTGTGAAGCTCAAGCAGCATCATCAAGTACTGATCAACGGCGATGATTTAACAGTATTTCCTAAGATTGTCAACGACGTCAGAATACGTGTCGCAAGCAATATATTCTTGATCGTTCATTTGCCAAACGGTTTGGAAGTCTGGTGGGACGGGCTCACTCGCGTTTACATCAATGCTCCTCCTGAATTTCATGGTTGATTCATCGTTCCACTTCTAAATTCACTTATATCTAGAGGTTTTTACTAATGCATTGTGATTTCCAGGTAAAACTCAGGGGCTCTGTGGTACCTTTTCGGAGAATCAGAAAGATGATTTCATTACACCAGAGGGTGACATCGAAAACATGGCTGTCTCTTTTGCGAATAAGTGGAGAACTGACGAGACTTGTCCCAGTGTTCCTGAAAAGGAATCAGATGATCCTTGCGACCTTGATCCTCAAAATCGAGAAGCTGCTAAGCAATATTGCTCTTATTTGTACAGTGATATCTTCGCTGGTAGTATCTGACAAATTCTAATAAACTATACTGTTGATTTGAAATTATATACATGTATTTCCTTTAGGCTGTCACTGGTACGTGGACCCAGAAACATTTCATAAGGATTGTTTATTCGACATGTGCTCCTGCAAAGTTGGTGTTGAATCATGTCTCTGTCCTATGCTAGCCGCTTATGCTACAGATTGTGCCGCGGCAGGAATAAAACTTTTGTGGCGTTCTGAAATAGACGAATGCAAGATACATTGCCCTGCAAATCAAGTCTATCAGATTTGTGGGAACAGTTGCACGAGGTACTTCGCGCTTACGAATCTGGCAAACTATGAACATTTCTTGATATGTAACATTTTATGGACATGTGTAGGTCGTGTGGAGATATATCCTCTTATCCAGAGTGTAAACAAGACTGTGCAGAAGGATGTTTCTGTCCGGAAGGAGAGACATTAGATGTTCATGGAAACTGCATTCCAATTGGGCAATGCCCATGCACGTATCAAGGAGTAGAATTTAACGTAGGACACAAAGAGATCAGACCTGGCAATAAAGCTCCTGAACTTTGTACCTGTGCAGGTTCTATAACTATAATATTTACAATAATATTTTATGAATTCATGCATGTAACTATACAAGTATTTTTCAAATAGGTGGAATGTGGAATTGTCAAGAGGCAACACAGGATGAAATTAAAGAGTATCCAGCAACTAAGGAACTTATGACTTCTTGTGTAGCAAGCAAACATCTAGAAGTTACAGATTGTGCACCCGTGGAACCTTTAACTTGTCGCAATATGCATACACTGGTTCAAAAGCCATCTGTTTGTAAATCTGGCTGCGTGTGCAAGCCCGGTTACGTGTTAGACGAGCCTAATGGCAATTGTATTAAAAAAGAATCCTGTCCATGTCATCATGGAGGTCAGAGTTACAAAGAAGGGTCCGTTATACAGAATGAGTGCAATACATGTGAATGTACGAATGGCGCGTGGAAATGTACAGATAGAACATGTGCAGGTAATATTATAAATTAATTGTCTCACGAATTTGCATCTACATTTGGAATCTTTATCGACAGGAGTTTGTACTGCTTGGGGCGATTCACATTATAAAACGTTCGATGGAAAGATCTACGACTTCCAAGGAATGTGCGATTACCTTCTGGTTAAAGGTTCTTTAAGCACGGAGGACTCTTTTGATGTCTCGATTCAGAATGTACCTTGTGGAACAATTGGAGTGGCATGCTCCAAGTCAGTTACTTTAACAGTTGGAAGCAATGAAAGTCCAGAAAGTATCACTTTTACGAGAGGAAAAGATCTTCCTTCAGGAAACTTTAAAAGAATGGCAATTAGAACAACAGACTTGTTTGTATTTGTTGATGTGCCAGACATAGGAGTAACTCTTCAGTGGGATAAGGGTGATTTTCTTAACATGTCGGCTTTCTGATACCTCCAGGAATTGCAAGAATTTATCTTCGTGTTTTAATGTTACATATAGGTACCAGAGTATATATAAGACTAGATCCCAAATGGAAGGGTCGTACAAAAGGATTGTGTGGTGATTACAATGACAATAGTGAAGATGATTTTAAAACACCTTGTGGTGGTATATCAGAGGCGTCTGCCAATTTGTTTGGAGACTCCTGGAAGAAGAACGATTTCTGTCCAGAGCCTAAAGATGTCAAAAATCCTTGTGAACAGAATCCAGAACGAAATCTGTGGTCCGTACAGAAATGTGGAATACTGAAGTCAGCCGTGTTTCAGCCATGTCATTCTGAAGTCGATGTTGAGAGCTATTTACGCAATTGTATCTTTGATACATGTGGTTGTGATACAGGTACAAATATTATCTTAGAACTAATTATTTGTATGATGTATAAGCAACATCATTTTTTATTTTTTAGGAGGAGATTGCGAATGTCTTTGTACTGCATTGGCAGCATACGCACAGGAATGCAATGACAAAGGTGTTCCCATAAAATGGCGCAGTCAGGAACTATGTCCCATACAATGCGATGAAAAATGCAGTTCTTATTCACCATGCGTTACAACATGTCCTCGCGAAACTTGCGACAATTTGATGACTCTAAAAGACCAGTCTCATTTGTGTTCTCAGGACACGTGTGTAGAGGGGTGTTTGACTAAATCATGTCCTGAAAATCAAGTGTTCAGCAACGATAGCTATACAGAATGCGTTCCCAAAGAGACGTGTAAATCATTCTGCACTGAAATCAATGGGGTATGTTGAAGAATATATGCTGTAAAATATTTCTCAACTAATAACGACAATTCATATTACAGGTAACGTATTACGAGGGTGATAATGTTAAGAGCGACGACTGTCAAACGTGTTTCTGTAGTCGTGGCAAAGTATTGTGCAAAGGAGAACCTTGTACCACCAGTACTACTTTAACAATTCCAGGGGAAGAACCACAAAGATGTGTAGATGGTTGGACTGCATGGATAAATCAAAACCCAGCGATTAAAGGAAGAAAAATTATAGACAACGAACCTCTGCCTACCCTAATTGACTTGGTAATAATTTGCTTTATTTTTATGTAGCATGTTCTATACTATTTATAATCTTATATCTACTTTATAGACAAATATGAAAGGATCAGCAGTATGTGACAAAAATCATATGGTTGACATAAGATGCAGATCGGTGAAAGATCATTTGACACCAAAAGAAACTGGTCTGGATGTGGAATGTAGTTTGGAGCAGGGTCTTTATTGTCGATCTCAACCGAATCTCCCTTGTATCGACTTCGAAATTAGTGTTTTATGTCAGTGTTCAGAAATTACCACTGAAATACCAAGTACAGTGAAACCGTTTGAAGAATGCAGCATGGAACAACCCTATAAGACTCATCCTACGGATTGTCGTTTGTTTTATCAATGCGCTCCTGGAACCAAAGGAAACGAATATGTAGAGAAATCTTGTGGTCAGAATATGTTTTACAATCCACAGTCACAAGTTTGCGATTGGCCAGCTAATGTTATGCAGATAAGACCAGAGTGTTTGACTGAGAAAAGAACGTCAGGCAATAAAACTACTACAACAATTACTACTTCAGAAAAGAATGTCACAACTACAAGTACGATTGTATTTGGTATAATTTGCATGTTGTGTATTTCACGTGTTATAAAAGAATCATTGGTTTTTTAGACGCTTGCAAGGAAGGAGAAACGTGGAGTAACTGTGCTATCAATTGCAATAAAATTTGCGATTATTATCGCTTCATTTTGTTAAAGGAAGGCAAGTGTAGTGATACCTCTGATTGCATATCAGGTAAAGTATCTTTTAGATTCTTCAGTGTAGTCATTTCCAAATTTTCATAGACTTGCTTGCTTGGAATTGATTATTTTTTTTATAATTAAAAATTAGGATGCGTCCCAGAAAAAAGACCAGCATGTCCACCACACAAATTTTGGAGAGATGCAACTACTTGTGTTGAAGAAGCTGACTGTACTTGTAAATCCCACGATGGTCAGCCAGTTATTTCTGGAGCAGTTATCAAGGAATCAGAATGTGAAATTTGTCAGTGTATAAATAATTATTACACCTGTGATACGTCGTCATGTTCGACCACGTCGACTGAGAAGTCATTTACTCGTTCACAAATGGAAGCAATTACTACAAGCTCTCCCATGTAAGTACATTCATGTCATTATAAAGTGCCATATAATATGCATAATATGTCATTAAATTACGTTGCAGGTTTGAGACCACAAAACCATCAACACAAACTCCTGTCACAATCGTGATACCTAGTACTGTCAGTCCACCCGCCTATTGTGACAGCAATAAGTTTGTTCCTTTAATCCAGACAGAGGAACAGGTTATTTTCAATGCAAGCAGTAGTAAGGGCCCTGAATTTGGTCCTGAACATTCAATATTGAGTGACAATGCTGGATATTGGGAGCCTGCATACCCTAACACTGATGAATGGTAAATATGATTATATGCAACTTCAGGAAGAATCTATTTTATCTCAAATTTGTTTCCAGGCTTGACATAAAGTTCCCAAAACCTGAACCAATCTATGGCATTGTTCTACAAGGCAGTGGCGTGGATGACAAATTTGTAACCAGCTACAATGTACTATTTTCTGAGGATGGTCACTCATTTTCATATGTAACGGATGATAGAAAGCAGACACGGATATTTAGAGGACCTGTGGATAAATTCAGACCAGTCGAGCAGAAATTTTATGAGCCCATAGAAGCTAGAGTTGTTCGGATAAAGCCCTTGACTTGGCACAATGGAATAGCCATAAGAGTAGAGTTACTTGGCTGCCAAGAATTGATGACTACCAGCACTACAGTAACAGTAACTGTTCCACTAACAACAACTGAGAACATCATTAAGCCAGGTAAGGAAAAAAGAAGTCCTGTACAGAGTCACAAAATGTTTATTCTGTTCTATTTCTTCAGTGTGTGACGAGCCAATGGGAATAGAGAATGGTCTTATATATCCTGAACAACTTTCAACATCCTCTTCGTCCACGGATCTATTACCAAACTTGAAGTTAAGTTCTCCAAACGTTTGGCATCCCAAACTGGATAACCCACATCAATTTATCCAGATTGATTTCTTAGAACTACGTAACCTAACAGGAATTGTGACAAAAGGCGGTGAAGGTAGCTGGACTACCGTTTATAAAGTATTTTACAGTAATGATGGTCACCAGTGGAATCCAGTTATGGATAAAGATGGATACGAAAGGGAATTTTTAGGGAACTTTGATTCTGAAACTGTGAAAACAAACTATTTTGACAGACCTCTGAATGCGAGATATCTAAAGCTGCAACCATTTAAGTGGCACGAGCATATAGGTTTGAAATTTGAAGTTCTTGGGTGCTTTTTGCCATATCGTAAGTATCAATTATAAATATAAACTGTATACATTATAATATCATGAATTTCTATTGAACATATTGTAACTAATTTATACAGCTCCTATTACAAGAACCACTGAGACCGTAGAAAGAGTACCAACAACAAAAATACCGAGCGAATGCAATGTATGCGAAGGAATATTTGTTGAAAATCAAAGTTACTGCATGTGCGAAGAGTCTTACTGGTGGAATGGGAATACTTGTGGAACCAGACAAGAATGTCCTTGCGTTGTTGGACACATTTCGTAAGTTCTTTATGTAAATTTTTTGATATCCTACATATTTTAGTATGTACAATTTTTAGATATAATGTGGGTGCAACGTATCTGAGCGAAGACTGCCAGGAATGCACATGCACCTTGGGTGGTACTTCCTTCTGTCAGCCAAAGAAATGCGAGGCGTGTAATGAACCAGGAATGCGGCCAGTAATTAACGAACTATGCAACTGCGTGTGCAAACCGTGTCCTCCTGGTACACGTCTATGTCCAACCAGTAACGTTTGTATCGAAGACAATCTGTGGTGCAACGGTATTCAAGATTGTCCAGACGATGAGCAGGATTGTCCAAAAATTATCGAAACTACTCCTTCTTCAGAGCATACAACGGAGAACATTTACACTACAACTGTGACGCCTACAACAGGTACTAATCTTAATCAAAAGGAACTGTAAAACAGATAATAATTATTATTTTATTTTTAGGTGCACCAACTGTGTGTCAAGATCCAGTTTGTCCACCAGGTTACAAGACAGTTCTGAAGTTATCGATGAAAGCACAACGTTATACAAATTCTTATAGGGACAGTGGAGTGAAATCTTTACGCAGAAGTCATTTGAAAACAAAAGCATCAAGGTAACGTAACAGGAGTTCTCGTTGCATTTAATTTTAATGATAATTAATGAAATTGCACTTATTCAGGAAGTACAATTCAAAGTATATTGTGGAATCTCAAAATGGGGCAGAATGTCCACAATTCACCTGTGTGCCAATTAAACTACCCCCATTCCTTAATGAAAGCAGACCAGAGACCTGTCCAAAGGTATCTTGTCCACGAGGTTATACTGTAGTCTACGAAAAGATGAGTATGTACAAGCTTCAGAAGTGTCCTAAGTACACTTGCAAACCCCCAGCACCAGAAGAGGCTGTGTGCAACATAACAGGAAGAACGTTCAATACGTTTGATAAATTAGAATACAAGTATGACATTTGTAACCACATTCTGGCCAGGGATATGTATTCTAACAAGTGGTACATAACTTGTAAGTATCTCATACACCTTATTTCGTACCATTTTATATTAGTTTATAAATTGTATCTTTATCTTTACAGTGGAGAAACAATGTGATACACGCAGTGGTCAATGCACCAGAGTTTTAGCAATAACTTTGGACGACGACGTGATTGTTCTGTATCCAGACATGCATGTGGACATTAATGAATTCAGTTTTACACCCAATCAGGTAGCTCGATTGGGTGATAAGTTTTCTTCTTTCAAGATATCGTCTATAGGTGACGTTACGTATGTGATATCAAACTACTACGGGTTCTGGGTGATCTGGGACTCCAACTCGAACGTGAAATTAGGAGTCTCTACGAAATTAGCTCGTAAAGTGGACGGTTTATGTGGATACTTTGACGGAGTTCTATCGAATGACAGACAATTACCAGATGGATCTCAAGCTCGCAGCACTGTAGAGTTTGGGGACAGCTGGATGATGGAAGGAGTACCAGAATGTGACCCACAGGTTTGTGAATGGATCAGATATTAAAGAAAAGTAGTTATACTTCTTCGATTCTATTAAATGAGTGCCATATCTCAGGTCTGTCCCTATGACGTACAAGCTGAAAGTTGGAAGATTTGCAACATAGCGAAGGACGCATCATTGGCAGATTGTTCCAACGTTGTGGATGTAGAGAAGTTCATATCTCGCTGTATGGAAAGCACGTGCAATTGTTTACGCAGTAATCATTCGTATGATGATTGTCGTTGTCGTTCGTTGACCAGTTTTGTCACAGAATGCCAGGCTGGCAATTTGAACGTAGATTTGTCAACCTGGAGAAGTATTCACGACTGTCCTGTCACTTGTCCTCCACCGCTTGTTCATAAAGATTGCTTCAGGTAAGCCTTCAATATTGATAGAGTACTATTTCATGATACTACAAATGATTTAATTGCAGAAACAAATGCGAGACCAGCTGCGACAATTTGCAGCAGATAGATCCTTGTCCAATGATGCAAGGAGTATGCTTCTCTGGTTGCTTCTGTCCCGAAGGAACAGTGCGTGATGGTGATGCATGCGTGCCACCTATGCAATGTAAAGATTGTGTCTGCGAATGGTTGGGAAATTCCAAGTTCATTAGCTTTGATAGAAAGAATATTAAATTCGATGGAAATTGCACATATGTGTTGTCTAAAAATGTTGAAACTAAGAAGAGTCCTGAGGATTACACTTATCAAATTTTGGTTTCAAATGGTGTCTGTGATGCTGGGACATGTACGAAAGCGATCATAGTTCTTTACCAAGAACACGTTGTTCAGATTAAGAACGATGTGCTTTCTCAAGAATTTGAAGTGGAAGTGGATGGTTCAAAAGTACCCAACTATCCTTTCAATACATCTTGGCTAGTTTTGGAACAATGGCCCACAGAAAAGTTACGTTTACTGATACCTCCAATTCAGCTGGAAATTATTAGCTATCAGCCTAATTTTGCGTTCACCCTCACACTACCTTCACATATTTTTGGAGGTTCCATGGAAGGTCTCTGTGGAAACTGTAATGAAGACTCAGAGGATGACTTGAAGAAACAGGATGGAGAAGTATTATCATTCTTTTGATACTATTAGATACAAAACCAACAATACTTAATAATATAAATTAATTTGTTTCACAGGTCACTACTGATATGCAAGAATTTGGCACAAGTTGGCTAGTCACTGAATCTCCACGCGGCATTAATTTAGACACTAGTGCATGTACTTCCAACGATCAAAGCAAATGTATTCTACCACCAGAAGACCAAGATCCGTGCAGGCAGTTATTAAACACAATGGATTTCGGTCAGTGCCACAACCTCGTTGATCCCATGCCGTACTTACTGGCCTGTCAAGATAATCTGTGCACCGGAGGAGGTTACTGTGATAGCTTTGAAGCATATGCAAGACAATGTTTGCAAATGGGAGTTTGTGTAATATGGAGAAGTAGTGAAGTATGTCCGTACAATTGTCCTTCATGTAAGTACCTTTTTATTATCACTGAAGTAAAGTTTCTAAAGGTTTCAGTACTTATACCAACATTTTCTTTTTAGATCTAGAATATCAGCCATGCGGTCCCTCTTGTAAAGAAACTTGTGACACCATTAATGAAGTCGACACTTCCTTGTGCTTAAAGAACTTTGAGGAAGGTTGTTTCTGCCCTCGTGGTTACGTCTTTCATAATGATACCTGTATTTTGAGGGAAAAATGTTCGGTTTGCGATGAAGAAGGACACATCGAAGGCGATGAGTGGTACCCAGATATATGCACTACATGCACATGCAGTAAGAAAACTGTTAATTGCCAGAAAACAGAGTGTCTAGCTGCAGATACTATCTGTGAGGAGAACATGACACCTGTTATTGTTAATGGAACAGAAGAAAACTGCTGCCCGAAATATTATTGCATTCCAAATGTGGTAACAACTTTGGCACCTATCTGCACAGAGGAGGCACAGATGCCTGAATGTGGATATGGACAGACTATGAAAGTATCCACTGGCTCTGATGGATGCAAGAAGTTTATTTGCGAATGTCTGCCACCGTCAGAGTGTCCTCTGCTTAATGAAATTCCTAATGAAGTTGAACTTCAACCTGGCTTCGTGCAGGTGACAAATTCATCCGGATGTTGTCCGAGGACTATGATGATTTGCGATCCTCAAACCTGTCCCCCAGCTCCAATGTGTCCAGAGTATTATGAATTGAAAAGCAAGGCGGATCGGAATGCTTGTTGTACTAAATATGAGTGTGTACCACCAAAAGATTTGTGCTTGTTCAACGTTAGCTCAGACAACCAAATAGAAATGTCTGAACAAGTGGTATCAAAGAAGTTAGGAGAACAATGGATGAACGACAAGTGTACCTCTTGCATCTGCGAATCTGCTGAAAATGTTCCTAAAGCAAAATGTTTCACAACTGAATGTTTAAAACTTCTAGATCATCCAGATATCCCTGATTTCGTTATGGAAGAAATTGTTCTGGCGGATAAATGTTGCCCCGCTTTTGAAAGAATCGCTTGCAAAGACAATGGCAGAATATACCAAGTTGGTGAAGTATGGCAACCTAATGTTGAAGATAGTTGCACTTCAATAGAGTGCATCAAGGATGAAGATATAATACAAAAGCAAGTAAAAGTACAAGAATGTAGCGTTGTTTGCGATCTTGGTTTCGAGTACCGTCCGTCAGATAATAAGAGCATTAGCTGTTGCGGACGATGTACACCAGTGGCATGTGTTTTTGGTAATCAATTGAGAAACGTGGGAGAAGAATGGTACTCCAATGATTCCTGCACAAAGTATTCTTGCAAATCCAGTAATGAAACTGTCTTTGTAGAGTCAGTTACAGAGAAATGCCCACAAATAGATATTGCAGAGGAGTCTGAATATGAGATAGAGAAGCGATACATTCCAGGCCAGTGCTGTCCGCAGTTTGTTAAAATTGGTTGTCGTCACAACGGTATGATATATAAACCTGGAGAGAAGTGGAAATCTCCGGATGATATTTGTGTCACAGAGGTTTGCGGATCAGAGTCAAATATGACAAAGTATAAAGAAGTGGAAGTTTGTTCAAAGAAATGCGCTCTTGGCTGGACGTATGAACAACAGGAGGGTGAATGTTGTGGAAAATGCAAACAGAGTTATTGCGTTATTGGAGATACACTGTATGAACCTGGAGCAACTTGGTCATCCGCTGACAATTGTACAACTTACAGCTGTATGGATCAAGGAGAGCAGTTGTCTGTTACAAGTAGTTCAACAGTGTGTCCTGATATATCCCATTGTCCCCCCGACTCAATTTATACTCAAAACTGTTGCAAGATGTGCAATTTGATACCGGACAATCAGAAGGTTAATTTGTGTGCTGCTGATGTTTTGGATGCACAAAATACAATAGGCATGTTCAGTGTGAAACATAGGCTACATGGTTACTGTAAAAATGTGCAACCTGTTGAAGGCATCACAGAGTGCCGTGGAGCATGTGAATCTACTTCCTACTTTGATACAGGTAATGACAAGAATATATTGCAGAAATAATTTTGAGAAACGTTTATTCGACAACTTAATTTGTTCCTATTTTAATTATAGAGAATTGGAGTCAAGTCGTTAATTGCCAGTGCTGTCAGCCAACGGAGTACAGGGGTTTGATAATTGAACTGATGTGCGAAGATTATAAAATGTTGAAGAAACAAGTCGCTGTTCCAGTTTCTTGCTCTTGCTCAGAATGCACGTCTGGAGGCCATGGTTATAAAGGAAGGAAAGGAGGAGTTAAAGGTTGAAGGACTACCAAAAAAAAAGTTAAAATAAAGTACGAATTGAAATAAGTACTTCAAAGTTTTAACAAAGATTGAAAATACAAAAATATTATTCGTTGATTTTATTAAATGATGTGTATATATATATAGAATATATATATATATAGATATTATATTCTATATAATAGAATATATCATATTTCATGAATATATATCTTTTTCGTCAACAATTCATTTTGTATCGGCTTCCTCATACTAAAATTCATACTTCGAATTTTGGAGCATACTAAGTACAATAAAACTAATTCAGTCTCAACAGGACTTACTTTATACACATGCACGCATTCAAATTTCCTGCTTTGTACTTCAAGATTCAGAAATCTCTACTTTCATGAACGGATATTTCTCAAATAACAAAAAAGAAACAAATTTTCGAGGCAAATAAATTGTGAACGGTGAACATCAGAGATAAAGCCGATAACGAATAAATAAAAATCACAGTTCCTTTCTCCACTGATCATCATTCGTGTCGTAAATTAAACTCGAGGAAACAGCTGAATTTATCTGCTGCCAATTCCTGGTGCAAGATGAAATGACTCAACTATTCAACACGATACAGAAACGCTTCACAGACTAGTTTTCAATAAACCTGAGTCGTCGGATCTACGTATACATTGCAAACAGCAAGCCAAAGAACGCAAGTGAATCTTGTACATGGGTCATATTTAGTATAAAAACTAAACGGCTACGCATTACACCCCTTAGTTCCTAGCAGAAATCAGTAGCTTGCAATAACGTAATCAAACTTATAAAAGTTAGGTAAACGATAGAATATCTCTCAATAACAAAACATCGTTAATCTTCTTACATGTACATAACTTATCTATAATATTTATCGCTTCTTTAACGAATCACGCTAACAACGCACTTCCGTATTTCCAAGTGCACAGGTAGATGTAAATTCGGATGCAACTTAGGCTTTCCTTAATTGTGAGAGAACAAGTGTCTTAAGCTAAGTGTTCATATATGACCCCAGGAGTTTCTAACACTTCCCATATTTTCCAAATGGTGAGAAGCACCCTCACTGATTTTTAGGAAGCTTCTGTTACACCCGAATATACAGTTGAGGAAGCTATAGGTGGCAAACAATGCTTGCCTGTTTATAAAATTTTTACTATCGTTTCATTAGATGACACGATAATACACACTCAAAAAAATACAAACAAATCTACTGATGTATTTGTATGTATATGTATATATAATTGTATGTATAACGCGTTTATTATTTTATGTACAAGATTATCTACTTACTACGCTTTACAGAATCATCGGTTGTAGTATATTCGACGCATTCAACATCGCGAACTTTCGTTTTCGTTGATTTATAAATTACATACAGTATTTAAAATCGTATCGCACATCTTCGATGCAATCTTAACTTGCGTAAGATTCTAATTTGAGTAATAACAAAATGGTTATTTTTCTGTTCAATAGGTTTTTACGGTCTAACTATTATTTCGCATCGTTTCAATATCGACTAATCGAAGTAAGATATATCAACAGGTTTATTAACAATTATAAAATTAGATACAACGATCTGTTCTCTCTACTGTTTATAATTCGTGGCCTAAATTAAGTGCGCAAGGTTGTTCTAGCGAGATCGTAATACTGCATCAAATGAATACAATCATTTCAGTGATTTTTGAGACACGGAGTTTGTGAACTTTCAGATAAAAAGATATGAAATTCCGTGTATTGTATTAGCCATATGCAAAAGTTACAAGCCGTACAATTCTGAATATCATAAATCTAAATCTATTAATACAATACAATTTTATGTTCTCCGAATCTCAAAACTTTCACAAATGACAAAGATGTATGCCTGACACGGCTCAATCGTATGTATTTATACTGCTACCAATGAAAGAAGAAATTACGTGAACGTTCTACCGGTGGCAACACGATCAATTTGACTATGACATAAAAAAAAGGTAACGTATCGCACTCTGAGGGTTCTAACCGACTCATAAATTCCAGCTTCGTTTCCCTGCTTCGTATTCCATGCACGTTGGCGATGTACAGACAGACAGAGGCTGTTCCGCATGTGTACGAACGCTACCTGAAAGGAGGAAGGACTACTTTTTGCTACGCTTACAAAGTACACAGCGTGCAACGCGCTGTGATACCTTTTGCTACCTTCCACGTAACGAATCTGGACAGCTAAGGTGGCCCCAGCTCTCTGCAAGCTTGGAAACGCGTGTCCACTGGGCGTCTCCTCGGCATCGCGACGCTCTGGACGGTGTTTACGAGGTTGGACGCAGCTTCAGGATTCGCTACGAGCGAATGGCCCTTTACTCAGGGGCCGTAAGCAAGTCCTAGGCGAGTTCGCTTTTCGACTTCGTCTCCGCATAGAACTGTGACTCGTTGTTATTGTTCAACAACGACTGCTGATGGAAGTGCCTGCTCAGGAGGTACACCACCGCCTCATACGTTGCCATGATGATCGCTGTGTTCGGTATTTGCCTGATCAAATGAGTACCCAGGCCACGGTACAATCCTTGCGGCCCTTCCTCTGCGCATACGGTTCTCAACGTTTGCCAGAAAGCCTGGTATTTTGTACCTTCCTCTCTCAGTCGTGTTCTGGCTACCTCTGAAAAATTTATATTCATTAATCTCTGAGGTTTTGATAACATAGGTTTCCCTTGACTAAAGATATGTAAAGAGTTACATTTCCTTTTAATTAAGAGAAACCTAAATTACATATAGTTGTATATACAATGTGATACACAGTAAAATTAAAACTTATACAGGCACAATTTTTCCAAAATCAATTGACCGTTACTACTTTGCATTTTTATTTAGGATCTATATGAAGATCATAACGTTTGTAATGAAAATAGTTACAGATAGTTACAGTGAAGCAATTGATTTTGGCTACAGAATAGTCGAGCAAGTGGAACTTCGGTGTCTAGAGGCGATCAGACTTAATCGATCAGAACACCGCAACCGACATAACATGTAATTGCACATCGACTGGCTGGCATACAGTTCAATGGTTACTTTTAGACCAACTTGCAACAACTTGAAACTTGCTGTTGCTACATTTTATTCTGTTAGAAGTCCTCTCAGGGAACAAAAGATATTACTGAGGCTTATCTCCTCTATTCTATAATCAAATGGTAATGCAGACTTTTACAAGGATCAAATTCTTTCGAGCAATAAACTTTGCATAAACTGCACCCACGCTTTGTTCTTGAACGAGGGCCAATTTCTGCATCATTAGCAATATCACAGAAATAGACTGAAGCAGGAAGAACAAATTTGCGGAGTCACCATTAGTTTTTTGTTATGGTAATAGAATATCTTTGCAGCGATTAATTTTGTCAACGAATACAGCCGACCTTACCATGGGGGTAAGCGATGGTAGACGCGATTGTTTTCGAGAAGGAGCCGGCCGCCATGAACTCTAGGAAATCGCGCAACGTTTTGCGATCGTCTATCGTAGGAATCCTGTACGTCGCTAGCCAAGCCTTCACAGCCTCGTAGATCACAAAGTGTATCACAGTCTCGCTTATTCCTACGTAGGAGGCCACGATGCCTTTGTAGAATCCCAGGATACCCTGAAAATACAGCGGATGGCTTTAAATTCAACGCTTATGAAATTATTCGAAGCAATTTCTCGGAGAACACAATATTCCATGGATATCATACAATACAGTCTTGGTAAAAATTTGGAAATTTTCGAGTTGTGAAACGTCCGGGGTCATATGGAAAGATTTCACATAATCATTAACGTGATAGGACAACATGAATCAGAAATGAACTCTTTATCATCGAAACACTTGATCAATATAGATTATATCTATCTACAAGTTGGGGAAATTCCTGCTTTATTAATGGTTGATTATTATGATAACAGAATTCACTTTGAAGAGATCATGGGTGAGCAGCATGGTATGAAATACGCTTGTTCTAGATTCGATCACACTGTACAAATAAAAATCTTATCTAGATAAATTATTCGATGCAAAAGTAACGTATTATCGAGCAGTACATTGACCAATAAATATTCATTCTTGTAAACGATAAGTAATGCTTAGATACTTATAAATCAATCAATAATTCATTCTGCTTCTGAAAAATAACTTTTTCCTAGTACAGTATTTTTAGATTCTTATCCGTTTTTATTAACGGAACGTAGTTCAGTTCCCTTACGGAACAAAAACATGAGGCGCCATTAATGAGTATTGCACAAGATCGGGTGATCTATAAATCGTTGTTTTTGCGGATCGCGTATTATGCACGATATTTTTATCGCTATTTACTATTCGTAGGTCGCAAGGCTCGTTTTAGAACTGGCTTCGGTACAATTGCGATGCAAATGTCTCGTCCGACAACGCAATTGAACGAAATCGAATAGAAACTAGCAACGTAAATTCTGACAAGATACCTTTTGAACTTTCTTTGAGACATTACTTTGCCGATGTTCAATAATTTCCTGACACTTCCGCAATACAAATTTATCAACTATTATTATATTATCGCGAGTATATCCAACATGTTCTACATGCATGTATTTTTGCGCCCGGTTTCTATGCATAGACTATCGTAAAAATATCTTTGGCTGCAACAAGATGTTTATCGTTGCAACATCAACGTTGTTGAATTTTGGTCAGCGAAACAGCTCGTTATGCATTTTGTCTCTTCAAAGTAAATATCTGGCACTTCAGACAGCTTTCTTGTCTCTACAAAGCTACTTTTTATTTTTAGTTTCTATTTATCTAATCTAACTTTTTTAATATATATTTTTAACAGCTCGTAAACGCTACTCTCATTTTCTTCAAAAAATAGAGGTGACCTCTTTCAGCCATGCTTATTGTTCTCCAATCCTTTTGTTCTGAAGCTATTCTTCGCTACAATCTCCTATTCTTTTTAAGCTGTAATAATGAGCTTTGGTGCTCTAGAATAGTTTCCCGAAGCGAGAGTTACGTTAAGTATTAAAGGTGGTGAACCGATATTCTGGGAGAATTTAAGAATTCTTCAAACTGTATCACATTCCAGTCCTCTTAAAAAGTAATCTGCGCCCGTATTGATCAAGAAAGTACTTTGCCCCCAGCAAGCAATTGATCGATGAGCATAGTAGTTTCGAATGAAACCAGGTGCAACGAAGCCGATCACAGACTGTGCATCAGACGGGAAACGCGATGTGTCTGGCAGGAGAGAAAACTTCCTGTGATGCGTTTATGCGATGATACAAATGAAAGAAAACGCGCTGAATAACCAAGACTGATCCAGTTGAGTCTTCTCTATCTAGGTTACGTCTCCAATGTTGTATTCATGATGTGACAAGTAGGATTAGGTTCTCGTACCGATTGTCGATATATCCTTTGCACACATTCCATCGCGGTGATTTTGTTTGACCGATGGTCCAGTTGTAGCCTGGTCTTCACGAACCAAATAGGATTTGTCAACGTGCATGCCACGAAACCTGAAAAATGAATGCACGTGTCTTTAATCCGTCCGTTGCGTGCAAGAGCTGCGTTTCGAACAGCTTCTCGGGGCAAGGTAAATCGATCTGTTTTGAGCCTGTCTGAAGGAAACATTATACAGGCTGAATTGACAAAATAGCAAGTTCATAGGTCTTACTTGTTCTTGAAATCAGTATGTTACATGTAAGTAGTTTAGCAAACTGACTCGTTATTGAAATTTGGCTTGTTCAGAAGCACTAAATCTTAACAACAGTGCTCTCAGTAAAATTTGGATTACTATCAATGAATCATTATTCTGAACTTTTATGTTGAAAATAGTTAGGAGTATAAATAATCAAAGTGTAATGCTTGATACACAAATTAATTTAACAAAGTACTTGAGACTCTGATTGTTTAAATAATATGAACACATGTAATACGATCTTTGATAGAAAAGCACACACTTGTTATATGTGTAATCAAAGAGCAAAATCTAAAAATATAATTTGAGAGATCTACCGAAATGGATCATAAATTGAACATCACAACAATGACCACAGATAACTCGACCTTCCGGCGCCCATGAATTGACCTCAGTTGAGTCACAGAATCGTCGCTATGGATTTCGAAGCACGAACACGTTGCAACATCAGCCCGCGACCATCTTGAAACAACAAAATCAGCCGAGCCAAACAATCGCGACTGTGGCTTGCCGAATTTTTTCATGAATCCAAATCGAGCCTCGAGCCGCTCCCGCTGGCAGAAATTCGTTGATCGAATCTACGATTCCTGTAAACATGCCAACATCTAAATTTATCTGAACGAACGAGCGAACGAGCATCGACAACAAGGATGAAACCAAAGGCTTGACCCCTCGATTCGCGAATTTTGCGATACTCGAGGAAAACAAATGAAGTACAAGTGATCCTAACCTACCTCAAATCAGGAATAAGGTTAACGAAGCCGCACAAAGATGCCTCAAATCAAAAAGGGGGACAAACTACCTAATGCGACCTTGTACGAAGCTCTACCGGAAAATCAGACCAACATTTTAGAGCTGGTGAAGAACAAGAAGGCCGTCATCTTTGGTGTACCTGGTGCTTACGTTCCTGGATGCTCCAGGGTTCATCTCAGAGGATTTATAGAAAAGTACGAGCACCACGCTTTAACTTAAGGGTCCTACTTTACATTCTGTTTAATCGATTAGGTCGGCAGACTTGAGGTTTCTGGGTTTTCAGGAAGTAATCTGTGTGGCTGTAAACGATCCATTTGTGCTTTCTGCTTGGGGACATGCCAGAGGAGCCGACGACAAGGTAACAGTGCCAACAATGAGAGTAACAATCTCATTAAAATTTATCTACAATCCAGTAACTAGTGTTTTTTCATAAAACAATAAATATGTTAACAACTCAATAGTTAAATGTTGACATTTGTAAAGAGCCCAGAAACAGTTTGATAATTTTAATGTATATCCCATTAATTTATGAATGTGGAAACTGTGAGACTAGGGTCTGCAGTCTGAACTGGTTTCACCAGGCAATTTAACTAGCATGCTGATCTTTTCTAATTTTAACACTAACCCAATTGTCGGTTACGCTAGAAAGGATATCAGTAATTACTCCATCAGTGAAAGACAAGCAACTTCTCTCTTTATATCTTAACAATAAGGTCAATTCCTTTCTAAATGAAATTATTCGAGCAATAAACCGAATTAAATTCAGGTGCGGATGCTTGCAGATCCTATGGCAACATACACCAAGGCCATCGGAATGGATATTGATATTCCAGACTTAGGAGGAACCAGAAGTCGCAGGTACTCCATGGCTACGATTGACGGTGTCGTAAAGGAATTGTTCGTGGATTCGCCTAACGTGAAGCTCATGTGTTTACAAACAGAGGGGGTTCCCACTTACTGCACTTGATTGTGTTATCAGTTAAAAAATAAACGTTCCGTGTTTTTATGTGTATCCTCGGTAGTTAATTGTTTCTTGAGATTGTAATACTTAGATTACTCGAGTGTTCGATATGTAAATACAGCAATCATGTTATCTTCACTGCACTGAACCTTGGGTGGTCTCGTTTTTAGTATTTTAGAATTTTGCAATGCGGTGACTTTTACAACTTTAAAACTTAGGAGAATTTAGGGTCTCACGCTTTTCCTTTCTTAATACCTCAACATTCCATCATTCAAATGCTCTAACATTCCAAACAAGCTCACTATCTTCATCCACTCTTCAATACATCCACATCTCAACACGCAGAACATCCAAAACGCATCTCCAAAACCTAAAAATAAAAAGAATTGTATTGGAAAGACATCATAACATTGTTACTAGAATGTATCAAAGCATGTAATTCAAGGTTGATAAACATTATCATGGGAATCGAGCTCGTATCCTGAAATAGAAACTAACTGCACACTACTTAGCGCAGAAAAGGCAGAGTCAATGAAGGCGCACAATTGGATTCTTCCTATGTCGCACGTGTGACGATGCACTGCGAGCGCAACGTGATTCCTCGTAAACACACGTTTCTGATCTATTTTTGTAGCGGCCGTTACCGAATCAAAACACGCAAGATTATATAGGCGGGCTAAGCGATTGAGAATGTGTACACTTGTCTATCTCCTGTATGTGTGCATGATGAATACATGTATCTTATCGCGTCGACGCACCGCGTGTTGCGCACATTGAAATGTGAAAAAAGAAATTCCTGTTGCGCAGTTACCGACCTCACCTGTCTACCATTTGTTGTTTACGCCACTTTAGATATGCGTCAAGTGAAACATTAAAGTTGCTGTTTAATGCCGGTGTAAACAAAACAACATTTAGACTCCATATTTCAAATACCCTTCAGTATTTAAACCGAACTGACTTAATCAATTTATTCAAAATTGAAATTCATTTATTCTGATTTTTTGTCAAGTTTACCTTTGCCTCCAAATACACGTTACTAGTCTTGCTGGTTAATATTGAAATGAAGTGTTAGTGCTGTTTAACAACTTTTTGTCAGTAATATTTGTGTTGTATTTGCGCAGTTCTTTTGCTATCGTCGTTTTTATATTCTAATCCTGAAGTTCCATGGCCGTTAAACGTGTTCCGACTTCATTAAGAATGGTGAATTTATACATGGACGCCATGGCGAATATATTAGGATAAAGTGTCAAGGGTAGGAATAATATTTAAACGGTAGTTTTCGTCTGCTGATGTCTCAGATACCACAATGCAAATGTTTCTCTCTTTACTCAGCGTTTACTCGTTAACGAGACACGTGAGTTGGCGTATGCATGAAGCGGATGATCCTTGAACTCGCCTGTACGAAGTCAGCAGGAAAATATTGATTGTTTCTGTTTGACCTACCTCAACAGAAAAACGAGAGGAATACTAGAGCACCGGCATCGTTTACGGGTTAAGAACTTTTGCGAACTGGAGTTTGATGCTCTGACGTTCAACTTTAACATTTTGATGTTCTCTGTTAAATACTTGACTGAAACATTAGTCTACCATTACTCTAAATAGCCTGATCATTCAAATATATCAAATTAAAAAATTACCTTAATGCTCCAATACCCTTTTAATATTTCAATGCCACAAATACACCAGCACTCAATGCTCTCACACATTCCAACACCTCGCTCAAGCCTCACACATGCGTGCAGTTCCCAATCTGTTAGAAAGATTAAAGGTATTAGATGACAGTGTTTTAGATGTGTTTTGATGTTTGAAGGACGAATACAACCCGATTGCATAATCCGGATGCGTCGTAACCAAGCACCACGGTAAACAGTGCGTTGGCCGCGGCGATCTGCCACGAACTAGGTCAATAGGACAGAGTACCTGCTTGTAAACTCAGAATATCTAATAAACTGTGACAATCACCTTTCTTGTTTATCTTAACTAGTATTACTCTACTGATACTCTTGTATCTAAATACACAACGACGCACAAGGTGCGTCACCAGTATCTGATTCATAGAATAGCATAAGATGCGTCGCTTATCTTATTCTATAAATAAGATAAGAGACACTTGGTACATCGTCCGACGGAAAAGTGCTAAATACGGAAAACATGCGTGAACACGTGCACACTAGCTGCTCAGCGTACAATGTAACCACATGCCTGGCAACTTTCCATTTATCAGCAATTTTTCAGTTATGAGATCAAGCAAGTACGTCATAGGCCGTATCCCAAAGATACCACATGTTCGTCGACTGATTCGGTGTCTGGTGTTACATAGAACTCTCTCAAGATTTTCAACCGCAATTCACCATCGTCGCCTTTTCGCCAAGTGCATTACTCGCGTGCAAACTGGACGTATAGTAATTGAACGAGCGTTTCAAGGCCGTCCGTAAATGAATGCAATTGCATACGGGAAATGTCTTGGAGTGTAGTCTCGATGGGATCAACGAGGAGCAAGAGTCCATCTTGGGCAATAACGAGCAGCGAAATATAAGAAAAAACTATGGACCCATTAGCAAGAAGTGCGCGTGATCATTTGTGTTACAAACTAATTAATAGGTTTATCTCATTTTCTGCGTACTGCAATTGTGTATCCAAAAACGGTAGTGAATATCCATACTTCTGGTAATGTGGAAACTTCCAATTAGGTGAAATACAAGATCGCAAATGAATGTTTGTTTGTCCATAGTCGGGGACAGTCGATGAAACATCTACCACGTTGGTTGACTACGTGACCAGATGCACGTTTTCGGCGACGAAAAGGGGAGCCCCTTTAAATGGGTCTCGGCAAAAGAGGTTCACGACCATCCATCACGTGCATACGACCGTGCTACCTGATTTTGTTCTTTCAAGCTTGTAACTTATACTCAAGTTACCCAAGATCTAGACAGCTTCAATACTTATGTTTTAGAATATAGAATCATTTTTCCACAACTCATACTAGATTGTACGAATAGATTATTTAGTCACGTCCTATTAAATCTGCAAGCTTCTGAAATTACCATTCAATTACTTTAAAATGAACTAAAGATACAGAGAAATTTAGAAATGTGTATCATACATATATGTTTTTATAATATAGAAGAATAAATCTGTAAATGGTTCATCTCTCTCTCACTCACTCTCTCTTTCTTATTACCGCACTCGAAGGCGAGCAAGTTTGGATCAGATAACATCAATCAGTTTCTGGAACATCTATCTTTATCACAAAGTATCATGAGCTCGCAATAGTCTCTGAAAAAATATTGTAATTTGTAAGTGTAAGAAAAGATTGAGAAATACAGAGATATTGCATTCGTACAGGCATGCGCGATACAGTGTAACATATTTGGATAAATGCAAATCGCAAGGACCCCCACGGAGACATCTATTCCTTGACGATTGATCGAGGGTTAAAGTTCAACTTTCGCCAGATAACAGATATCTGCTCATTAACGAAACTGCGGATTACAGACACATGACGCGATTGTACGTAACAAACACACACTTTCATCGATCTCTTTCTATTATCTTTCCTCAACGGAAAAATCAAGAATCCTGAAGATCTTCCGTATATGTTACACGAATCTCCACGAAAACTTTCTAGGATCATTTTTTAAAGAAAATGAAGATTCACTTTTCCATCATGATAGTCTTTCATTAATGTAACTACTGTTCATACCTATTATCTACAATTTAATTCTAATTTTACACCAAATAATTTTTCAGATTCAAATCTTTGTTTGTGAGAGGACTTTGATCTGTTCCGGAAGTTTTCCAGAATATTCTGCGACTCTATTCACTTTCTTCCTGGTGGACATAAATAGATTGAAATATAAAAGCGCAGATACTACGCTGCACCGGGTTATCGGTGCACTATGAGAGATCGAAAGTACGTCACAATTACAAGCCGGTTATTTACGGTGAATCCATTCAGCGCGATAAGACGAATGACGTGCGACTTGACCCCACTGAGCTCTTTTATCTAGAGCCGCCTTGATTGTTCCCAAAAAAGAAGCGCGATAACATGTCGATTTTCACGTCCTGTGCGTAGAAGGGCAATGCCTTTGTTAGATCTTCTATGTTATCTATTTTGTGCGACGGATCTGTGGCCAGTTTTGTGCAGAAGCATTACACTTGTACTCTCTTACAAGGTTCCAATAAAATGATTACGGTGTGGATCGTAAATCACTTTAGAAATATGGGATTTTGGGATTCTGGGAACCACCAGAAATGACCATTTTAAGAAGTGTGTCTCCAGTATGTTTGGAACCTCTTGATATAAATAAAATCCAACGTGTAGATTTAGGACCAGGTATCGACGGAATTCCTTTCCCCACTGTATTCAGTCACACTCAATAATTCTCAGGCTTTGACACAGGTTCCTCAAATAGTCTCATTCAAAACGTCCTGAACTCATCCATCCAACAAACACAATTCTCTTTTCCATGCAAACACACAAGAGCTCTAAAATTATCAAGTGATTAGAATGAAACTGCGATGGCAACGGTAGTTGGTTAATCGATAAAAAGCAGACAAGATAAACGACTTACCAGCGCAGAATGCGGAGAACACGTGAACGAGCGGTGTATCCGGAGTAAGGATAGCGTTGAACGCTATCTTACTCTTAGAATAGGCGCAGAAATAAATTGCTCTGGAGGGTGCGACTCCCACTAGATTTGGGCCGAGTCCTTTGAATAGGGCTCGAGTTCCTTCGTTTTGAACGATGTACTTTATGCACTGATAGATACCTGGTGCTGAGTGATAGGGAGAGCCTCCAGGAGGAGTAGACGAGCCAAAGTGAGAAAGGGCGACTAAGGCGTGCCTGTAACACACAGAAGATGAACGAGTTAGTACAATAGTTAACACATTTTCAATCAATCAATTTGTTGAAATACAATTTCTGCATGGGACTATGTATGTGGCATATATGGAATTTTTACCGTGTGACCCAGTTTCCAAACAGAACAAAAAAGCGTGAAATGATACATGTATCTATATATATATAAACCCCTGAAGAAGTCAAATTCATTAATTCTGTTATCTGCAAATTTAATGTACACAAATTTTATTGACATGTTTGTATTAATTATAATTTAATCTGTCCTGATATGAAAACGATATATTAAGTGACGAATGATATAATATTTGCTTGTTCTTAAATTAAAATACTTTAAGCAATTATGATATTCCAGTTTGATCTACATTCCGAGTCTCGATGATTAATTTTAAGCCGTGCAAACATGGGAGAATACCGTGACGTTAGGACTTCCAAACAGGGTATGGATTGCTACAAAGTGTTCTATGAGTCGATGTTCCTAGAGTCGCCGGTGTGCCACGGAACACCGTACACGAAGGTTTATTTTCAGCTAAGGAATTTCACGAATGCAAGAAATGCCAGTGCATGGTGGTACGCTCGACGTTATGTACACATAGAAAATACCTTAAAACAATACTGAACGGTAATTGCCGTCCGAAGCGTAAATATAACGGATCGTTTAACAATGCTATAATGTTGAAACAATTTTTTACGAAGAACGAGTGTGAAACCAGAATACCAACATCATGTTTATTCTTCTCCAACGCGCTAAGGGAAGACACAAAAATGCCGGCGTGAACCGGTAAACCAAACAACCAGTGAAGCCTGTGTTTCAGAGTGAAAAACGAGGCGTTAAAACGGCGATAAGATGTGTCACTTTGAAGAATTGGTGTATAGATGTGGATTTTGTGCATTTTTGGGTCAAAATATTCTTCCAAGCCTTTGTTGATAATATTTATGGTTCTGATTCTATTGTGTCAAAACATGTTGTATCCTCAACAATGTGGAAATAAATAATGAATAAATTTGTTCAAGCCTCTCTTCTACTGATATATATTGTTGGCATGAAAGGATGAAATTGCCATTGCAAATGATGAGTCTTGTTTCTTCTTGGTGAATCTATGGAAACCAAATATTTATTTCAATATTTGTTTAGTCATGGTAATAATACATTGTTCAAAATAATTATGAGTAGGGATACATGTCAGCATCTAGATTTATAATACAAATTAATTTATTTCATTGAATGTCTATATTTAAAATTAATACTCTGGCTATTTTAAACAGTGATATTACCTAGTGTACCCGCCCGTGCATAGTCTTCTCCTCTGTTCCGGTTTCGGGAAGCTTTTACACGTGACATGACCGGAAGTGAGTTCCTTGTTCACCGGGGGCGGGTAGAAACCGGAGGAAGAGGATTGCAAACGTGTTTTAACCACCTCCAAAGGACATGTGACTATTGCTCCTGTCGTACCGGCCACTCTGCAAAAGCGACGCAATTAACGTGAGAAAATTTCAGAAACGCAGTAAATAGGTCATTTGGTTAACAATTAAAATGAATTAAAAATTATAAAGTAAAATTTGTATCTGCATAACGAAGAAGTTTAAAATTCGCGAACCACACGACTGACAATAGAATTCTTGACAACTAAAGCACTGTTTCGAAATAGTATATGCAATCTAAGAACACTAATTTCATTTGCATAGAAAGCTTGTATTTATCAGCATCGTATTAATAAACATGTAAATTAACAGTATGTAATAAGTGCTAAATAGAACCGTGTATTTTTCTACATACCCATACTTCATACGAAATGTTTTTCAACGGATAATCGAACGTCGTTTCGATCTAATCGATTTGTGAGCGAAAAAGAGAGAAATATATATTCGACGCAAAAACATGATGCATTCGTACCCACTGCAGAAACTTACATCTTGATATTGAATAAGAATTTAAAAGATAACTAAAATAAACACGAAAGGAATCAAAATACGTCGTGTTGCCAAAAAATACGCCGGTTTCTAAATTAGAACGATCAATTTTACGCATATGCACATATGTATACACAAGTTACGCGAATGACGTAACAGTGAGTGCGAACCGGCGACAATGTCGCAGCATTCAAGGCTAGAGAATTTTTGTATGTCGCATTAAAGTTTACTCATTTAATTTGAAGATACATTCCTGCATACGATTTCATACAAAACATGATTGCTGCGCAAAATATACGTCTCTCGACAAACTGTTTTCATGTTCGACAATCGATCAGAACAACCGGCATGAACTGCTAACACGCGTTTGAAAAGCTGATCGTTTGGTGTACACGTAATTATGATAATTACGACTGAAAAGATGACTAAAAATAAAACCCACCCTCCAGCAACGAGGTGTATCGCGGTGTCGCGATCCAACATTCTTCGACTCGTAGAATATTCTGTCACTCCGGAAGCATGTACTTTTGGCAAGGAATGAACGAAAAAAACACTTCAAGTTCACACCCACGAACCGCACCAAGAACTGCGTTCGACACAGCAGTTTATTGTCTTGATGATGTTACTCAATTCTTGTTTCGACAATCAAACCAGAACACCCGGTTAAAAATATGCCACCTTCACCCTCGGTAGCTCGAAAACAACTGATTGCATTGACCGCACTAAATGAACGGCGCACCGTGCACCATAAACTACTGTCATACTAGATATACCGCGAATCTCTCGATAATCAAGAATCGATAGTGAGTGGCGGCAAATCGAGTGTTATTTAAAAATGCCTTCTTGTTTAAATAACAAACGATACATGAACTTAAAACATTAAGTTACAATCGATAATGAAATATTTTAAATTCGAAATCCTGTAACAATATGAGATACAGGGACTAAAGGAAAGGAGAAGTAATAAAATGGTCCAAGATAAATAAAATGTACAATGAAGTATAAAGGACGTAACTTATAATGTTTTATACCGTATAAACAATACACGATGAAGAATAATTAAATAAATATAATACTGAATCTTCGATTGAGTGTAATTACATTTCTGTCCCTATGCATTGATTCAATATGTTGGTAAAAAAATAAAAAAAGGTAAAAAAAAGTTATGAAAGATCTGAAAAGTGTACCTTTTAGTATTCCAATTGAAGAAATGCCTGAAAGACTTCCTCGGTATTCTCCTCTTTTTCTCTTTTAACAGCCAAGTGCATAGCTCTTAAAAATCGAGTTAGGGTACACTTTTTCGTTCGTAAATAAAAAGCATGCGCTAAGAACGGAATTTTCCTCAGAATTCGTCCACTGAAGCCCTGACTTTCTTGACTAAGTTCCTTTAATTTGAGACTATTCTTTGTGGCAGAGTTCTCTTCATAACCCAATTTTTTTAAATATGACAAATCATGAATTTCTTCGTGTTCCATGAGTTTGGTCTGAAAGATACCAACATAAGCAACATATATGATGTAACAAATATATCAGTAAATGCGTCTATGTACCCTCATCAGCTCTTTCAAACATGACATATAAATTTTATATATGGCTTGCTCTGTGGGGTGTCCAATATACTGTTTTATATCTGCTCTGTCAATGAATGCTAAGTCAATAGCTTCTGACAAGTTACTGGTTGTTAAAATTAGGACGTTCGGATACCGTTTTATTTGATCCAATTGTGTTAATAAAGCGTTTACTACTCTTATAGCATCGGTGGGTTCCGTCCCGCTGTTACAAGACTTACGAGCATGTGCCAAAGATTCGATTTCATCAATTAAAATGCAAACTAATGCTTGTGAATTTTCGAGTAGCCTTTTTATTTCGTTAAATAATTTCATAACTAGTTTACCACTCTGAAAATCAATAGAAATTAAATATAAATTCAGTGTAAATTAGCTGTAATAAGTAGATTAATATTTGACAATAAAAATTACCTCTGAGAACCACTTGGAAAATAAACTGTGACTATTTATTTCAACAAATTCACCATGACTGAATCTATTGCCTAGACGAATAATAATTTTTTGTGCAAGAGCTTTGCATAGACTAGTCTTTCCAGTACCTGGTGGCCCATGGAGTAATACTACTTTATTCCAACTTATGATATTGGTATTAACATTGTGATCTGCAAATATCATAGCTGTTTCTACAAAGTGTAATAGCTGAAACAAAAGATAAATGAGTGAAGATCATCATAAATAACAAGAAAAATATAGGAAGATATAGAGATTCAACTGACATCTTCTTTTACATTGGAATCAAAGTAAAGACTCTCCCATAAATAATGAAATTCTTTCACTGGCAATATCCAGTGAGAAGATACTGGTAAATCTTCGCCATCATTATCCATTGTTTCGGTAGCAGCAGATTCAATCGATAATCTATATACATGAAACTTTAAATTAGCTCCTTGTACTTTCATGTGACTTCTCTGTAATAATAAAGTTTGTTGTATACATATTTCTCAAAATACTTTGTTACATTATTTACCTCTCCATGACTGTAGGAACATATTATCGAATCAATGTGATTCTTTAAAGTATTATTTGATAGATTTTTTCCATATATAATAGAATCCAATGCAATATCCTCATATGAATTTATTTCAGCATATACTAAGTTCTCTATTTCCTCTGAAGACAATGTACTGGAAAAAAACGAGATATATAACTATCTTAAAAGCACAAAAGTTAATAGCTTATGTATTGCGATAGTAACAATACAACTTTTCTTAAACAAAAGCATAATGATTCAGTATACCTGTCGATATTTTGACAGATTTCCACGTGCAAAACATCAGTTCCTTCCATTTTCGATAATGTTTCGTTAATGTAATTTCGATAATGTTAAAGAACAAGTTTAAAAACTTGTTCGCTTCTTTATCATTTAAATCGTAGGATAAATAGGAAACTACGTAGACCTAAGTACAATTTAAAATAAAGTTTGAAACTGATTACGCAGGTGTTTGCGAACTGTTGAGGATATCCATCTGCCTTGTTTTCATCGAAGGAGAAATGCTATTATGTAAAGGTGCATTTAGAGCGACGATGGGTAGACCCGATGTTCGCTAGAATCCACAGAACTTTACACCCTCTGTCAGATTACGATCTATTTTACAAAGGATCCATGGTATACTCAAGTACAAATCTGGCTTCCTTGGAGAAAATGACAACCATGGTGAAGAGGGCCCCACCGCCGATGATAGTGCACTCGAGTAATGATATGCATTATGCCTAATTCACAGGAAACAATAAATAAAATATGAGTATTAAAGAATTTAACTAACTATCTAACTAACTAATTATAAAGAACACATGAAAGTGAAGTTTTTAGAATAGATTTATCTTCTTAAAATATGAAATAGGTATAATGTATGCCGGTGGTGAGGACCTCCACCCCTTGATTGTCAGATTCTCTAGGGAAGTCAGATTTGCACTTGACTGTACAATATCAGACGCTATAGCAATTCGTATTTTTATAAATCGACAACGGTCAAACATTTAACAGTAGACGGTTTGAACAGCATGCTTTCGAAATGTAGTGGATGACGAGTTGGCATGATACCTATTATTCGGGAATTAACAATCAATCTAGTTTATTTTTACTCAATTATTAAACGATAGTGTTAATTTTGTTTTAATGAAATGAGTAAAGCAACGGATGATGATGAGCGTAGAAGACGCTCCTTGGAGGCGGGTAGAGAAATGGTAGGACCTTTGATCTTTTTATTTATATACTTTATTTATATGCCACTAATAATAATAAATTTAAAGTCGGCTCATTGCTTTATTTACTCAAAAAATGTATGCGACATTACAAATTTTTTTCTGCATGTACCATAACATTAAGTTTCATTTTTCAAGTAGATTGATTCAATATAAAATATCAATTTCAGCTAGAAAAGTACAAAGCGGAAAGAGCTGATAAGGCTCAAGGTGCGGGTCACAGTCAAATGGGCGAAGCATCTGATGAAGAATCTTTTCACAATGACAAATCTATCGGACATAGGGAGTCTTACGTAAGAAAAAGCTGAAAGCATAGATTGTAAATCCATTAACATTTGTGTTTAGAAATTGAGGTGTCATTTTTCATATAGGCACATGAAGGTATATCATCTAGAGACATGACACAAAGTAGTGTTAGCATGAGTGAAGGAGAAGCAGATGGGGATTTAGAAGGACTTGCAGGAAGGGTAGCCCAGTTGGAAGAGCTATTACATGGAAAGGAGGCCATAGTCGAGGCACTGAATGCAGAAATAGATCATTTAAGAGCAGAAACCTCATCCCCAAATTCTTCTCAAAGTCAAAATAGCAGTATACATAACAGAGATGTTATATCTTTGTACCATATAAAAGTTTGTTCTTGATTTATGTTCCTAAGCATGTGTGGAAGTTTTTATTACACTGCTTATACTGATTATGGTTTGTTGTTTTGTTATTAAACAGTTGCAAGAGTTTGAAAAAGCAGTGAATCAACGTGATAACCTGATAGAAGATTTGACATGGTCTTTACAGCATGCACTGGCTGTAAGAGATGATCTTGTAGCCCAATTGAATTCTTTAAATGCCATGAACATATCTTGTAAAGACAATGCTACTGCTGCGAATAATAAAAGTTTGCAAGAAAAGGTAAGTGTTTTGTTTAATTTAGATGAACATGTATACCCAGCCATTCTTGAATGCAAAGTGATTGCCTTTCAGATTGATACTTTAGAGCAAACTTTGAGTGACCAAAAGTCAACAATACAGAAATTAAATGGTCAGTTGGTGCAAATTCAAGAGCATGTGCAGACGTTAGAAATGGAGAAAGAAACGCAAAACGCTGAAATTAACGATTACAAGTTACAAATAGATAACCTTAACGAACAGATTCGTGTCGGTGCTGCTGATAAAAATTTAAATATTGCTGAAACTTTAGAGCAACAGAAACAATACGAGGCACGTGTTGATAAGATCAAACAAGACATGCAACATATATTGAAGAAGTTCACGGCCGAAACAAATATAAATACCACGCGTCATCAACAGGAGGTGAAAGATTTAGTTGCAAAGCATGAAACTGAAGTAGTGAACATTCAAGAGAAGTACGAAGAACGTTTGAAACAATTAAAGGAAGAAAATAAATTATTGGCTGATCGTTTGAATAAAGAATTGCCAGATCTAGAGACCAGGCATGCTAAAGAACTCTCAATATTTCAAACCCAATTGGCTCATTACAAAAAGACAGTCGAGGCCCTAAAACTTGAACTAGTGAATCGTTCTGAGTCTCAAAAAACTGCGCACGCTGAACTAAATGAATATAAATCAAAACTGAACGAGCTGAAGGTACATTCTGAGAAGGCTATGCATCTGCAAAACCTGGATCATCAAAAAGAAAAAGAGATGCTAGGTGAACAGATTAAATTGCACAAGTTACAGCTGGAAGAGATGACCTCAAAGTACATTGCTACGACCGCGATCTTGGAGTCGAAAGAGAGTATCGAACGTTCGTTGGAGCAAGCGCTGACGAATGCCGCTACGCTGAAAGAAGAAAATGAAAGTTTGAAGTTCAAGCTAGACGATTTGTCGTCAAGATATTCAGCGGCACAGTCGTTAATTGAAAACAGCCAAGCACACGAACGTACTCTGAGCAACAGAATCTATGACTTGGAGAAATCTCTGTCCAGACTGAGCGGCATCAACATGAGTACACTGAGTGAATTAAACCAGACCACATACCAAACTTTTGATGAAGTAGCGCTTCAATATCAGTTAACAAAGCAGAAATTTGAAGAGAAAGCTGAATTGGAAAAACTGTTAGTTCAGAGAATTGAGAATTTGGAAAAGGATGTTTGCAAAACCAGGGAAGAGTTAGACCAGGCGAATCTTGTTAAGAAATCGTATGAGAAACAACTGAAAGATATGAAGAATACCTGTGATAAGTATAAATCAGAACTTAATTCTTTGAAAAATGAATCAAATGATCAGAGTAGCTCACAAGTTGACGAAGAGAACAAGTTATCTAGTCAGAAACATAACGTTGCCGATCTTTTGCGTAAAACTGAAGAGGATCAACAAGAGATTAAAAAGCTGAAAGCGGTTCTTGAACAAAAAGAAACAGAACTCACGGAATCGATGAAGAAAATGTGTGATCTATCAGAAAAGTTGAAGAGATCTGAGGAAGAGACTGAGCAATTGAAAAATGGTTTGGCCACGGCATGGGCTCAATGCGCAGAAGTTGAAGAAAAATTGAATCAAACGTTAGCGTTGAATGATAGCAAGCTCGATATTTCTGTGCCATCGTCCAGTTACAGTAGTGCCTTGATGAAGCAATTCAAGCTAGGTAGAGGTCCAAATGATTCTGCAAATACGTCCCATGATCAGAGCACGGATACAAACAAAATCTCATATGAGAAGGATGCACAAACAGATAACGCAAGGACAATATCGTTACAGGCAAAACTAACAGCTGCTTCAGAAGAAAATGAAAGGTTGTTGAAGGAGCTGGAATACTTGATGGAAAAACAAGTCAATTACGAAGAGATTAAAAATAAATTGAAACACTTTTCTACGCTCTCAGAAAATCTTTCGATCGAAAGGGAACGTCTTACTGAAGAAAATAAAGCCCTGAAGAAAAAACTGGAGAATGTACAATCGTTGCAAGAATCTGTTAATCAGTTGAGAGCAGAGAAAGAACTGTTGCGTAAAGAGATGGACGCGTTGGTCTGCGTTCACGACGAGCAAATAAACGCGATAAAAGCAGAGACAGCATCAGAAATTAGAAAAGTGCAGTCTTTGATGCTGGGCTTGAAGGAAGGCACTGCTGAATTGAATGACTTGAAAACCGAGTTGGAAATGCGTCACGCCAAAGAAATGGAAGAACTGCGAACATACTTTGAACAAAAATGTTTGCTAATGGAAAAACAGTATTCTGAAGAGATATTCAGTCAACAATCGAAGAAAATGTCTGATAATGATAGTGAAATTGCTGACTTAACTGATGGCTTATATTATGGAGGTGCTGGTGACTGTCTGAACATTTCCAACATCTCTGGAAAGAGCTCCAGACTTGGTTCTCCAATAGCAGATGATAATTCAAGACAAAATAGCAACACTTTTAATAATCATAGCAAAAATGAACTTGAGTACAAGATTAACATGAAAGCTTTGCAACAAGAACTGCAAAATAAAATAATTGAAGTGCAAGAAATGAAACTGCATTATGAGAAAGCATTGGAAGATCAGAAGACCATGTACGAAAGGGAACTGTATGATATTAAAGAAAAAGAGAGACATGACTTTCTACGAAACGTAGTCAATCAGGTAAGTAAACTATGTGGATAGTTTATGCACCTTTTTTGTGTATTTAATGCACTTTGTATTCCCCTTTTTTGTGTTAAATGTTTAATATTTTGTGCAAGGAAGCTGTCTCTAGGAACATGTATTACATACTAATTCAACAAAAATTTATTTTGTTAACTTTGTCAGGTTCTTATGCATTAAAAATTTGGAATGTGTTCTTTCAATCTTAGTAGAAGAAATAATTGTCTGTTTTTTAGAAAAAGTGCATGGTACTTTAGCCCCTTTTGAATGTAGTGTTTTGTGTTTTTATTTTTTGTCTGTGAACCATTAGTATGGAACGAGAGTTAATCAAATTGCAGATCTGTACAACATTGTACTTTAGTTTTACACACATTAGAGTAGTTCTCAATTAGTAGTCGTGCACAGTTTATAAAGTTTAAATAGAAATAGTTGTCCCAAATTTAATATAATTATGACATTTGTTATTCCTCCTGTAACTAACACGGTATTGTGTGATCACATACGTGTGCATGCAGCATTGTCAAACAGAATGGGATGCGGGTGCGTTGGAAAACGGTGAATTAACGCAACTGCGAGCAGCCTACGACCATCAGTTGGAAGAACAGATTGCTCTAGCTAAAATGGATATTATCACTGCTCTTCAAGAACAAATTCAGGTAGCTTCAAACTTAGCCACATGAGTTTATCAGTGAATTTCTTTGCAGAGATCAAAAGTGTACCCTTTCTAGAAAGTATAGAAATTCTTCCTAGATGTTTATTTGCTATGCAGCTTCCAAATAAATTTAACAAGTTACCAGTCATTTAATACTTTATTGATTGTCCAAATAGGCTCTCCTAGTAGTTGATTCGGATTCTGAAGATAACTGGTCACCAGAATTGCTGAAATTAAGAGATAAACTCACCAACAATGCAAAACGTGAAGTGCAGCAGCTCAAAGATGCCCATGCTGCAGAGGTGCAACGATTAAAAGAAGAACATTCTCGCAATTTGGCTAGAATGATCGATCGTCATCAAGAGGAGCTTCACAAAGTTAAGTCAGAAGGTGCCTGGAACGATGGTGGAAGACGAGATCCAGACAGAAATTCACTTATAGATAACAAGATTCTCGCGGAAAGGTAGTTGCATTTTAAGACTTCAGATGTTTATAATTATTATTTATTTATTAAAAATATTTTATTTTACAGAAATAGCTTGACTAAAACATGTGCCACTCTCAAGTCATTAATTGAGGAGTTGATCAAATATTTTGTCATTTGTGAAGAGGAAGTTAACAATACGCTTATTACAGAAGTGCTCAAAAGACAATTATCTGATAGTTTAAATAATGATAAATCCTTGAAGTTAGATGAAATTGAGGGATCAAAGAGAAGTTCAGAATCCGATACTTTAAACTCTTCTGAAATGAAGATCCATAGAGTTCATTTTGCTCCACAAACTACTGAAATAGTTTCTATAATAAACAGTAATACCGATATCTTGCCAACTATACTGGAAGAAGATGAAGATATAACAGAAAAGTTGAAACAGGGATTAAGCAATTGTGTGCGTCGCTTAAAGTCTGAGAGCGCTGAAATTCTTGGCACTTCTTTATCCACCGGTGAAGGTCGACGTAATTCGCTTTCAAAAGAAGTTGTATGGATGAATAAAGCGAACGAAGAGCTAAACATGAAGCTGCGTCATGCGGAAGCTTTGATCATGGGTTATCAAGAAGAAGCAGAGCAATTGAAAGTAACTATTCTGGAGCTTCAGAGGAAATTGATCAATGCGGAGAATAAAAAAGAAATCATTACGGAAGGCTATGGGGAGAATGATGAGATTGGTAGCGATATTATATTGGAGGATTTTTCACAGTTACAAGAGAAAGGTATGAACGATGAACTTTATTTCTTCATCAATATCGTTTACAATTGTAATTCATATTTTCAGCGAGACATGCCTTGTCGAACGGTGGCGAAGACTGTTCAGAATTGTTGCAATTGATAGAGGGGTTATGTAGATACAATGATAAATTAATGGAAGACGCGAGAAAAGAAAGGGAAGATCTACAACGACAGGTAAACTTGAATATTTCTACTCCAAGGAGTGCACTGACTGCATGTATTTTTATTATATAGAATTGGTATGCTACATACGAAACAGTTGTGGTGTATTGCATTATTGAAAACGAGTTCTGTATTTGGTATTATTTTAGTGTCTTATCTGTACCTACGAGCTTAGTATTTGTACATTGCACAAGATTTTCTTTTTCATATAATCTTCTTGTGTACAGTTTTATTGATAGCGCATCAATATTTTCACTAAATTTATTTCCAAATTAAAATAAAAAATTTTATAAGCTCCAATTTAATCTTCTGAAGAAAAATACTTCAGCGAACAAATATATTTCCCGTAAATTCTATTAGCCGAATGTATGTATATTAAAATTACCAAAAAAATACGGCAGATAAAATTGTATGGCTCTGTGACACAGTTTTTAAAGAATTGATTGGCGTTCTGTTATCTTGCCAGCAGGTGCCTTTAGAACCTACTCCTCCCCCATACATTCACAGGGTACGCTGCCGAAAGGTAAATTATAGAATTACTAATACTATTATAAAAGCTGCTCCGTAAGTTAACTGTAGCTTTAACCGCATACGTGCAAATTTTAATGGTGAATTGACAATAGTGTCTGAATTCATTCTTTGATTAAGTAGTAACTCTAAAAATACCATTTCATATTCCATAAAACACTTATTGCTTAAAGTAACAGGAATTTCCTAAGAAGTATTCACAGCATGCATCATCAATGACCCTCCTTTATTTTTTTTGCATGCATGCAATTAATACTACAAGTTAACTCTTTCCTATTCTTCCAATCATTAACTATCAAATAACTTAATAAGGAGTTAAACCTCTAACTCAGTAACTTAATGACAACTGTTTTATAAATCTTTCAGAATACTCCTTTGGATTGCTATTTATTTTGTGTACAAGCATACCTTTTTTTATTATATAGGCATGTAGTTGTTCATATTCTTTTCTTTGAAGCTGTATTTTATTTGTACTTTGTTTGTATACTATTATGCAGTTGATGCCTTTGATTTCATAAATTGTGTTTATGTAGAGACAAATAAACTTTTCAGCTTAAGCAATTGTTAATACATGTATTTTTTATAAATGTTTTTAATTCAATATTTGTTACGCTTCTTCCTCTCTGAAGTGACTGCCTCATTAGATCTAACTAAAAATATGCGCAGATTGATGCAGCGGATAAACAGTTAAAAGCAACCCGCAAATTTTTGGATGAACAAGCAAGCGAAAGTGAAGCTGAACGAGACGAAGCGGCAAAGCAAATCCACCTGTTGCAGGAACAACTTAAGGAAAAGGAACGAGAGAAAGAGAGAGACTTGCGTATTTCATCCGAGGTAAGTTCAAATATATTTTACAGAGATCAAGATCAAATAATACCAGACTCAAAAATGACACAATGCACTCAAAATTTCTGCTTTCTTTTCTTTTTTTTTTTCCTTGAAATTTCGGTGCAGTCTAATTAATGTTATACAAGGTTCAGGTGTATAAGCTGAACTTTCAGACTAATCATTTTTGGTTGATTTGGTTTGGGATTTCTTAAACATCTTAACTGCCCCCATATTAAAATGAGCAGACTAATAAATAACTTATGGGAAATTTCACGTGAATTTAATTTATTTTTGTCAGCTATATTATATATTATAATTAGACAGCTTATAACACGCATTATCACTAATCGTATTAACACAATTTTTCCTGCACTGTGGTTTTGGTTTTCTGTTTGTTGCACAAAGCAGTCTACGTTATCACCTGAAGCAACATCAGAGGTCCCTGCGATTCAAGCTTCTGAGATCAAAGCAGCTGTGAGTGGTTATTGTATTCATTTTATAATATTTCAGAGTACAAGTTGTAACATGGTTGTATTGCTTTGAATATGAAATCTAAACACAATGATCACTTCATGCAAATATATGCTTTAATTGTTACTAGAGCTTCTTGCAGTTTATTATGGTTATGGTGCACATATTTTCAATAATTATGGTGGTTTCATTAAAAACTTGGATATTTAGGTGGAGGTTCTTGAGTCCCAAATGAGGGAGATGTCCTCTATGATGTCTGATACAGAGGCAAAGAAAACTGAAACTGAGAGCGAACTGAAAGCAGCTATTGACAAAATTTGGGTGCTAAGAGACATCATTACTGATTTGGAGCAGCAGCTACAAATAAAGACTGAAAAAGAAGAATCTTTACAGATGCAAATCAATCAGTTAGAGACGGTGATTGCCGCTCAGACTAAAAACCAACATGAATTGGTGCAAGAACTGGATGCTGTTAAAATGGGCAGTGAAAGTAAACGACTCAATGAACACATCAGTCAGTTAGAGGTAAGTTTAAATATAAAAACTAAGTAGAGAATACTTCACTGAAATATATGATTTTACAGGAAGAGTTAAGAAAGCATAAGCTAAGTTCAGAACAATTTAAAGTGAACTCTGCCGCATTGAAACAGATGAAAACAGAACTCCGTGATATGCAAAATCAATTGGAAAAGAGAATTAAGGACTTAGAATCTGTCCACATGTGCAGCTCTAATTTAAGTTTGAGTCAACCAAGCGAGGATGTATCTATCAGAGAGCAAATAGACGCTTCGAGGTGTCCTACTCCTGATGATCCTAATTCTCCACCAATGTTGCCTCTTGATCAGCTACTCAAACTTAAAGATAAAATGTTGAAGCATGCCAGAGTCGAGGAAGTTGCATTCAAACGAATCAAAGATCTAGAAATGCAAGTTGCAGCTCTTAAGAATCAAAATGAGGTATGTTAAGCAGAGTCTGGAATAGTGATTGGTCCATTGAGATTATCATGTCCACTAATTTTAAACATATTCATTGTAGGAATTACAAGCAGAGCAAGAAATTTTACAGCAAACTGCTTCTGAACAGTTATTCCAGATAGAAGCAATGCGTGGTCGCTTAGAGCAGCACAAACAGAGTGCTCCGTTTGCTCAGAGACAAGCTACGTCTCGTTTAGAGTTACAGCTACATGAGGCTAATGCAAAATTCCAATCTCTAGAAAGAACCATTGCTGAAAAAGATTTGGAGTTGGAGGATGTAAGAAGTCAACTCGATAGAGTTAATCAGCTGCTGCAAGAGAAAGAAGCAGAAATTGCAAATGTGGTGCAAGTAGAAAGTACAACGATTCAGAAATTAAGGCAGCATTTAGAGATTCTTGAAGATGAAAAGAAAATTCTACAGACAAAGGTTGGTGTTCAAGAGCATGCTCAATTAGAGCTTCCGCGATTAATAGACAGCATGTTGGCTGATAAAAACGAAGAAATAGATCACTTGAAGGAACAGTTATCCAAGAAGGAAAAGCAACTCGAAATGTATTCTTCACTGAATTTAGACGAGACACAGTTGCGAGAACTAGCACGTCAAACAGAAGCAAAGAACAGTGCCCGCACTTTAAGCGATATTTTGTCCATTCATTCAGAATGCGAGGAAACGATAGAGGCTATTCGTGGCTCGAACGCGATTCAAACGCTGCCTAATATTTCTACTTTCAAAGTTCCCACTCCTGCTGTTGCATCCAAAATCGTGGATGACTCCGTGCCTTTAATGAACTCCACAAAAATGGACGTGCACGTACCTCCTTTGGATCTAGGTTCTCACAGTTCATCCGCGGCATCCAATCAACAATCTGGAATGATCGATTTACTACACAGTGGCCTAGGCTCCAGAATTTCATCTTCGGATAATAATTTCTCAACGGAAAAAACTGAAGAGATTACACGGACACAGGAATCGCGCAAAGAATGTACTGGTACTAAAAGTAGATTACAGGATACATCAATGAAGTATACACAGACATCGATTAACGAGACATTGAAAGAGGTGCAGGATTTAGAGAATCAGGTGCAGACAATAAGAGAGGAATTACAAATGAAGTCAGCGATACTGGACAAACGTGAGTTAGACTTGGTAACTCTGCAGAAGCTGTACGATGAGCTGCAAGTAGAGTTCAGGGAAGTGGTCGAGACGCTTACAAGAGACAAATGCTTCTATCAGAATCAGTACGAGTTATTACAAGTATCGGAGGAAAAAATAAAGAAGGATCTGCAGGAGGTGGAGAATGTTTTAAAATTGAGGACTGAAGAACTACAAGAGCACAAGAATAAAATGCAGGTGAATGAGAAAATCATTATGGAATTAAACCAAGAGAATACCAAGCTCAAAAAAGATATAGAGGAGAAAGATCAAGAACAGACGAAAAAGTATACTATGCTATGGCAGGAAAAGATGGAAGAGTTGCAGAATTTCAGGGCTGCCATCCTGGAAAAAGATATCACGATTGAAACTATTCAGACGCGTAACATCGAGATCGAGAATGAGAATAAACAGCTGTACGAGTTTAAGACCAAGTATCAGCTAACGAAGCAGGAATTGTTGGAATGCCAAAACGAGATTCAGAGATTAACCGAGGGCTTAAATAATAGGGACCAGGTCATTAGAAGACTGGAAGAAATGGCTAGACGTACCAGTTATTCGGGAACTTCCTCACCATCCAATGAGAAAGACCAGGAAATACATCATTTACAGGAATATCTGAAGGAAAAGGATAAAGTCATACGTCAAATGAGCGACGACAGTAAGAGCTTACACAAAGCTCTAGAAACTATACAAAACAAGATGAAGGAATCTGGAAACGTAATTGAACTGAGAAAGAAACTGAAAGACGAGCGAAAATTGAACGCGGAATTAAGGAACATGGCGGAGAAGTTAAGCAAGGAATTGTTTGACTTAAAATCAGCTGCACAAAGATCACAGGACGACACTGACATAGAAGACATGGTTCAAAGAGAGTTGAATTTATCAGCCCATTTGGACAGGCAAATTATGAATGCCATTGAAAGTGACTCAGACGACAAGGTAGTTAGATTAGAACGACAAGATCAGTACCAGGATTATCAGGATGGAAGATTAATGGACTTAAAAATGAAATTAAGTCAGGCCCATAAAATCAATGAAGAGCTAAAGAAATTGAAGGATGATTTAGAAATTGAGAGAGGAATGTTGAAGTGTCAAATAGCAGAATACGAAGGTAGGATTTTCCAACTGAAATCAGATCTGGTAGAAGAATCGAAGAAACTGGAGAAAGTTGAAGAAGAACTCTCCTCCGAGAAAAATCTCGTTCGTACATTGAAGATTCAAATTGAGAAGGAGCATAGGGCAATGCAGTCTGGACATATTCAGGATTCGGAACTGATCGAATTTCTTCAGAATAAGTTGAAGACGTCACTGGACAACGAGGCGAAGCTTCGCAATGACCTTTCATCGTTGCGTCAAGAGCATAAGAGCTTAGAGATACAACTGAGTTTGATGAAGGATCATATGGAGTCTCAAAAGACAGATGGCTTACCCAAACTTGGAGATTTATTGGAAACTGAAAGAAAGAAGTATTTGACATTGATGGAAAATTTCGAAAAGGAGAAACGAGATACTGCTGAATTGAAAGATACCCTGAAGAAGCTTCAAATGGAGAAGAGTAGATTCGAAAAGCAACTGGAAGTAGAGGTGGAAGAGAAAGAGAAGTTGATAAGTAGTCTGGCACTGATAGAAGGAATTAAGGATCATCTTCAAACTGATGTAAGAAGAACCAAAGAAGAACTGAGAGCACGAGAGGAGGAATGTGACTGGCTACAGAAGAATATCAAGACTATGTTAGATGCAGACAGCAGGAGACAGGAACAGAGAACCAGCGAACATAACGAGCTTAAAGCATTGAGAAGAGAAATTAACAACACCAGAAAAGTCATGGTAAAGTATACGTGTACATTTCTTCAGTTCACAATAATATATTTCATTTATAATGTTTAATTTCTAACAGATGGATTTAGAGGCTGATATGAAACAGTCAAAAAGAGAACTGACAGAATCCCTTCAACGTGAAATGAAATTGGCTGAAGCCTTGGAGAATCTCAAGGGAAGAGAAACTGATCTTCTCAAAAAATTATCTGCTGCTAAAGAAGAAGAAAAGAAATTAAAGGAAACGATTCTTGAATTACAACTGGATCTGAGAACTTCTACTAGAGCAGAATTGGAAGCTGCCAGTGAATTGAAGAGTAGATTTATGAATGACAAGAATGTTCCTGCAAAATACATACAAGAGATTCAGGTGCTTCATAATGAGGTTTAATTATGTATGCATGTGTATGTACGTATGTTTTAATCGATATTCTCTGTAACAGGAACTAAGGGAAATCAATGCAAAATACATAAACGAGAATGGAGTATACCAGGAGAAGCTCACGAAAGCACGGGAGGAGAAGGAACAACTAAATAAAAGGGTAAAGTCACCCTTCTACCTTTATAGATTGTAGGAATAAAATATTTTTTTAATTCATGCATTCTGTTATCAAGTACTTGTAAATTTTTTACAGTTAGAGTATTTCTTTGGAAAGTACATACGAGCCGAAAGCAAACGCAACGCTTTAAGGTATCAGAAGCGTTACTTGTTGATCATAATTGGAGGATATCAACTGTCAGAAGAGAACACGCTAAGTGTTCTTGCTCAATTGACTCGCGAACAACGATCTTACGCTGTCAAGAATTACAACAAAAAGACACCTAAAGTACGGTTTAAGAGTGCAGTGCTGGTCTTCATTAGCATACACCGGATGAAGCGACTGATTTTAAGATGGAGCATTGGAAAACGGATAGGAGTGAAGACGTTGCTCCATAATCCTGATCAGGCATTTGTATCGGTGCCAAAAGTTGCTACGAATCATTCACCTCCTGTTAGAGAAAGGCGTACTACAAAGTGAGTACAATCAAATGCAGTATAGATTTGCTTTGGATAAGGACTAGTGCGAGGGGAAGACGTGCTCTCCAATATTTTAACCGCGAACTTCTGATTTTCAGTGGAGACAGTGGTTTTGATGGATTCGCGCTTGAACAGTATTATCAACGATTAAAGAACATTCAACAGACATTAGGTTTAGCGATGGCAGAATCTGGAAGTCGTCCGATTATTCCGGAATAGTATTACAAACGTCTAAGTCTCATAAATTGTTAAGGCAAGAATCGTACTCTGTTACTGTGATGGCGATGTCACATTGTTTTTATATGCAACCATCAGCTCATGGTTTGCATTGGGATTGCTGTTTCCATTTGTGTTTAGTCAAATGGAAACGATTGAAAACTGGGCATTTCGATGAGATACGTTGTTGAAACTTGAATCCACTTTACCCCGTATTTTTTTTACCAATTGTAAATAGAACTATAGCATAGAAATTACCAGTTGTTGAAGATTCGTTGAGTCCTTGTATCGTTTACCATACAGCGTGCTATTAACTGTACTATTATCGTAAGTAATTTTACCAGATAGCTTTAAGTATTCTTGCTGATATATCGTGTTTTACCAAAGTTATGATAGATTACGTATAAGCATGTTATTCACGTTAAGGAAACAAATCTTGTGCCTTGTACATTGTAATAAGTGTTTAGTATTTATTTATTGACGACCTGTACGTTTTTATATTGTGAATAAAATATCTGAATGACTTTCTACGAAGACCAATAAGTTGAAAGGACTTGACGGCAATAATTTTTTACACATAGAGATATATTATCGATATATTTATATATATATATTTTAACAAAATGTATCTATAGTGTTGCCTCTTTATAGTTCAATAAATACATTCGCATTTTGTACGGTTTGTAATACTATTTGAAACGTGCAAATTGTTTTTAATGGATACACGTTTAACAGCACTTAAGTATGATCGTTACGAGGATTCTCTGGTCCATTGTGATAGAATGAGAACTAAATTTACATTGCAAAGAAGATTTTGCTTATTAACAGTGTCACATAAACTAATGAGAAGTAACACTAATTAACAGTTGCGAAGATAGCAAATTACGTAGAGATCTATAGTATCTTTCCAGACGTTTGTTTAACAATATCTAATCACAATGTGTCGTTACATCGCGTCTGAAAAGAACAAACGCAACTTTTATAGAAGCTAGATGTTATTTACATATGTACAATAAGATATATGATAAAATATATAGCAATCATTTTAGCTTTGTATATCTTTGATATATCTAAAGCTACATTTGAATTTGTTCAATGTAATCTAAGAATGTAAGGCTTTTTATGTTGTTTGTTCGAAGACATACCTTGAACAGTGCAAATTTGAGGGTGCGTTTAGACTGAGCGAGCGAATGTTTATTTCCTCTTTGTATTTCGGTTAAGTTTAAATATAAACCAACAGTTTTTCTATGCTAGGCAATTGTTTGATACCTAACGAATGCTCTAATATAGTTGTGGGCAAATTAAATACCCACCGAGAAGCTCACGGGCACAATCCAGAACACACCCTTATAAGTTTCAACTTTTTGTTAGTATCGTATTTTAAAGTTTTCGTAGCAAAGTATCGATTTCTTATCAACAGGAGATTACATTTGCGTTCGTCGTAATAAATCTTACAGAAATTTGTAATACTTTCTTTGTAAAATATTCTAACAGTACTACTTATCATGCTCGAACACGTAGAGATTCGAATTTACGACTTTCTTTCGATTCGAAATTCGAAAATGTGTAAAGAATATTTTCCATTCATGATTGTTCTTCACAGAAGGGCGTTAAACAAATTAGCCCTAAAGAAGCTTAGGATACCCGCCAGTTTATTATCGCGGGAAATTTAAATTTTTAAAGTTCTCACACTCGAACTAACCGCGTTTGTGATTGGTACACGCATCTTTGAAGTTAGTCGCGTTAAATGGACCGAAGTAATCGTCATGAAGTTGCCTGATAATCGTCTCGATTGGGCACAATTTTGAATCTCTGCGCGTTTTCTCAGCATCGTTGCGTTCGAAATAACTGACACTATAAAAATTAGCGTTTCTGCAGAACGGTATTTTCTGCGTGAAATCTTTTCCATTGATAATAACTCGGAAGTAAAAGTCACTGGCTACGTGGTTCTCGTTCTTTGGATTTATACGGTATACTTCGATCACAAAACGAGAAGCGTAATGAGGCATCGTCAGCTTGTCGGAGAAAATTCCAAGAGCCGTTGCGAGGTATTCCAAAGTTTTGTCATGTCCAGAGTACAGAACGATTTTTGGTTTTGCCTCCGATATAATGCGTAGCATGTATGAAACAATGCTTCGAAGAAGTCCGTAAGCTCTTAATAATCCATACTTTCTGCGACTGCTACTCTTCGCAATTTGTTTAGACTCCCATTCCGTATAAGCGAAAAGGCCCGTAACGTGTTCTGTTTTTACACAAACACGTTGCGTGTCAAAGTCTACACAGGGCAGAGAAGCACCATGACAAATATATGTTAACAATGCATCTTTCAGGGTATGGGGATCTGTTGTTTGTGCCTGATCAGGGATTTCAAAGACTGCGCTGGAAGCCTGCCTTATGAGATCTGCTACTGCTGGATGAGATTTCAGGTGCTCAGACATCTCCTATAAAAGTAGACGATGCACAGGGGAATTATAACAGGAATCACTTAAAAAGATATTAGTATAATTACCTTCAAATGTTGCTTAAAATATTTTTCAGCAACTGGGCATGCACAGTCTGTATTACAAAATGCATAACTTTGACTTTCTTGCATAGTAATTTTGGCTAAGTTCTGAAAACCATCGGTCTCTAACAGGGCATACAATAAAGCAACTGCACTTTGAACTGTTCTTCTATATCTTGTGCTATACACAACAATGTCTTTATTAGATATGGTGCCATTACCAAGATTAAGTTTATGATAATATGCATTTTTAAGTATGATTCCTGTTTTTAAGAGTTGCCCGATGCCAAGTGTTGTCAATTGACCAATTCTACAGTCTTTAGAGTTGGCAGGCAGCATAGGAAAACCATGGAATGGCCCCAGAAATTGTGCCCATGCTGTTCTGGAATAGCTGGAGACATTCTGTAGGAAATTTACATAATTCTGGTATAGGTTTTCTAATTCAGGCATATCATTTAACTCTCCACCGCAATTAACTATGCTTATGTTTCGAATGTGAGCTAATGGCCCTCTATCACCGTGTCGAATAAATACTAAGATACCTCCTAATGTTAGATTCCCATCCAATTTTCCTGAACAAGGAATATAATTATCATACATATTGCCTTACAGAAAAATACAAGTACTATTATGTTTAAAGTACCTTCTGTTTCTGCAGTAATATCATTTGGAGGATTACAAAATCGAAATATCTTTTTTGTCTTTACATCAACTCTCAGGTTTCTGGGAAATTCTCTGATAGAAATATCATTTCCCAGAACTCTTGTTTGCATAGAACTTTTCTCATCTATGCCTATGTACTTGTACATACCTATTGAGTTAAAAGGGGAACTGTTGTATAGTGTGATATTTATTTCATTTCATATAAAAGTGCATAACATGAAAAATGATCTATACATGCATATATGTAATAGGATGATTAATCAAATTGTTTAAAAAAAATATAATAAAAGCAGGGAAACAAGAAGATCATAGTGTTGTGGCTGCAGTCACATAAGTTCAACAACTGATGGTACTATGACCTTGCAGTGCCCTTGACTTTTTTCCATCTAAATATAGTTATAAACATTCGAGACTTTTTTTAAGAAAAGTAACGGCAGTTCTATACGTCATAACTCTCTAGTGTTACAACCAATGATAGGGTCTTCTTCCCCTACATCATTTTCCCCAGAAAAGTTCCCCATGCCCTATGCTGTACACAGCCTATACAGCACTGCAACGAAGCCGCTAAATATGATCTTATGTACACACAAGTCGCGCTGTCGCATGTGTTTACATTCAGTTATCAGATATCACTTGTGTATATATCAAAGCGTATCTCGACAAAAATTAAATTACTTAACGTAACATTATGGCATATAAAACTTAAAATAAAAAATAATGCTCACAAATATAATAAAACAATAGCGCAAATTTAAATATAAATATTACAGGAACGAACGGGTAATACACGAGACGGTGAAGGCATGGAATTAAGCTACAAAAGTGAAGACAGAAAGATTTCAGGATCAGTGTCCAAATTACCAGCAACGAGGAGGAAAATCCACACGCTTAGAATCACGTAGCAGTAAAATGCTCGATGCTGGTAAGACAGTCGGACCATCTCTGCCAACATTTTACGAGCGATCCTGGACTGAGCCAGGTCCTTCCAATTCGAATGTCACGACCTCGATGACGCCGTCGAGGACGTCGTTGACGACAATAACACCTAGTCAAGCAACCAGAACGAATCCGGTTCAACGACACTTCTCCAAACTGCATCCTACTTTTTCAACAGTTCTGCCACATAATCCTTTCGTCGTGATCTTTGAATGATCCAGGAAAATAGGGATCACGTGAACGAGAAAATTTGTTATGCCTGTTCGACTTCTTAACACCGGCCCGAACAAGAATACGTCAATGGGCGCAGGCGCTCGTCTATCTTTTGACATCTCTTTCAATTAAATATATCTTATTTTTATATATTCCTCTTCTTTTTTTGTTTACTTTTGAAATTTGTGGTTGGCAGACATTGAAGGTATTCAATGTTTGCGATGCTAACTATCTTCTTTATTACGTTATGTTACATATTGATGCTTATTTATTTTTAGATATTAAATATTTTATTATTTTTCAGCGTATTTATGCGGATCCGATTTGAGACCGAGCGTGGAAAAAGTATCGAATTTCTTCGTGGTAGTTCGATGTCGCTGTAGGTTAATATGGAATAGAGGTATTCTTCACTTTTGAATACAAATATTTCGCTAGATTTTAATTTTACGTTTTGCCTGTTACAGGTACGTGAACAACGTCATGAAAGAGAAAGTTCACCAGACTGATAAACAACCCTCCTCTTAATTGCATCTTGATCATAAAAATAATTCAAAATTATTTAGCTTCTCTTGTACTCAATTGTCTAATATTTTTTAACGAATCTACTACCAAATGTTGCGTGTTTAATTTACATGTTTACGATAATAACAATGAGGTTGCGATAGTGTGTGACAGGTGTGGGTCACCCTGACAGTTCGTTGTTGTCATTTTGTGAAAGTCACCCTCACTTTTCACACTTCCATTGTCGTAAGCCCGTGATTGCACTCCAAATTTCACTCACGATGAAAACTGAGCAAAACAACAGACTTGTTAGAACATTTTTTACCGACTACGACAGGTAACTCGCGCTCCTTATGACAGGAGTAGGTTATCGGAGCGCGTATGCGCACATCGAGCGTGTTCTGATTGGCTCGCCCGCTGTTTTAAATCCATTTCGATCCGCGGTCAAGAGAGGTGCGAAGCAGTTAATTCCTTCGGTGGAAGTGCGCGATATTCAACGGGTCATCAAAATAAATGCAGGAGAAACAGAATGATTATTACAAAATGAATTGAAGGGGACACAGTCTCTACAAACAATGGATGATACATGTTTCGATGCCCTAAGTACGTGCTTACTTCCTTCAATGTTTATTTCAGACCTGTACCCAGATTACGATGTATGCGTATTTTTCAGCAATGTCACTTTGGCGGGAGAGAAGAACAGTGGCGCAGCGCGCAAAGCGTATAATTTTAGGATCATCAATTTGTATAGCGTTCATTAGGTAAATATTTATTAAATTCAGGTCTACCGTAAAAGTAGGTGACTTAGGGGCGCAGGCGCTACTGTATCTATTTCCGATTTCGGGCATGCTTGTGAATCTCGTTCTTACCTATCCTTGACGTTGTTCCGATTTCACTGATACACAGATGAATGTAGAGATCCAAGCAAGCATAAGTATGGACAGAAAATGCGGTACTCCCATTGTATCGCGGACCTGAATACTCGCTACTTTTCAGCTGCGGATGTTATGCAGTTATGCGTTCCAACTACTCTGATGCTCCAAATATAGCGACATACACATAAAAATAATAATACGAGAGGATGCAATAAATGGATACATTATTTCTAAAGGATAAATAAATAAATAATAAGTTAGTTACAGAAAAATATATTAGCAAATTATTGTGTGTATAATTAATAATCTAGTAATAACAGTTTATTTAGTTGGTTAATTAATTTTCAGATTGCAATTGAAGTAAGCAAATAGAATAGTAAAATGGTGAAAGGCTCATGTAAGAATAACGTCTGGTCTTTTGAAAATATATCTAGACAGATAGGTAGACATCTATAGAACTGGAAGAGATGACAGCGAGGAACAATAACCCGCAGCATCGGTATATAGGCCTCTTCGCCCTACACGTGGTACACTTTCAAACGACACTTTCGTATGAAGATGACGAAGCTTCATTTTTTGCAGCTTCTGTTTCCCGAAGAACGTCCATCTAGGTACGGAGGGGTGAACAGCGTCTAGCGGGGGCGTTGAATTGGCAATCAGTCGGCAGACGACGTAGACGGGTCCGATTACAGTTCCACGAGCCGAGCTACGCGAGTAACTCGAGCTAACTGGCCTGATATGAGAGCTCGAGACTAACCGTCAACTACGGACAATCTAGCCATCAACCTTAAACGGAATATATTTACGGTTAGATATCCGCACATACGTGCCGGCGCGCGTTCTCCCTTTGTAAAAGTAGCCATATACGCGCACACGTGTATCAAACTCCGGGTGAAGCGATACAATGACGTCAGCATCCGTTCCCTTGGCACGTCGCTGAGAAACCGCTTCATTACACTCCAGAAAAGGGTTTTGGTTCACTAAATATTGCAGAAGCTTTTGACTTCACGAAGTGGTTTCGTCGCAGGCCACTTTCGAAAAGACGTTTCACTAATCATTGAGCAGGTTCCCTTCGCCGACTTCTATCTGCTGTAAGGGTTGAAAACTTTCCTTCTTACTTTCAAGTTTGAATGAGTGTCACATTGTTCAGAAGATTGTGACTTTGACCAACAGAATTGAAATTATATATCAGCAAGTAGATTGAATGTTATTTTAGAAAAGTAAAAGGCAAAACGCGGGCAATTGAAAGGTATATGTAAATCAGATGCGGATAAACAGGCGACTTGCATTTATTGTGCGTTTATCGAGGTCTAGGATAATGCACGAAAAAACTGGTATCAAGTACGATTAATTATAAAGCGGTAATCGAGTTGTTATAAAGAACCTTACTTTCAATTTCCAACCGCTCTATTCGTTAAAATTTATACTGATACTCATTACGTCACAATAGAAGCCCTGCTTTCTTAATTGAGATCTCGATCGACGCAAGGACGTGAAAACAATTACATAAGCAGCTTGTGTACTCAATTAGAATAGCAGATCTATAATTTCAAGGAATATTTTATAGTATCAAAGTTACTTATCATTTCGGATGTGTGGGGTTACAAATGAAGTGATCAGTGATGCAATTTGCTGCATGACGAAAATCTTATTTTACGGTGATGTAATGCGGCCTACCTTTCATAATCATGAGCCCTGATGATCGCGTATCGTCGTGCTTGATCTTGCAGCCTTGGCAAGATCATTGCCACCGCGACGATCGTCGGTGTACCACTGCGAGGAGCGATCGACGATTACGCGTACCTCCGTCACGGAATACTCTGCATTTAATTGTAATATATAGCGCTCTACTTATTCAAATGTATTATGACACTGAGGGTTTATTTGATTTATAAAATGGTCGGTCAAGGATCTTCGGGTTAGCACGCGGGTAGCTAGAATATTATTGTCCATCATCTTCCACGTAATCTGGTTGTATTTATGTAACGAAATTGTCGGGTTATTAGATTGTCTCCGTGCCGGGTCGGATCTGTTAACCGAAGAGCTGAAATTTATTGCTTCATATTCAACTCCTTATTTATGATTGTTATGGTACCAAACTATTTCGATGCTTCATAGTTTTGTAATTCGTAGAGAAAGTCACAAATCGTTAGGAATTCATGTGATTTCGAAAAGCGACAGGTTGCACGAAGAAAATCATTGTATCTGGGAGAAAGCTGCGGTTTAGGTGTCCCTTGTCCATCGCGCACGACAGCTACGGATGCAGTATGGATTTCTAATTGATACTTCGCAATAAAGTACGATTTTCTTTATTCTGACTTCCTGTTTCAGAAGGTTTCGTGATCCTTATCCGAACGAGTTGCCTGTTCAGCTGCAGTTGAATCTAGATCGTAGTTAGCGGACGTATACTTTCATCCAAATTAATGAAACTTAAACGAAAATGAAAGGAAATGAAAGCAAATTGGACTGTCTCTGGAGTCGTGAACCGCCTTGGGAGTAAATGGAACAAAGACGAACTTAGGATTCTACGTATTTTCATTATAAGAGGAAAATATTAATTTGGAATCTCGGCTGCAATCATCCCCTACCGGGTTCATAATGGTCTGCTCTTTTTTAATTGTCTTAAGGAAGCTATCATTTTAGTAGGCTACAAGAGCCGTTCTAAACAAACCACCAGCACAATAGAAACAATTAAACGTGGGCAAGGAGTCAATGAACTCCAATGAAAACAGTTTATCGCACTATTTAATAAAGCTCTTGTTTCAGATCGTAATATCAGCGACTTGAGCTGAATAAACAGTGCTCTGTTCGGAACAACATAGTCACCTTTTGTTTGGCAATAATCGTACGTTTCCATTTGCTATTAAATATCGGATAAGTTAACAGTTTCATAACATAAATGTATAAAGTAACGACGGATTATTTGCAGAACATTCTTTGTGCTATTCGACGCCTTGTGCAGCTGTGATGTCATTTCGTGGAAAAAAAGCTTGTCCCTCGAAGAAGAAAAAACTTCCACTGTAACAATGGATGCTCCAAAAGATACGCAGGTGGCGACTAGCATATCAGAAAGGTGCATCGACGTCTCTGCACCCTCTACCTGATCAGGTACCTGCAAGAATTCTCGGAAGGGAGATCTGACCCAGAGATATCGTGAAAAGTCGGACAACCGCGACTAGGATTTTCACGAACTCGAAGAATAGAAATGGGCGGAGCACGTTCACGGTCGTATCCTGTTGCAGAGAAAAAGTGTGCAGTTTTCTGGTGCTTTAGAAACCAACAGTTGACGCACTGCTGACTTATATCTTAAGTTAAGATCTAACGAATTGCAAATCATTCTTATTAGACCTCAGTAATTGTAAAGAGTACCATAGACAATTTTTTAAAATGAAGTTTTACATAAGTACATCCACCATTTCCTGCTAAATTTAGTTTCTGTTATTTTTGTTTGTCGGTATACTTTGATGTCTGTATCATTGAAACTCTTCTCTTTTCTCGTAATGAAAGCCCTAGATCTTGCGAGTGAAACGAACTTAATGAGCATTAATGGAACTCCTTACAACGTGTGCGATAACACGGGATTTAGCTGTAATTTCTCTACTCGTTTCGTTACGTAAATTGGAACGTGCTCTGCCATCCAGTTTTATCGAAAATTCCGAGTGGAGACTGTGTTTCTATTTTTTTTATTATACATAGTAATTATGTGGATAATATCTCTCACTTCAGCGACCTTGATAAATTCACGTTATCAAAGATAATATTATAAGTGACTTATAGCTCTAATATTATAATCGCCATTTAACCTTAGGTTCAAAGATATTTAACTTCTATCAAATTGCATAAGATTCTTGATGTTTGGAACTCTGCTTCATATGCAATAACCTCTTTAACCTGCTTTTATTTTAAACTTTATATTTGCATTTGAGATACCAAACAGTGATATTCTTTTTCAGGACTTCAAGCAGTTAGCTGAAGAATACTTCTTATCGGTGTGACCGAACCGATTGCAGGCCGACCGTGATGTGACGTCAGCGGAAATACTATGCAGAAGTGGTACATTCGATAATGTATGCAAGTCACTCGGAAGCCTTATCGTGTTATAATCAGTGGGCCAACGAAAGGTCACGGGGGATTTAATTTCTCGTAAAAATTGTTATCTGAACGTGCACTTAGAACTGTTGTTTCTGTGAAACACGTGGTGCTTATAACAGATAATTAGAGCAGTCAATTATCCTTGTCGTTTATGATTCAGAAGTGCATAGATTCGTGTATGTCATCGATGAAATATTGTACCGATATTTTGTCAATATGAGCGTCGTAAAACTGTCGAAGCGTTTATGGGGTAGGGTTAAATTGATAGGAGCACTTGAGCGTAGGAAAAACGTTAATGCTTTCAACCGCGTCGAGTTGAATGGGAATGGAGACTGTAATTGCGATCGCATCTATAGAAAGTCTGCCTACGCTCTTGTGTAAATGCGTGTAAGCTGGGAAGGAAGTATCAAACTAGATAAGCGCAGCAACGTTCTATTACTTCCGTCTAGCGTGGATGCTGTGCGTTAGATTCGTCCGTCCGCTTAGAGATTTGCGAATTGGTATCTGATGCTAATGCATCGTAGTAACGTACACAAAATGCGCACTACTTCAAATTTATTTGCAATCTAAAAGAATTTATATTTGCAGGTGCATATTTGAGTAATAATTTTATAAAGTAAAGAAAGTGATACCTGATGAAACCTGATTACATGTGTTATGCAGTAGTTGCAAAACAGTTATTTATCAACAGGTAATTTCTTTTGATACTTTTACTTTTTAACAAAATGACATATATGTTATAGACAAATTTATATATTGCTAAATGGTATAGTAGTAAAGTAACAAAATGCTCGTACAAAAAGCTATTTGTTCTACGATAAGATTCATTTTGTGTTCATTATAAAACTAACAGGACTTGAAGTTTCAGGTGGATGCTACTCCAAAGCTGGTTCTTTTATTCGTTGCAAATTATATCTGAAGATCAAAGGCAAAAGGGAAGCGAAAGATCAAAGGAAAAGAACGAGCGTACAAAATTCGCGGTCGAGAAATGGAGAATAAGGATTGAGAGTGACGGAACGAGTCGAACATGGTCGAGGGGTGCCGAGGTGGAACGAACGTTCCCGATCGTTGCGCGCTCATCGCTAGTAGCGGGAGTCTCGAACGGCGCGGCAATCAGTTCGAATCCAGCATTTCTCGACGAAGTGTGCGGACCGTCCTTTCTCTCTTTCTTTCTCGATTTTTCGCGTCGCCGACCATGACACGCCGGTGCTCGAAAACGTGCAGGTGAAGATAATAGTTCCAATTACTTCTGGTATTCCATCTATTCAAGGAAAATAGTGATTTTCGAAAGCGGTTCATCAGCGACTCACGTGGAACAGTTTTAAACAGATCCTGCTCTGTGTATCAAGGTTTGAGATTTTTATTATTTTTTACATCTTTGTCACAATTGTGGTATCGTAATTGATGAATTTAATATTGTATTTCATATTTGAAAAATTTTATTACTGTATCAATAATTTTGAAATTATGTTTACTGCTTTCTCGTAATTTTAATATTAGAGTTGCAGTACAATTTTTCTATTTAAAATTGAAAGCATGTTTGCAATTGAATCTTGAAATATTACAGGATGAAATATTTTGAAGCTTTATATAAAACTTGAAACTTTACAGTATACTTTAATTTATATAACAGTACCAGGTCCTGTTTTTACTACTTTTACCCTGCACTTTTCAGATTTAAAAAATAGAGGTCAAAACTATTATAAATTGACGTCTAGTTCTGTCAGGGGACTGAGTCACCAATTTAATTAACCCACCGATGGGTTATTTCAATCTGACTATCATGTTCAAGCTTCCGTTCTCCAATTTATTTATCCAGCTCATTTATTGGCTTTCAATCTCTGCGTTATTTTGCTAAGCTACAAAGAAGGCACTTTTCTACTAGGAAACAAGTGTCTGCTAGAACAATCTTCCTGATAGTTTAAATTCATTCATATTGTTTGTAAACAGGAAATAATTCTAAGGCTTTCTTTAATTTTTCTTTCTCCACAAATCTTGTATAAGTATTAGCACAACCATAAAGGTTATATAAATCAGAAATTTCTTATGTTAGACTCCTGCATGTAGTTAGAGATTCATTATTTAATTTACAGTATGATTGTATCATTTACTGTGCATATGGTATAGTTTCAATTGACTGAAATTCTTACATAGATATATGTAAAAATATTAACTGGAACAATTCACCACACTTATTTCTATTATTTATCGTATTTCTAATAATTTTCTTTGGAACAGTTTTAAATAAACTTTTCATTTTAGGGTTTGATTGGTCTCTTGGCTCCCATCAGCTGATTATCCAATTTATTACATTACATCTGTTTTGTTGAAGACACATAGAAAGAAGCGCAGCTAATGCGTTCAATGTATCATCAAGTTGCCATTACTTTGAATGCACTCGATTGTTCTTGTTATGTTGCGAAGGTATGCTGTTGAATGTGCGCGACGGGTCAATCAACCGCGGTGTTCATACACCCGATGAACATCGTCCCCGTAACAAACTGTTGACCTCGGTGTAGAGGGGAATTGCTCGATTATCGACGAATCACCGTCGAGGGGACGGTTACTCTATTTTTATCATTTTCAATCTGTGATCGCCGTACCATCCTTACACGTTCGATTCGTACACACAGTTATCGATCGAATCACCTCTCTAAAGATCTTATTTCCTTTTGTACAATTGTGCGCTTGAACGCTGTACATAAAATCTTACAAAATTCAGAAGCGTTTTACGCTACATTAGATTCTCCACGCTGATACGAATCAAAAAGTCCTTTACCGTTTTTCGATCCGACGTCTCGTTCTCGAGATACGGGCAATTACAGATTGGCCGTTCGACTTCCGGGGTGCCGTTTCGCCAAAGCACCCCGGAAGTCGAGCGGACAATGTTCGATCGCCTGTATCTCGAGAACGAAGCAGTCGACTGAAAAACGGCAAAGGAGTTTTCGGTTCGTTTTAACGCGAAGAATTCACGGATTCGATTGTGGACAATGTTTTTGTAACACCTTGTACGCCCGATGTTACAGCTGACTGCTGCATTTCCCTGGAATGAAAGTGTATTATACCGGTACGTTTAATGAGGCGCAATGAACTATGAACAATTTCATTTTTACCGCAGTCATATTTTGAATCGAAATCGTTGCACTATCGTTACGTTAAATGCGATTCGGAACTGCGAAGTTTGACCAGAACGAATTACAGAACAATCAAAGATAACGAATTAGCTTTCACAACAAAGCACCGATAAAACTGCACGTTTGTTGGTTCGCGAACATTATATTACTGTTGTATACAGTGGCAAAGTTACGGGTTAATGGCGCATAAATTTTATTCGAGCTCATAAATCATTTACCAACGATCAAAATAGCTAGAAAGTTTGAATACCGTTCTTGCGGTTGTATGTTAATGCTGGAAATCATACATCTTTGTATGCTGCAGCTGGGTAAAAAATATGATATGAACATTTGCCTTTCAAATCATTTTAACTGTGTTCAATCTTTTCTTATCTCAAGACTTTCATACACTTTCCTCCAGTGTCTTTTAAAGACTTATCTAATAATTTCTACTTGGAATTTGACTATTTTACAAACACAATTTCCTTTATTCTGTTCAGTACCAATTTGAATATTGTAAGAAATGAAACCAAAGGAATATTTCACCAAAAAATAGGAATTCTGAATACAATGGTAGTTCTGTTGTTTTAGAAAGTACACTTTAAGAAAAATGATCTTCTTGTCAACAAAGAAATTGATTCCATTCACCATAGAAAATAAAGCACAGGAAAGTAATCTCTATAAAGAGGTATAAAATAGCTCAGGAGCATGAAAAATAAAGGACCGAAATGAAAGGTGTGTACTTTAGTGTCCATTGTAAGGATCTTTCTCCCGTGTTAACGTATTAGCCAGTCAGTTAAATGTGCTTTCGAACAGGAAGAGATACATCAGAACTATAATTTATCGTTTACAGGGAATCGAGCCACGATGCCGTTGAGCATAGATGAACGGGGAGAGAAAGGAAGGAGAGACGGAAGAAATGAGTGTTTCTTTTAAGTCGTTTCTCTAATTTGAATACGATGCCCATTGATTATTGTGTAACACTCGCTGACAGATGTTACAAGGTGATTTCGTTGAACTTACTTTCAATTACTCTTCTGAGATGATTGTGGTCGCCTGAGGAAGCTAATGAAGAGTTTGTTATTTTGGAAAGTGAAGAATTATTCATTTAGATTTAGTTAAAAAATTGGATCTGGGTGAGGCTAGAACAGTAAGATTAAATTTAGTCCTAGACTCTGCAATTTTATATAGTAAGACATAAGATTTGTATATACAGAAATTCTGTTCACAATTCAGTTCCAATTAGTGAGGTTAGAATAAATGCGACTAAATCTATAAATGTAACAAATTCAAGGATATGTTACATAGTGCATTCGTAGATTAAAAAATGGTCGATTGTATAAATTGTATTGTGTTTTTGTACCGAACAAAGAAGTAATTTTGCGATGAGTAACAGAATTTCCTAGATACGTTTCCATGCGTGTCTATAATTTGCACAGTTACATATATTCTTCTTTTCATTTAGAACGAATGTTCATATTTACTAGTACAAAATTATAAATTTAAATGACGGCTTCATGGCAGGGAAACGCGTTATCAGAGAATACCGCAAAGGTGGTTTACGCGAAAATGCGTGCACGGAAACACGGAAATAAACGTAAACGTGATTTCTCAGTCCCAGATCCGATTTTAGCTGAATTATGTTCACACTGGATGATAGCGATCTTCTGGTTCGAGCACGCGAAACCAGTATAAACTTCCTTGATATTGGAATTGCGCAACGTCCCCTCAGTTTTTTTTTCAATCCAGATAGGGAAACATTATGACACTGAATTTTTCTGTCTCTTTTTTGACGCAATTACGAAAGTTGGATCTTCTCATGTTTCTTAGAACATCAGTTATTACTTTATTTATAATTGTTCGCTTGTAAACTTATTGCACAACCATGCATTCTGCAGATAATTTATTGAAAGCCGTACGAGGAAAGTTCTCAACTACTGTATTGAACACAGGTCAAAATAAGTGTTAACATTAATAGACGATAATTTATCTGCAAGTGTTGCATTAAGGAGACCATAGTCATTGAATAGCTATACGGCCTTGTCCCGATTATTTCACCTGACCCGTGGATTTTGCAACGTCTAACTACGTATTGAAAAAAAAAAGACGGAAAGAAAGAAAAAATGACACTCCGCATAAATTTGTAGTTTGCGATATTAATTGCATCGAACGTACTGTCGGATAAAATTCATTGTTACACATTTATTTTCTTGAGGAAAAGCGACACTCCGTTCCGCCATTTTTTTGAAAGTAGAGTGCATTAGAATCATTATCACGGTTTCTTCAATTTTATTGGATTATTGCCAGGAAAAAGGAAAGTTGTCGTTCTAGTTATTGCTTCAGATCGATTTTTCTACCAGCTACTGTAATGTCGTTGTTACGACTTTTTGTTGGTCATTTTCGGAAACGTCATTTGTTGGTCATTTTGCAAAGAGTCATAATTGTTTCTTGGTTCGCAAGCTTTGAAATTACCGTGAATTGAGCAATGCGACTGTCATAATAATCGCACGCGGAAATAGTTCTTTGCCAGTTGCTACGCTCAATTAATTAGCAATCACTGTCGATAACGTGTCATTTCATAATGCGATTGTGATATCAGTTTGAGAGTGACATTTCTTGACTTTGGACTCGATATGAAATCATAGTCTCAAAATGAACTTACTGCAAATTAAACTTACTTCAAACTAAATTTAAAATATACTAAAGCTAGTAGATATACAGTAGATCAATAATATTTTATAAAAATGATTTTTATATTAAAAAAAAAATTGTATGTATGTAATTAGTATGAATGTATACATATTTCTGTTTAATTGCAGGTGCATTGAGGAACCATTGTGAATTAACCCAGAAATTATTTTAATTTTGCAAAAGGATTAACAGCGGCACGGATAAAATGGTTTACTTATATGTGCAGTGTTTTGCGTTCGTGTTTCTCGTCACGTTGAACGACTCGATTGAGTGTGCTGGGAATGTAAACGCATAACTGCGACCGCATGATCGTACATACGCAGAATTGAGCTTGTTGACACTTTGGAATACTTTTATTATCGTAATCCTTACTCATTCACTATTTCTGCGATTTTAATTATCCAATCAGTATGGAAGCACGTACTTCGCTCATTTTTGCATACCAATTTATTTTATAATCTTCAGCCAACAAATCTTCAGATATAGTTTTCACATTTTATAAAATTGCCTACACTGACTGCTTGCAAATTAGATATAAAAGGTTTCTGAACATGTCTAAGAACTTTAAGAGATTTTGAGAGACTTTTAAGAATTATTTTAAGATTCTAAAAACTATGAGACCATTAAGTTGTAAAAACTGACTTTATATTTTCTTTTAAATTTAAAGTAATTAAAGTTATAAGTTATGATTAGAAAAAGTAGGAAACTACTAGACGTTTCAAAGGTTGAGCAAGGTTTAACTACAGGTTCATTATTTTTTAGTTTGTTTGTTTTGAAAGAACGTACGCGTCGATGCTCTTTCGACACTCGTACGTTCGACGAAATTGCGACTAGTTGAGCAACGAAGAGGATCGTGCTTACTTTCATTTCACGTAACGACCATCTTGTACGCACGAAATTGACCTGAAATCGTGTTAATACTTTCGCGGTCAATTAACAAGCGAGTCCGCATTCATCCCCGGTTTGAGTAGAAAAACCGGTACATGACGCAAAAATGGGCCCCTGAAACGTAACTCCGTGAAACTCCATCGGTTTTCTTCTTAACAATTTCACAGAAAATTCTATATAGGCATTAGAAATTTTTGTTGCTTGCTTCAGGTGACTTTCTTTAAGGCGTGTTCATGCATTGGTGCCTTCTAGTCTTCACCTCAAAAGAATACATTCTTCAATTATGTTTCTTCAAAATAATTTACATATCTCTTCAGCCAAATCCACAAAGACATTTCTCAAGTAGGAATCAATTTAACAATTAAATTAAGTAAACAGTAATTGCATTTCCAACAGTAATCTCTGAGATTACTTGGACCATATGTGTTCCAACCATAAGCTACAGCATGAACTACATTGATTATAAAAGTTGTTTATGGGGTTCCAACGATTTCGTAACGGAATGCGATCCAGAGTTTTCCTCCACCAGTGAAAAATGTTTGTGAAACTCGATAAACGTTCCTCGAGTGTGGAACCGGCATTTTGTCGCAATCTCGTCGACATTTAACTACCGTATCTATCCCCATGCTTTTTTTTTCCCCCAGAGTCACATACTACTTAATCTTTTGAAACCGATAAACAAATTTTATTTAACAGCACAAGAGGATGATTTCAATGGTTTCGTTTTTCAGGTTAATTAATGACTGGCACGTGGCCGAGATCAAAGGAAAGCAACACTTTATAAATAATAAAATGGGAAATTTACCGAGTGCACTCATAGTATGCTTTCACGTCGACACGCTGCACTTGCTTCGAGCGAAACAACTGTTGAGAATAATTTCTGGCGAGGATTTGTGCGAGATAAATGAGTCCATTACTGGCAATAACATTTTGTATTTCTTTTGCGCTCAAGATTTCATGAACTCGTAATAGTGCCACATAATTGCAAATGTGATTTAAACGCCTCAATTTTGTTAATAATTTTATGAATATTGTACAGGGTGATTCAAAATTGGTGACAAGGATGGTACCATAGTTTGTTTTGCTTTTAGAGATTTATTTTTTTTTCTTACAAAAATAAAACTCAGGAAAATACATTCTTTAGACATAACCTCCAATTTCGTCTCACCCTATATTGCATTTCCGTCAATGACCATAGTAAACTTTCTTATACTCAGTCACTTCTTTATATAAAGTCACTTCTTATGCCATAATTCATTACCGCTGCTCAGTATTCGCTCCGGCGGTTCTTTCAACCGAATCTGTCAATTCGTTAGAAATTGTTCGCGGCCATTGTTCCGCAATGAAACTAAAGAAACAAGCAATCTATTATTAAGAAACATTGTAGCGCGTATTTCGGGGACAAGGACCGTCCAGCGAAATTACGTGGTTGACATTCTCAGGGACTAAGCGTTTAAACTTTCGTGACCAGTGTATCAAACCGTATTACCTTTTCGTTACGAAGTATAGTCGTCATTGCAGTAGTTGATCGGTTAAGTTGTTCCGATAATGGTCCGTTTAGGCCGCAGAAAATCGATCGCAATATTCTACTACCCAGGAGTACTTCTTTGGGTTATGTAAAATTGTTTTGCACAGTTTTACGATCACTTTTACCGTGAACGCAATCAAGAACCTGGAAATTTCGTAGACGTAAAGTACGCACTTTGCTGGAAGTGCATAAAGATTGATGGTGAAAAATAGTGAAAGCGTTTTGCCGTTGATTATATTTGTAGCATACTCGTGTTACGCAATATTTTCGTTATCGGAAGTTATCGTCGGTGTCAGGGTTTCTTGGTTGTAGTTCAAAGTACGGTGGACCGTTGACCTGTTTGCTTGAACAATATAACGGAAAATGTGTTTTGTAGTTTCTGCAGTTACTAGTTTTCTTCATTTGTATAAATTATTTGGAACTAGACGTTGTACTCGTATATTATACTCATGAATCTAAAGATATTAGGTGACATTAGGAATTGATATTAGTTTCTTAATTTGGGAATTTGAGATCTATAAATCTGTAAATCTCCAAGTTTCCAAATTTCACTGAATTTCTAAATGACGTAACTTGTATGTTGCCCGATTTTCTGCACCCTAGTCACATAAATTGTACACGTAACAGAAGACCTTGCGAAGGGCTCCTAAGTAGTCATCCGTGTCGACATTTACAGCATCGATTACGAATCGGTAATCGCCACCTGTCCGATAAGTCACATGCGTTCGACCCTGTTGCTCAAGCGACAGCGATTGAGCAATCGATCCACGTTACTTACCGATCGTAACCGTTGCCTGAAACGGAAATGAAGCAGTTTCAGAAAACGGCACCAAAATGTCTCGAGAGAAAGAGTGTTACGCAACCATCGAGAAATTGTTCCGAGAGTGAAAAATCAATGATAGAAAAAGAAATTGGAGTAATCGGAGGCCAACTATTAATTAGCCCCGTTAAGTAGAATCGTTACTTAACAGAGTTACGATTTCGACGAGCGAACAAAAGGCTCGATTGTTACGCGAACGTTATTCAATCATGGAGATCGAATAAGGAAGGTGTGTACAGCGGTCTGTGTGTTCGTGCGTTACCCAATGACTGGTCTTTCGCCGGTTACTTTCTCCGTGATGGAGAAAGACGGGCATCCGTTGAGCTGGATTGGCCTCTGAACTTCGCGAAACCCACGTCATCTCCTCGGTTACGGGACAACCCGCGAACAGTCGTGGAAAAACCTGTTGGTATCGAGTGCAAGTGGTTTTAGAAAGTCGTTCACCACGGCTACCTTCTATGTCCGGAGCCAATGTCCTTCCGATTGGCGAATACTCGGTTCCACGCTTTCGAATTTTATCGGTGACAGAATTTGGGGTTAGATAAATCAGGAAGCGCAGTTCTCTACTATTCTCTGCAGGACTATAGCATCTCTTTTAGATGCTTATTGTAATTTCAGTCTGAGTTGCTTCAGAACTACAGGGGTGAAATAGTAGGTAGGTGTTAGAAGTGTAGGTTTTTATGTGGGTGGCGTAAAGAGATCTTGATGAAGATGAGGAACAATGATTGTGCAATTCTCTTTTAGTCTTCATGTTCATAGTTAGGTAAACAGTAACTGATTAAGCTAAAGGGGTGAGGTGGTTCAATATAAACTGAGACGTCAGAAATGATTTTAGTTTTTAAGTTTGCGTTAGGTAAATGTTGAATAGTAAGGGTGAATCCTCTTAGGTTTACATTTAGGTTTTGATGAAATAGGACATGTTTAACTGTCTTGAACTGCTAATTCCCAAAATTGCCTTTGATCAGTAATACCTCAATCAAGAAAATGAATAACCAAATCCCTAATCTTTTACAGTACACTGTAATTCATCATGTGAGGTCCTCTTGAAGAGATCATGTTCAGTATTCACCAGATGCTGAGGAAAGAATATCCCAGGAAAATAAGGATTGTTTCACCCTCATCTCCTGTTACGTGATCCTAGATGAGGGCATTGTGATCTTGAAAGTAAGAGTTCCTTTGTGCGGGAACAATAGGAAGGATATTGATCTGAAAAATGAAACAGGAGCCCCTCTTGTCCTTGATAGAGAACTAATGCTCCTGTTACTCAATCCTTGATTCCTTGATACAGATGCTTGTATTCTTAGTATTATTGCTAAATATGGTATGTGACAAGTTTTACATCAGTTCTTAAAATTATTAGTAATCACATTTATTCATTAAACATATTGAATCAGCAAATGTAAAAAATAGTTTATTGTCAAAAAAATTAACTCCAAAAATTTGCAGGTACTATTTCCTAGCAACAGTGATTTGCTGGAGGTGAATGCTCTCTCAGCTTTACATTCGTGCCTTCCAGCTGAAAAAGCGACCGATGTCAAGATGAAGATCTCGAGTGGACATTCCTCTTCCTCGAGCGTCTCTTTTTTGTTGTTCTCTAGTTCGTCGACTCTTGCCTCCCGCAATCTTGCCCTGAATTCGCGGACTTAATAGTCAACGATGATCCCGTCGTGATTTTGTTATGCTAAACGCGTATTGTTGCGTGCGATTTAGGTCAAGTCCTGCGTCACTTTTACAAGTCTCAATGCCGTTTATCCCCCGAATTATATTTCGTTTTCGAATTCGTTTGACCCACTTCTTAACACAATTGTAATTCAACAATATCATTCAGATCAAGCAGTGAATATTATACAACTATAATTGTACCAATTGTATTCTTGCCATGAACTGCACGGTTTTAAATTAGTTCATCGTTAAGCCATCGTTTCTTAATTCTGCATAAGTAAATAGACATAAATGTTTGATAGATTGAAGAAGATAGAAAGGATATCCGTCATTTTCGTTGTTAGAACGCTTGTTTCTTGTTGAGTTATTTAAGAAAGAAGGACGGATGTCTGCGTTATTAAACTAAGTGTGCTTTTTCATGAGCAATGTGCGTGAGTTGCGCCATTTTAGACACAATAGTCCACTCGTAACAAACAGCCTTCTTCTTTTGATCGGCTTTTCCGTTTATATTTCACAATCTTTAGGTAATATCAAATAAAGGGAAGGTCTCTTTATAATAATATATATTGGTCGTTTTCTGTTAACTTTCTGCCAGATCTAAATGAGAGAAGCTTGTGTTAAGTCACTGCTTGATCAAAGTTATGTTGGAGTTTCTAAACCAGATTTAATATATTTTTTACAACATAGTATTTGTAATAACAGGTTGAGGCAGAATTGTCGTCAAGATTTACCCAGTTCATGTGTGTTCGACTGTGGTAATTACTTAGTCTGTATGAGTGCACGTGGAACGTTTCTTTACATAAGCTTTGAAGAAAACCCGATGGGATCTGAATTCGTCGCAACCGGACCGTAGCGAGGAATTAATTTCACGTGTCTCGCGTCACAAGCATGTTTCTCTTCTAACAGGCTTCTACCACTTGGAGTTATTAGAAATTTTATTATTAAGCTGAAATTCTAAAGCATAATCAGCATTCTTTGAAACCAATTTCTGTTAACATGACAAAGATATGCTGATGGTGCCATTTTTAGGCAAAACCTTTTCAAATAAACGGCGAGGATTTCAAAGTATCATGAGACATTCTTCCACCAATTTGTAATTTTAATCGTCCTCATAATTCCTTAGAGATGTTAAAATACTCAAATTTGTCAAATCTATTCGCATATTAGTAAATTTTATGGGACTAAGGAAATACTCAGTCCTCTTACTCTTTTTGCAAAAATAAAACGGTGATTGGCTTCTACTCGACTGGAGTCTAGCTTTCTACACCACGAATGACTCTCTTTTTTTCGAGAAGCGTCGATAGTAAGGCGGACCATGTAATTATCGAAACTGTTTCGAGGAAAAGATTTCCAGCTTAAGTGGTACCGTTTGCAATTTTCGAGAGTGCTACTGTCCAAGTGGTTGCTTTAAGTTTGTGGATGATTGACTTCATTCCAGGTTTATTTGTATAGAATGACTCACTTCAATTTAATTGACATTTGATGTGGTAGATGGGTCAGAGGCCAGAAGAAAATTGAGTCAATTTGCTGTCGTTGACTTAAGTTCATTCTATGTGAAATAATCTCCCCACAACTTCTTACAATTTGAGACGCTGTTCAAAAAAATTGAACAATTATTTATTGTCAAACTCATTGCCATACAAAATGTAGTTAATGTTTAATAACATTATGACTTGTTGGTCTTAAGCATCAAGTCCAAGTTAAGCTTGTTACAATATCATTTTATCTGTTGAATTTAAACTGCGTTGAGTGTAATATAGAAAGTTTGATACTGTGTTTATGTAACCACTCGTGGTGTACAAAGTCTGAGGTATATTTTGTCGTTCGTTTTCAGATGTGGAGCAATCTAACCTGCGTGGACGATTTCCTGAATCGAGCCTTTCATAAACTAGGTCTGATAGTCGGTCGTTATCCCGGCTACTTCGTGGTTGTTCCGGTTTTGTTGGCCTGCATCTGCTTCACCGGTTATCAGAGGATACATTACGAGATTGACCCGGAATACCTGTTCTCTCCGACCAATGGACCGAGCAAAACTGAAAGGGCGATCGTTGAACAGTACTTCAAGGTCAACTACAGTCATCACTTTGACCTGAGCCGCATTACCAGGCCAGGTGAGATCGAGGATCAAGGAACCGAGGGCGTATCTAATATTATCTGATGAGAACTTGAATGAATTGTAGTCTCAAGGTTACCTCTAAAACTTAGACGTTCTCGCAAAAAGGAAGTTCAAGGAGAAAGTGCATCAACTCGCTTTTAACTCGTTTGCATTGTTACTGTATAATTTTGTTCCGTTGATCGCGTCTCATTGAATCAACCGTGGCTCGCCATTAAGCGAGACGCGAACGCGAAAACTTTCACGTATCATTGAGCTGTCGTTAATTAATCCCTGACACGCGTTTCCACGCGATTTCCTTGAGTGGTTTTACCTTGTAGCTGAACGAGATTCTCCGATTTAATGACGCTTTATTGCAGGTCGATTTGGTCACGTAATTATAACGTCGAAAGATGGGAACAATAATTTGCTGAGGACCGCGGTGTTCGACGAACTGCTGGAGTTAGATCGTCTGATCAGAACCGCCAAGGCGACGTACGACGGTGCAGAGTTTACTTACAGTCAGATTTGTGCTAAGTGGCTGGACACGTGTTTTAGCAACAACATTCTGGACCTGCATCATGTCATAGAGTAAGTATTGTCACGACTGGAAATTGAAGAGAATTTATAATCTGGGAAGGTACTTTAATATGGGAAGGTACTTTAAGGTCATCTGGAGTGACTTAAGATTAGAGCTGTACTGTAATATTTCCATAGGCCTTTGAATACTAACAGTACTTCAGGGTCTATTAATCTTAGATCCGTCTCTTACCGGTCCCATCTACCGTTAGGAATCTAGTTTCTTATTGTAACCATGATCCCAGATGATTATTCATTAGACTCATCATGTAATTTCAGTCAGATATTGACTCATTAAACATTATCCTACTCGCACGTTCTGGCATCTAAGTAGTTGGTAGCACTTTCCAGGGATGTGGAAAAGAGAGAGCTAAACCTGACGTTCCCGGTGACGCTCAATCCCGTCACCTGGGACATCCACCTACTACCAGTGTTCTTTGGAGGAAGCGTGATCAACGAGGACCTGATCATCGAGTCCGTCCCATCGTTGCAGCTCGCCTATTTCCTTGCCGCTGACGACGCGTGTCAGGATGCAATGTAAGCAGACCAACTCTTAATCGATCTAAACTGTTAGATCAACAGCTGATGAGAGCCAGTGATTTGTAGAACCATCGTTCATACTTTCCTTTTCTCTCTGTTACAAAACAGCGGGGCAGCTTGGGAAGAAGCTTTCCTAGACACCTTAAAAAATGTCGAGGAACAGGGTGTCTTCAAACATATCGCCACAGCGAGGTTTGCCTCCAGGACCCTGGAACTGGAACTGGAGGAGAACACGAAGACCATTGTACCTTACTTCTCCAGCACCTTCATTCTCATGGCTCTTTTCTCCGTGCTCACATGTATGATGACCGATTGGGTACGCAGTAAACCCTGGTTGGGCCTTCTTGGAAACGTTTCCGCAGCGATGGCCACCGTTGCTGCCTTTGGGCTGTGCATTTATCTAGGAGTAGACTTTATCGGTCTCAATTTAGCCGCACCGTTTCTGATGATTGGTGAGTGGAGCTGTTGTGCTCCTATACGACTTAACATGGTGTCCACATGACCTAGACGTAACTAACGTAGTTGTCGAATGACTAGTAGGGTGTATCTAGTGAGCAGGAGTATCTAGGATAGCTCAAGATGTCCATAATACCTCAGACTCTAGCATGGACCTAATCAGGACTGACTACCATGAAGATTATAGCAGAAGATGTCCATAATACCTCAGACTCTAGCATGGACCTAATCAGGACTAACTACCATGAAGAGTATAGCAGAATTGATTCTTCTCTACGAGTAGCAGTATTTGAACAGAATCGCAACACACCGTTGACGAAATCCTTACGACACTCGGTTGTCTAACCCCTCGGACTCGATCGAGTGAACGGATCGTCAAATGTCGTGGAATCATGAACGACCAAACATCGGTGATTTACGTGAAAAGCGGAAGTCGCAGCCAGGACTTTTTCCATCCGTCGTTGCGCTAGCTTGCGCTCGCCACTGCGACCGAACTCGCTTGATTACCGACGATGATTGCGTTGTTCGCGTACGTTCAATCGGATCGTTTCGAAACCGTTCTTGCGTTCTTCGTGTTCGCGTGTCGTCGTTGACGAGACGGAAATTAGCATGGTAGGAAGCTGGTCATTGAAGCGCTGGACACTAACTGTTTACTTTGGGTCTATGTACTTGCTTGTACTACTTGTAGGTTCAAAGAAGTGTGTTCATAATTTGTCTGCTATGTGATTTAATACATGGATAGTTAGGTAGTTAGGTGGATATTAGGTTCATGCTGAGTCAAAGCAGCTGAGGTGATGATCATAAGTCAATTAAGTTCTCGACTAAATTAGGTATCTAAATTACCTAAGTGCAGTTAACATGGTGGCCCTATCCACACATACTCAAATCTGAGTAGCCTTGTGGCGAAACAATCGTGTGTCTAAGTAGTTAATCAAGTCATTTAAGTTTATGATTCATCTGCATGAACAGAATGTGGTTTAAATATGAATGAATTATTGAACCACAGTACTAAAGTTCAAGTTCTTCAAGTTCTCTGTTTTGTGACTCTTTGACGCCGACGCAGTGAAGATTTCCGGCATGGAAATTGTTTGTCCTTGCGTGAAATTGAATAAACGTCGGTTATAAATTGCTGTCCAAATGTAGCAGACAGCTGAGGTGAATCACGAATAAAACTGACGATTCTGATTCACTGCGTGCGCTAAACTGTCGCCTCGTTATCGCGATAATAGCACCTTGTTCGTTTCCCTGCCAAGGGGTGGGCGATTTTTTTTCTCTGACTCATCGTATTTCCTTTAATTATTGCTCATTTACATAATAGCTGCTAACAATCTTTAACATAAAAATAAAATAAAACTTTTTTGTTAACAGGAATCGGAATAGACGATACGTTCGTGATGCTGGCTGCCTGGAGACGAACCAGTATCTTGAAACCCGTACCTGAAAGGATGGCTGCGACACTCAGCGAGGCTGCTGTGTCGATTACGATCACTTCTCTTACCGACATGATATCATTCTTCATTGGGATACTCTCACCTTTCCCTTCGGTGCAGATCTTCTGTATTTATTCAGGTGGATCTCAAGCTCTAACGATCTACAAACAGTCACCCAACTGAATTTCATTGTTCTCCCTCTCATTACAGGTTTCGCTGTGGTCTTCACCTTCGTCTTTCACCTGACCTTCTTCACAGGATGCGTGGCTATCAGCGGTTACTGCGAGCAGAAGAATCTGCATAGCATCGTGTGCTGCAAAGTGCAGCCACTCTCGAAATCTTGTGAGTACTTCCGTTTCGTTTCAACGGAATAACACCAGGATGCAGAAATTTGAAAGAGAGATTAAGAACGCGTTTCCTCGTTACGCAACCGTTTAAGAATTCAGTTCGTTCGTAAAAGTAAAAGCCCTGATTATTTTGGTTACTACATTCGACGTAATCATTGTATTCGTGCGCGCGAAAGGACGATCGTCGAAGAAGAGATCACCCGGAATACTTTCACGGGCTACGTTGCCTCGAATGTATCGTTTGCTGTTTTTGTTTGAACTTTCATTTATTTCCATCGCCACACCGATACTTTCTACCTTAAACCACTTAGCCAGCTGAGTCTTTGGTGTGTTATTATCCATATATTGTTTGGACAATGCTGCACTCTGTACAATTTATATTCCATGCTTCTACTCAAGGATGAGGACAAATTCAAGAAATTTTATATATCTTTGTACTTTTGCAGAATGTACTGTAACAATTTGCAACAGCCTGTAAACGTTACCGCCCGTCAAATTACCCTGGCAGAAGAAAGTAAATTATTAAAGAGAATAAAATGTTACACGCACGGTACACGGATCGCCGCTGCATCCATCGACTTTCTCCAAAGCTCATTCTCGTCATCGAACCACTTTTCTCGATGTTTCTCGTCGGTTCTGTGGAAAGTCACGGATCAAGTCCGTTTCAAGTTGCGCTGTAGCTCATCGTTACGTCAGAAGACCATGGCGGGTTACGTTCGAATCGCGTTAATTCGTTAGATCACTGAGTATTATGTAAAGGCACTTTCTCCGGACACTGTCAACCACGTGTTATGAACAATGTCATCACGAGGGGCATTTTATGTAACAGTCTTCCTTCTTTGTACCGAAAACAGCGTGGAATTCGGCGCTTATCGATTGATTTATTTGAGGAATATCTTCCGCCTGCCATGGAGAAAGTTTTCGTTTCGAGCCGCTCGATGAGCAACCTTGATGGCATTCCTACGAAGTCCTCATTCCGTGTTCGCGAGAAGTAAGAGTATCTAGAAATCTAAAAATCTGAGAATCAGGAATCCAGGAATCTTTAATCGTTGCAAGAACTTAGGAGTATAAAAACGTATCAATTTAAATCTACGTATTTTACGCTTGTCTAGCATAAATAACAATTGGTTGAATATCTAATACCATTTCAAAGTATCGGTGACTGGTAATTAATAGGCAACAGGGGTCGTCCTGCGGTCGCGTCTTGGAATCGCGTGGTGCCCGATTGTCCCCTTTGATTTAGTCACTTAACCGTACGTGACTTACATGATAATGCAATTATCATCGACGATTGGTGCGTGACATTGTACCAACAATCACTGTCACCTTTGTTCCCCCGGTTAGATGATCTCATCCGTTGTGTTCAATCACCCGTACTATCGGTCCCAGCATTTTTTTAATACGACAATTTTTTTGCAGCGAACCGATCTTGGTTGTACAGAGCGCTGTGCACTGGCGGAGTGGACCCCGACGATCCTTACAACCCCGTGGACAATCCGGAGCATGGATGCATGAGCTGGTTCCGCGATTACTTGGCTTCCGCGCTGAACTGTCGATCGGTCAAGGTCGTGATCATCCTGATCTTCGGTTGCTACATCGTCGGCGCTCTGTATGGACTGACGACTCTTCGGGAGGGCTTGGATCGTCGCAAGCTTTCCAAGAACGATTCTTACTCGATCACTTTCTACGATAGACAGGACTTCTACTTCCGAGAGTTTCCCTACAGAATACAGGTGCGTCCAAGGTCCCTAACTCGCTGTATGTAACATTCTGAAGGAGTAGAGTCCTTATGTTTGTCCGTTTCAGGTGGTGGTTAGTGGCGAGTACAATTACAATGACCCAGTAATTCAGCAACAAGTGGAGAACCTAACCAGAGCCCTGGAGGCCAGTAAATACATCAGCAGCGCCCCTATTTATACTGAGAGCTGGGTGCGGAGTTTCCTCAGCTATGTAAACAATAACCCCAAGGAAGTCGACATCCATGACGAGAAGAGTTTCATAAAGGTGCTGAAGGACACTTGGCTGTCCCCGAAGAATAGCTTCTCCCTGGACGTGAAGTTCGACGAGAACGAAGAGCACATTATAGCCAGCAGATTCCTTATCCAGGCGGTGAACGTGAGCGGGACCAATCAGGAGAAGGACATGGTGAAGGAGCTGCGTCGAATTTGCGCCGAGTCTCCTCTGAACGCCAGCGTGTTTCATCCTTACTTCGTCTTCTTCGACCAGTTCGAGCTGGTGAAGCCTACCAGCATCCAGTGTATGGTGTTCGGTGCTCTCATCATGATGCTGATCAGTTTCATCTTCATTCCCAACGTGCTGTGTTGTCTGTGGGTCGCTTTCTGCATTATTTCCATCGAGTTGGGTGTCGCTGGCTACATGGCCCTCTGGGACGTCAATTTGGACAGTATATCCATGATCAACCTGATCATGTGCATCGGTTTCAGCGTCGACTTCACAGCCCACATCTGCTACGCCTACATGAGCTCTAAACAAAAGTCTCCAGATGACAGAGTGAAGGAGAGCCTCTACAGTCTTGGTCTGCCAATAGTCCAAGGCGCAGCATCAACTATTCTGGGCCTAATAGCTTTACTGCTCGCCGGAACCTACATATTTATGGTGTTCTTCAAGATGGTCTTCCTGGTGATCTTCATAGGAGCCATGCACGGCATGTTCCTTCTTCCTGTACTGCTGTCTCTCTTCGGTCCCTCCTCCTATTCCAACGAGAGGATAGAGAGCGAGAAGGCGCAGCAGAAGAAGATGCAAGAGAAGGACCTGTCGTCTAAGCTTCAGCAGCCCTATGTGATCCCACATCCGACTCTGTCATTCTATCACCCGACAGGAACGGCGAAGAGCCTTCACGGAAGCCCCGCAACCAGTCTAGCTGCGTTCGAGGAAAGGGATCTAGGTCTAGGCACCAGCGAGGACAGTAACTCCACGGAGAGCGGCTCTTCGCAAAGCAGGAGACGCGAAGGGCAGGCGGAACAGGAGAATCAAAGGCGTCACGACGTCTGGAGAAGATCCATCGGGGTCCTCTACGGAATGTCCCAGTTCCAGACAGCCTCGCACCCTGCTGCACCTCCGCCAGACTACGCTGGCGCGGTACAAGAGCTACAGGCCGACCAGGAGCGTCGAGCCGTGAGGACGGTGCCTTACGTCGGCTCGCATCCCGCGTACCGACCTGCCAATCAGCTGCACAGGGATCACAGGAGAAGTAGGTCGTACCACAACCTCCATCATCCGTCGAGGTACTTGACCGACCCCCGGTATCCTTAGGGCAATTAACGACCAGTGCAATCGATGAGCAGCACTCGGCGTAGCAGGACTCTGCGGTGAATTTTCGTGTATTCATCGAGTTTCGTGACGATTACCTGTGAAGAATACGATTATCAACGCAGTTAACTTGAACCAAGCAGGAGTTGTGACCATGGGTCAATGCTGTCCATGCGAGGGGCTCCTCACGTGCTCCGTTCTTCTAGGTACCCTCGGGTACACAAGGGCCTAGCTAGTGGACATAGCTGCAAGTGCGCGTCGAGAGTGAGTGGAAAACTGTTTGGCTATGCAAGTCCCCCGGTTGAGACTCTCGTGGACAGCACTGCTCTTTATGCTCAGACAGGACACTCGAAGGTTTTGGGGTTGCAAAGGGGTCATTATCATGGACGTTTATCGACCATCGTTAAACAGTACGCTTAGAGAAGCCTTCGCAATAAGAAAGCTTCTCGGAGCTGATAATCTGTAAATATCTTTTGGCGAGTTTGCAAAGGGGCTCACTGGATCTCGAGCTGCAAGCTTCAGGAAGGCTCCGGGAAACTTGGGAAGTGGATTTCGTCAGAGTGCGTTTTTTTTAGCGGAATTCAAGTGGAGCCAGTATAATAATTCGATGTAACTCGTTTCCTGGAGTGTTACACAATCTCCACCGCGATACAGCGAGGTCCGAAAACGTTGTAAGCAAAATGTATAAACGAGACTCTAAAATAGTACGCAGTATAAGATTCTGCAAGTTTCGATTCGACTAGGTATCGTTTTGCGAAGGTTTAATTTACGGCCACGCTATATCGTGGGTAGGATTATAAATTTCAGCGCTCAGAGTGTTTCTGAGAGTCGTTGAGGCGTAGAGTAGTCTCGTTGTGCGTTTTCAGAAAATATCTAGTGTCTTATTTTTCGAAAACGCAGAGCGACGTGCTTGCAAGCGTGAGTGAATTTATTACCATTTTTACTCTGAATCTTTGATAAATTTTTCCAGGTAGTCCTACTGTAGCGTCGAACTCTCGTTCCCTTACAATAATTATTCTTAGGATTTCTTATCGTGCAAGCATTTAATAAAAATTACCTCGACATTTGCGATCATGTAGATTCAATGTCATGTGACCTTCAGCATAGTGTGTAATTAGAGGGAAAATATTATTGTCAAGTCACGTGAGTGATGTAGTGCGCAGCATTGTTATTAAAAATATTTTCAATTTAATTTATCGCGTTATTTTTTCAGCTGGGTAAATTTGATCGACACTTTTTATCGCGAGCCTAACTTATTTCTGACGTTAGTAGGCGCAGTCACGTGATTTGATAATAGTGTACCGTTTTAAAAGTCGTTCGCGAAACGAACGACACTTTGCTCAACAGAAATCAAAACCAAAAGCGCAACAACGAGGAAACGAATCCTTTGACTGGCAATTTTCCTTCTAAATTTCTTTCTCCGTCCCCGTAAATGAAGTCTTTTTGAAACATGAATTTTGAGAACGCTGCTTCATGCGGTACAGCGTGTTGTGCCTTATCGAAATGTGTTTCGAACCAGCAGAAAAAATATAACGAGTCGAAAATGTAAGAACGGGTGAAATAAAACTGATTGATTCTTAATAACTGTGTTAATTTTATTAATTTGTATAATAGATATGAAATAAGTTGATACAAAAGTTATTAGATTAAAAAGTTTAACACATAGCGAGATTAAAAATTCATATTTTCGCGCGCTTTCTTGGAACAGTACCACTGGCGCCATCTAGCGGTGAAGTGTGGAACTAACAAAATAAAAAATTACGTTTTTTGGAAAAATTAGGCATTTTTGCAACCTGCTGATGCTCAGAAATTGTTCTGTGGACACGATAAAGTAATAAAAAAAGCTTGGGAGTGATTTTAAAGCTCTATATTAAAAAATAGAAAATATTGCGTTTTGTGGGCATCAAAATGGCCGTCCATCTAGCGGTGAAAGTTGGAACTAATCGAACTAAATTTTAATAACAATTTATTACATTTTTTTAATTTTCTGACTAGTTTTCGCTTATAAAAGACGATAAAATGATAAATTATGGTTAGTTTTAGAATAATAATGCTTAAAAAGTCGAAAATGTCATAATTACCTAAGGTAATATATTTCGAATTTAGTTCCAACTTTCACCGCTAGATGGCAGGCCATTTTTTAGTCCATGAAATGCACCTATTTTTAATTTTTGTTATTAACGCTTTTAAACAATTATTGTTGCATTATTCTAACTCCTTTGTGATTAGAAAACAGTTTCTTAACCTTCAAAGTGCGGAGAAGTTGCTAATTTTGGAGAAAAACGGAATTTTCTATTTTCTTAGTTCCAACTTTCACCGCTAGATGGCAGGCCACTTTTTGGTCCATGAAATGCACCTTTTTTCAATTTTCATTATTAACGCTTTTAAACAATTATTGTAACATTATTCTAGTTCCTTTGTGATCACAGAACAGTTTCTTAGCCTCCAAAGTGGGGAGAAATGCCTAATTTCTGAGAAAAACCGAATTTTCTAATTTTGTAGTTCCAACTTTCACCGCTAGATGGACGGCAATTTTAATGTCCATAAATCGCTATTTTTTTCAACTCCGTTATTAACACTTCCACCAACTTCCTATCGCATTAGTATTCTTCCTACTACATAACAGAACATTTCACACGTCGCAGAAATCCGAAAAAGTCCCTACTTTTTGAGAAAATCACAATTGTACCGTCGGTGGAGAAAGCGCGCGAAAGTGTGAATTTTTAAATTCCACTTACGAAGCTGTCCGACTTCAAGCTTTTAAATATTACTTTACAATGAATTATTGCTTTCATATTCATTCTCTGAATAAAATAAAGCAGACACTATTCTAAATTAAAGAAGGAATAATAAATTTTATACATTTCTATGAATAAATAGCAAATTTATTGACGAACGATAGTTAACACAGAATATTATAGTTCCTTATTTATTTAAACGGTGTAAAGCATTTTCATACACAAAATAATTTACTTCAATAAATAATTTGTATCAGATATTCTTCATAACAATTTCATTTTATCGACTCGTGTCCCGATTTCTCAAGGAAAAAGAGGGAAAGAAACAGCATAGAAAATATAAAACTGTGCAGCGACTAGTGTGCCGAAGGGTGAAAGAAGAATCGAACCCCCTCGCAACCGTTTTGCTCGATCTTCGCGAGTCGCTGATGCATGAAACACAAACTTTAAAGTCGACAAGCTTCTTCTGGGATATTGCATGCTGCGTCCTGGATAGTCTGTGCCTTTCAAAGGATCCGCATCGATACAGAGATCACCTCGGAATCTTTCTGTGTATTCCTACAGGAATCCCGTTTGCATATTCCGCCCTAGGCCCTTTGTCAGTTTCACAATTTTCACTCTTCCATTCGATTCATTTAACCCCTTTTGCCCTATATTTATATTATTAATCTCTTGCACTATTTTGACGAGTCTCGTACTTCGGCCGGGATCAATTTTACTCGAATTTGTAGCACGCTTCAATTTGAAGTTCAAGTTATAATTTAATCTGCTAATTAATTATAATTTGCATAGTCAACGATCGAGTAATAACATACTGACATAACATTTCAAGTTTTTTTGTCTTAATATTGTAGCTGTAGTTAGCTGTAATAAGATGGTATTCTGAAAATCTTCTGATTTACTATTTGTAAAGGGATTTGTATAGGGATTTGGGGACGTAGGTATTTGGGGATGATTTGGGGACCTAGGCATTTCGAGGTCTAAGAGGCATAGGTATTTGGGGATGTGGGAATTTGGGAATGTGGGATTTTGGGGATGTGGGAATTTGGGGATCTGGGAATTTGGGGATGTGGGATTTTGGGAATGAGGGAATTTGGAAATGTGGGAATTTGGGGGTGTGGGAATTCGGGAATGTGGGAATTCGGGGATGTGGGAATTCGGGA